ACAAGATTCCAATTAGTGATTAAAGATTTAGGTTGACTATTTCTTCTCATTTTCCATAATTTATAATTGTGCTATAAAAATCTTCTTCAGTCAGTGTTTCAAATTATGTGTTTTCTTTCTTCCTGTTTACATTACCTGGAAAGCATAAAAGCTACTTGAGAGAGCAATTAAATAATTTATGCCTCAGTTTATATGATGACATTTAGAAAATAACACCCGGAAAACCATTTTCTTTAAAGAAAGTAACACAAAAGGAAGAAGTAAGAAGCAAAACATCAGCAACCCTGGATGAAGGACAGCTTATTTCTCAGTAATTGACACATACTAATTATCTTCATGGAAGACCAAAGTGTATAAAATAATTGAGAGCATTTAGAGAAGAGGTGATTGAATTTACTTAAAAGCTTAACATAATATTTAACTTATGGTATTACAACATATTGCTACCACTTATGTTTACTTTTGAAATAAATATATATCAATGAAGACATTCTATTGTATGTGGCAAAAACATATTTATCTTTTAAATAAAATCCTTCTTGCTAAACACACAGTTTATTGAGAGCCAAAGATACTCCCATCTTTACCTAAGCGCAATGACACATAATAATTATTTCATTTATTTTATAATTTTCCACTCTAAAAATAAAGAACTGTCCAAAATTATCAGAGCTGTGTAGGTGGTTTTTAATGTGAAATTTAATTCTCATGTAAAATTATCTGCTACATGCATTGTACTAGTTAGTAATGTTACTCAGACACAGTAGACACGAAATGGGTAAATAGTAAAATCCTATATTGTAGGTGGGGAAGGGAGGAGCACGGAGGGAAGTAGAGATTGTTTGTAATGTGTGTAAGTTACATCAAAAAAATAATTCTGGCTATAGCAAAAGAGTTGTCACCCAATGATCTTCAACCTCAGTGTTGCTCTTTTCTCCCACACCATCCACCAAAATCAACAGAAAGAGCAAACTTGCTCTCCTTCTTGTTGCACAAAACATTATCCCACTCAGAATGGATGATGTATACAATCCAGAAATCAACAGCTTCAGGCAATTCATTGGAGTGAATTGTTTAAAGAAAAAAAATCATAGATGTTATCAACTGTTATCAAGTGACAATGGAAACAGAAGAGAAGGCAATCATAAGGACATCATGAGGCAGAGATCATTTTTCTAGCTGTATCTGGTCACTAAAAGCACAAAAACATAATGTAATAAGTCAATATCTTGATAGTAGTTTCTTTTCACACTTTAAATTAATTGTTTGGCAAATTCGATTAAAACCCTTGGCGCCTTGAACTTATTATTAGTGGTTACCAGGAGCAACTTCCAAATATCCAAAGCGTATAGTATGTGTGCTTTATTGGAGAAATGAATTTTTAGTGACACTGATGTCTAATATGAATTCCCTCATAAGGTGGTGCTTGCGTGTGACTTGCCTGGGAATTAATTGCACAATTCCTTAATTTACACTCATCCTTCTAGAAGGTGGGTATACTACTGTTGCCATTTTACAGAAAAAAAAAAAATGATTCTCTGGCCATTTGTGCAACTTGCTCCAGTTCAGATTACTAAGTAAACGTCAAATCTAGAATTTAAACCAAGGTCTTTTTCAATTCTAAATGTATGTTCTTTCTGGCTGCTTTCTTTTGCAACTGTTTCTCTTTTTTTTCTGTTTTTTAAAGTGAATGCAGGTAATTAAGAAAAACTGAACAATAATGCCAACATTCATGGAATAAATGCAGAGCCCTTAAAAATGTCATTATTAAAGAATATGTTCCGTTTGAACGTGTTTATTTTAAATTTCTTTATAGGCATACTTTGTCTACCCTGAATTGTATAGTCTCATCAAAGAGGTCCACATCCCAAGCTATATTAATAAGCGTATACTCTTTCTTTTCCTAAAAGCAGTTATTTCAGCCAAAGCAGAAAGTTTTTATTTATCTGCTTGTGGCAGAGATTTCCTGATTCAATACTAGCACAGATTTATTAATTTAGTGATTGCAGCAAGGATCCAACTAAACTAAGCTTATGATCAGAGAACACTCTTTTGCCGGCATGCAGCTTCTATCAGTGGTTGCCTTATTACTCTAACGTACGATCTCATTTGTGTTACATAACATAGTAGGAAATCAAAACAGTGCCAACATGGGAGAATCAGTTTGCAAATATTTTATCCCCTGGACCCCCATTATAGTATATCACATTTCTGCTATGTACTAACCTTTTAAACTTTTATCATAATAGCACAAGCTTTGAGTTCGTTAATTTGTGCTTATTTTGCAAGGAGATAGGGAAATCTCTTGTCATATATTGTACATATACATAAAGTCATGGATTCCTTCTAGGATTTCTTAACCTATAAAATAAACTTGGTGTTTGAAACATCTCTCCCCATTTCATCCTAACAAATACTCCCTCTGCAAAGAACAGCTCATTAACTTTATAATCTCCCAATTAATGATAAAAGTGCTATATCCATACACAAATATATACTTCTCTTGCATCTTCAGTCACTTAAGTGTATCCCGTAAGTACTGTAAGGAATGGGAACTTGTCACAAATTTCAGCATGTATTTGATAGGGATGCTTTCAAAATAAGCTCAAGTTCCTAAGACAGCACATGTGTCATCATCTGCCTAGAATGTTATTTCACTCTGGAAATTGTTGAATGCCCGTTTGTCCTAAGTCCCTGTTTAAATATTTGTACTTTTTTTGTGATCAGGATCCTCTATTCTCTGGCCAGGTAGACATATGCTCTACTTTTCCATAATACTTCTAATAGAGTATGTATCGGAGTTTGGTATTTTCATAAATAAATGGTAACAACCTTCTCTTGGGAGTGTTCAGTGGGTAAATGTGGCGAAGCCCAGGTCAGAATGATACCTCTTGTTTACTCTATAACATCCAGTTTTGTAGGCCGTGATTGCTGTGAAACAGTGGATTCTCATAGAGGCCAAGAAGCAGCCCCATGATCCAGATGCTAATACTCATTCCCTTTCTCTTCTCTTTTTCTTAGCCTGAGACAGACATCAAGTAGAGACTTCCCAGGTAAGGGTAGAAATCAAGAGCAGTGTGGCGGCAGCACATAGAGAGAACCACCACATCTCTGCTCACTCACTCAGAGTGTGTTCAGACAGCAGGCCTTTGGGTCAGGTGACTGTCTCTTGCTTGAAATCAGGGTGATAGGATCACTCCAAATTCCTTGACAAATTAGAAAGAACCAAGTACCTAGGTGCCTTTAAGCAGCCAGATTCTGAATTGTTATTAGAAACAATGATACCCTGGATCAGCAACTGGCTAGCATGGAGAATGAGGATGTCAGTTTCTCCCGAGTTGACATAGTTTACTATTTTACTGAATTGCTGATGAGCCTCCATGAAAAACATTCAATTTACCAGGTTAGGTGTTAAGCTACTCAAAGTGATGGATAAAGAAGCAAAGTCCCAACGGTTTTGAATTTTATCTCCCCTCAATATTAGAACATTTGCATCCTTACATTTAACTTAGGAAAGTTCACAATCTTCTTTTGTTAATTCTGCTATGTTTCATCAATATATTTCACTGCCTTGATGAAAAATAAGTTGCATTTTAGTTAAAATAGTTCACACATAATTGATAGAGTGAATTAGAGTCAGAGAGGCGCCCTTTTTTGAATTCAAAATTTTCCCAAAAGAATATTTTCTGTTATGATAATGTTTGTATTTTGATCATAATTAGCAGGTTATTTTAGGCTTCTAATCAGAAAACACTTGAAGTGACTGTGCCTATTTTTTGTATATATCATTTGCTCTAAAGTCTTATATTTTGTTTCAGTACTCAAGAGCAAACAAATTTACTCACAAAAAATTTTTAAGAGAACTTGAAAATAGAATGTTTCATACCCATCAGATTTTGTCCTGGGATCCTGGCAACCATACGTATCATAGAAAAGTAAATTTAAATATTCTGTAAGTTCTCAAGAAAAAACTTTAGTTGCACTTTCTTATCGTGGAATGTTCCATATACAAATTAATATACAAAGTTTCCTTTGAGGTGGATAACAGACCTATATGTGAAAAGCAAAACACTATCACAAAGTTTAAAAATTCATAAACATGCTTTTAAAAATTTTATTATTCCATGTAAATACAGTATTCTATTTTTGTGTTTGTCTTTGGTAAAAAAATTTGCAAATACATACAAAGTGACAATGAAAGAGATAACACTGGAACAAAGAGCTCTACTGTATTTTTTTTGTTGTTGTCGTTAATTACGTAGCAAGTTAAAGCATGGGTTCCTTTAAAATACAGAAAATCTTTCATGTTTAAGAATTTGATCACCCTGAATATAAATAAATTTAAAGTTTTCATATAGTCAAATGCCATAAGTTCTGAGAATATTAAATAGACTAGTTGTCCTATCACAGGGAATTGTCTGAAATAATGAATACTGGTCAGGGCCAAAGAATTTACCAAAAGTACTTTTCCTAAAGCAGAAATGACCTCAAATTATTACATAGGTATTTGGCCCTGATACTCCTACTGTGGTAAGCTATGTAAACAATTTAAGTATAATTTGGAAGCCTAGGGTGGCAGATATTTTTATCCATCATAACTAAAGCTCTTTTCTCCTTCAGCAACTGAAAAGTGTTAGATATTTGTCCTCATGGTCTTGGTAGGAGCTGTGGAATTCTATAATTCTGAAAAAAAAAAGTTTCTATCTGAATGATGTAGGATCTGCAGCATCACAAATTTAGGGAAAAGATGAATATACGCATTAGGATGAAGCAGATTAGAAAACAAGTAGCTAATGGTATGAAGAAAAAAATAAAAATATCACTTGAAGGACTGAACACTGTATTTACACTAATTATACAAAATTCAGGGTATCCATACTCAAAGATAGAGTTGAAAAGATAGAGACAACTCTATCATGTCTAGGAAAGACACAGAAAGACACAGAAACTCTCCTCATATCCTAGATATGAGGACTTTGACAGTATGTCATGTTTTTTCATTAGTACTTTTAATGGAGTTTTCTTTTGGATTGAGTGAAGTTGTGTAAGATGCACTGTCTGCAACAGCAACAAAGAGAATTCACATACCAACAAAGGAATTTATTAGTGCAAATTCATTTGAATATTTGCAAGCATATATGATAGTGCATTTCAAAGCAATCTAAGAGGGAATACATTACACGGGAAACTGTCTTAATATTTTCATTCTACCTTGCGGATTTCTAGAAAAATCAACAAGCAATAGTCTTGTCTTAAGCATAGAATTTAAAATAAAGTTTATCTTCATTACAGACAAGAAAACAAAAAATTATCGGCCTTATAAATTTTAGTATGAGTACTTAAATTAGGTATTTCACAGATTTATTTTCATTAATTAATGCACAAAAGTAACTGGTATTCATAAGAAATACAACATTGTGTTTTAAATAGTTCTTTAAAATATATGTTTACTGGTAAGTATTTTTACATATATTTAAATTAAAAATATAACATTCCTTCATATACACATGAGCTATTTCAAAAAATGTGAGTACCCTTTTCATGTGAACATTTTTAAATAAATATTTACAAGAGAATAATTTTCCTATCCAAAGACAATTCCTGTTTCTCTCTTATTCAATAGATGTTCCTCTCATTTTTTCAGCTAATTCTTTTCTCACTTCAATGTGTTTTTCTAAATTTTGCACTTCATGTGGAAGATTGATGTCCCAAACAGTCAAGCAAGATTGTATCTCTAGAAAAAGAAAAAAATGAAATCAAGTTTCAAAGATCCACCATAAAACATTCTTATTTTATTTCAGTTTGGCTTATGTATTTTTAGTTGACTTAGATAAATGTATATATAAACACAGCTATAACTAATGCACTAAATAATTATTTATAAAAAACTGTACTTGGACAATTTTTATAATACATTATAGAAACTACTAAATTTCAAGAAGAGTGTGGACATTTAATAAATTAACATTTCATAATCTAAAAGAAATAAAGCTTTTCAAACACTGTTGAAAATTAAACATTATGTAGATACAGGTAAGTTGTAAAAAATATTCACATTTAGTTTAAGGTTGAGCTAGTGATTGACACCTCTACTTCATCTGAAAATATAAATATTTAACACTTCATATCACTTGTAATTTTGAAAGTTTATGCCTAAGTTCTTTATACTATAAACTACCAATTAAAATTCCTGATTATACCATATGTAATATTTTCTACAAATTTATAAAACACATAATATGTTACTATCATTCATGTCATTGCACTGTTTGGAATACAGTATCCTTTTAAATGTTACCTTTCTGCTGTTGTGTACCTTCAGTACTTTTCCGGTTATAGCCCAATACCAGCATGACATTTTTAAGGCTCCCTTTACAAAAACAAAATATGGAAGTTTTCCGTTAAAACTATATATTAAGCTGGTCTGAAAAAAATTAAAGTTGTTCATAGTCTAAGACACAAATACCTTGGAACTGAATTCACAGTTCTATTTTCTAGGTGACCCTTAAATTATATTGAATAAAGGCCAGCATTAAAAAAAAGTAACAGAATCTGTGATCCACTCCTTGCTGCAACTCTTAATTATGTGAGTCTGAGAAAACAGCTTAACCTTTCTATAAAATAGGCTTAGTATTTATACATTACCCTCCCCAAAGTTACAATGTTAAATGAGGTAATGTGTGTGAAAAGTTCTTTGGATATGGTAAGGTACAAATATGAGTATTTAGATGGACACTTAGATGGATGGATATACTGATGTCAAAATATCATATTTTCTTCTCAAATCATTCACTAATTTATTCAACAAATTTGCATCAAAAGTCTTCTATGTAAGTCCTAGGCTAGATCCTGGGAATAAAGGGGTAAACCAAAACACACTAACCCAACCTGCTTGGTGTTTATATTCTAGTGAAGAGACTAGTATTAATGAAAAAAAATATATATGACTATGATCACAACTATGCAAGAAAGCTGTTATGGGAACCCAAAGTGGGAACTTTGACCTAATCAGTGTTTGCTTCTCAGAGGTTTTGACACAGGAGCTAACATTTCAAAGCGTATGAGTTAACTAAGCATAAAAAACCTACTTTAAGCAAAGAAATAAACAGCATGTGCAAATCTCTGAGGCAAAATATAGCACAGTAATTAAGAAGAACTGGATGTTCATCTAGACGAGGAAGATCTGGTAGGAATGTGGTAGATGATGGAGGCAGGAGAGGTACAGTGAAGCCAGCTCACGCAGCACCTTGTAGGCTATGTTCAAATTGATCTTTATTTTAAAATCAAACTGTAACCCATTGAAATTCCACTATAACTTCAGTTATAAGCAAGCTATCCGGGTCCCAAAGTACATACAATTCAACTAGAGAATGCAACAACTTTGGTAGAATAAGACTACGGAGACAACCCATTGAGATACCTACTGTTCTGCTTGTGTGGACATGTATCTTAATAGTTCACAGTCATTAAGAGCATCTAATTCTAACTCCTTCTGTGCAACTCTAACGTCTATAAATGAAAAATAGGTGAAGGTGTTAGAGAAACACATGTTCCTCTTTCACACATACTTGTAATGAATCTATTTTCTTCACCACGTTCAAAACATTCATTAATTATTTGCTAAAGTTACATAAATTCTAGTTTTTTTCGGAATTAAACCCCATAGTGTTGTTTTTGTAAACTTTTGTATATGTGCTTTTATTGTTATTTTCTAAATCAAATTATTATCAAAGGAAGACACAAATATATTTATGCAGAAAATATATTTTATGTGCTATCACGATTTCATCATATTTAAATAGAAAAATAGAAGCAAAAAAAGACAAAGTTTCAGTAAAACATGATTTGTCAATATTTGTAGGTTGTGTGGTTCGGCATGTATTGCTGCAAGAATAAAGATTTGTTATAGAATGAAAAACTAAATGAGATTCTTTAACAAGCGTGGGAGGCTAGACTATGATTAAAATAAACATTTTCTTTATTTTCTTTGCTCAAAAAGTGAAATATATTCAACACTATGTATTTCCCATTTTTGCCTTAGGTAAAAAGGAAAAAAGCAAGTAAGACCCAAACTGAGTGTTCAGCTGCAGTAATCTGCTTCTCTTATGGGACTGAGAGCATTTACTCCCACCATTTCTGTAATGACCCTATTCACAATTTACACCAGTCTTATGTTTCATTGTGTGAACCTCCAAGACCATCCAAATGACACTGGAAAGTGCAGAGAAAAAGTAAATGTAAAATAAAGGCATATTTTATAAGACTTAGAGAATATGAAAAATATCTAAAGGAAAGAAACTTGCCTAGCTGTGCTGTCATCATGACTCTGACCGAATCACAAAAGTTGTAAATTATACGTATAACTCGACGAGTTGAAAGATCCAGGAGTAAAATATGGCCTCCTCCAGTTCCTATCCAAAGAGCAGTGTTCTTCTGAAGGCAGAGAGCTTTCACTCTCCCAGAATAAGACATTTTGTGTTTTGATTCCTTGTTTACTTTTACCATTACCTCCCTAGAACCATAAAGTATACATTAATAATTTTACCACCAGCTAAGACATAAATGCTATTTATATATGAAAACATAAATAACATTTTAAATTATGAAAACATGACACCACACATTATGCATCATTAAAATTATACAAAGCAAATTTTGCTAAACACAGAATGCCAAAGAGCCACATTTCTTTACTTGAAGCATAAATTATCAAAGACAACAATAGCCCTTCATTTTCAGGAAATTATGAATAAGAGGGATACAATTTTTATAAATACCAAAGCTATCTAATTCAGTAAAAATAGCATGCATGTGCCCAGGATAAAGAAAAAAAAGTTAGACTCAAAAGCTTTACATGATGTCTCAGTGTTACAAAGGAACGTAAAATTATAGTCATTCACATGTAAGAGATATCCATACAAACCACTGGATTTTTTCCCAGAACCAGTGAATAGTCTAATTCACGACCAAAATGAAGTGTCCAGAAATAAAAGAATCCTAATCGTTTTGGTACTCCAGGAAGTAAGGAATCCTTTATCAAGGAGACCTGTTGGTTCTTCTGAACATAAACTGTGAGCCCTTCTCACAATCGAGAGAAAAACTGTCAGATGAATCTAAGAAAGGAAACTTTGAAGTCTCCTTTTACAGATACAGTGTGTAATCTCAAATGTTCTTAAGAGTATCATAGATCTATAAGGTAAAACCAAAATAAAATAAAAATATAAAGTGGCTAGCAAATAAGCTTGAAAATGGTCCTGTTTTAGCACCAGCACAGAAAGAATGTGCTTGCTATGGATTTGTCACTCACTGGCTGCATCAGACTAAGCACTATGCTCTCATTCTGGGGTCTTGATCCCAACTCCTTAGTTAGTGCCTTGCTGAGTCCATTGTGTTTCCCCCCATATTCGTCTATTATTTTGTGACTCTTTTTCTTTGAGCAGATAATCCTGGGGCCCATAATTTAATTATAAATAGTATATTTGACACTGTGACACAACTACATCAAAGCTAGCAGAGACTCCAGTATGCTCATTTTCAATAATATACTATTTTCATTCGAGAGCATTCTTTATAATACCGTGAAAAAACTATGCATATTATGCTCCTATTTTTTTATTTTCCCAAGACAAAATGTTCCTGATTTGAAGAGCTGGTGCTGAGAAGCATTAAAAATTTTTTTCTGCATTTTTAAAAAATTCTATTCAGAGGCAGAAAGGAAGACAAATCCTTCCTCTGCGACACATGAAGTGCAAAGATAATTCTTTTGGAAATAAACTTAAAAGCCAATGAATTAACCTTAAAAAATGCACACAGTCTATTAGTTCGCAGAGTTTTTCAGTTTTCTTATCCCACACTTCCACAACAGGGCTATTTTTCTTAGCAATATAGAGAACAGTGTCTACCACCACTGTTACGATGTTGGAATCACTGAAAGCTGCGTAAGAAAACCTACAGAGAAAAAAAAATAGAAAGTCATCACTATTTGTTTTCTTCTTAAAATTTCTACGTGTAATACAACCTTAGTTCTTAATGCATGTAAAAACACTATTTTGAAAACTAAACAAGCTAGACTATTGCAATTATTTCATATTCTTCCCTAACAATTCTGAATTGAATATATAACATGCTTTGGTATTTTACATACTTTTGGTTACTTTATACTAATTTCTCTTGATAATAAAATAAAGATTATGTCCAATGTTGACTTTGGTCTTACTTTTAGTTTCAATTCTATGTAGCTCTTTGTAGAATTTTATACTATATCTAAATTTCTGAAGGAAATATTATAATATCTGTAACTTTCGAATGTCGTTGCAAAACTTTGTTTCATGAATGCTCAGAAAACTAAGCATTAGCCTTTTACATCTAGAGTTATAAAATATAAAATGTTGAAAAAAAATTTAGTTGCAGTGTCTTCAAATTTTAAAGCAAGGTATATCTTTGCAGTTGAGCCAGTCAAATTATAGGAAACAAAAATCCACATCATTCAAACATAAACAGAAAGTAAAATATTTGCCATTTTCCCCTTTTAAACATAAAGAAAAATTACAAACACCTTAAAATATTTCCCTTTCAACCTAAGGCATCTGACATTGTACATATTTCACAAACAGATTGGCTACCATGGGCCACATCAACACGGCAAACTCCTACTCGGCCTTTGAGGATTAACTTAAATGTCAGCTCCTCTGGATTTCTTCCCTGACCTATCAAAATAGACTAACCAGTCCCTTTTCCCCACTGGTGTCACTGTCATATTATAGACCTTATTAAATATAAAATTGTCTTTATTAGGGCATCCCTCACACTAGATTATGAGTGTAATTTCGTAAGGATGAGGACGATGTATTTTCTACATAACCCTCGTCCAGTAAAGAGTTGCACAGATAAGCACCTCTGATATACCAAGCAGTCTATGAAGTGGGGGATAGACGGCACTCCAGTATGAATGAACAACCAGGAATAAGTAAAAATAGTCAAAATTGCATTTAAATCAGATAGATAACATGAAAATACCATAATGATTCAATAATCATTAGTACATCCTAGAGCAGGAAGATTTTTTTTTCTCCCCCTTTTCTTTCTATTCTGGAAAAGGAGATAAAAATATGATGTGTTGTCAGAGAGCCACTATGTTTTAGGTAACGCCTTCCTGGATGTTTGCTGTATTTAATAGAAAATAGTTCCAATTAGGATAAAGTTTTGCAGGGAATTTTCGTATTTTATAAAATACTTTTGTGTGCTATCTTGTTTGACCCTTAATTAAAAAAACATAAAATATGACAAATCTCAATGTTTTTAATTGTAGAAAGAAACATGTACAAATGCTAAATAATTTGCTCAGGGTTCCATGACTACTGACGTCATGCTTGCTGACCTAGGACTAAAAACATGTTGCAGACCTAGAACTCCACAAGTTGTGCAGTCTTCTGGCTTCAAAGGCAGTCATCTTTCATTACTCAATATGCCTCTCAGTCGGTGTGTATTGATGATGATGAGGGTACTGATAATGAGGCAACCTCTGATTCGTGATGTGATGTCTGTTTCGTGGGGTAGAGATCAAGGCCACAGGAGATACTTGTTCAGAAGAGAGCAAATATTTCTCTCTAAGTGTTTATGCAACTAAGTCCCAATCTCTTTTGGGAGATGAACATCTTTGAGAGCTTGATCTTTATGGATGCTCTCTAGTAAAGCATCTGTGCTCCAAATCTTATATGGAACTTTAAGGACTTAATTGATATCCATGATCCCATAAAATGTCTTACGAAATAAAAAAATAAACTGGAGGCCCTTTCTTTTTAAAGGTTTTCAGGCTTGTATAATTAGGTTAAAAGTGGAAATTACAGGAAGGGGAAAAAGGATGAAAAACTACCTATCGAGTACTATGCTCACTTGCTGGGTTGTGAGTTGAGTTGTATTCCAAACTTCAGCATCACTCACTATACCTTTGTTAACAAACCTGCACATGTACCCTTGGAGTCTAAAATAAAATTTGAAAGATAAAAATAATAAAATACATTTTTACGTTCATTTTTTAAAAAGTGGGTGTTACAGAATGAAAATGAGTTGATCTAAATGTTAACCACATACTAGTAAACAAATATGTACACACAGAAATAAAAATCCTCATTCATGGGAACTTACAATACATTGCAGTCTGCAGTATATCTTAACCTCGAATATACTTTAGAATCACTTGAGAACCTGAAAAAAAAACAAGTCTGATCCCCATCCCAGGCTTAACTGATCTAATTTAATTGGTCTGAGGTAGGGCCCAGATATCATTATTTTCAGCTACCTAGTGGTTTCTAATTGCACAGCCAATGTTGAAAACTAGTAGATTTAGTGGTATTAAGAAACTACTTTAAAAAATACAATTATAAAAATAAAATGGCTATTGTGATGGAAAACAATAGATGCAATGGAAGCACAAAGTTACCTAACCTGCCACTCAGAGCAAGTGGCATTTGGACTGAAATAGGCAGGGTGCATAATAGTTATCCAGGTAAAGAGAATACTACATTCAAAGGCTGGGGGTGAAAGGTAACAGGTTATCTTAGAGATCTGAGTCAATTTCAGTTTGGGTAAAGCACAGATGACAAGAAGGTTGCAAAATATGAATCTAGACAGCTAAGCAAGCACTGAATTATGAAGGGCCCAGTAGGCTATCTTAAGGAATCTGGACTTCATATAAAGGACAATGGGATGCCACCGAAGGGTTTTAAGCAGGAGAATTGCATCAGATTGATGTACATTTTAGAAAGGTCCCTCTGTCTGCAACGCTGAAAATAGGTGGAAGAGAATGTAATCAGAGGATGAGAACTGGATGCTCTTGTTAATGTGGTCACAGATGATGGATGGCAGTCTGGCCTATGGTAGCAGCACTGAGAACAGTGAGAAGTACAAAGATTCGAATGACAATTAGGAGGGTCAAGTGGATAAAGGGAGCAAAAACAAAGGAGTCAAAGATTACTCCCAAGTGCCAATCTTGGGCAATTAGATGGATATTGGGAAACTAGGATATTCTCTAAGGTAGGGATTTGTGACTCAAAGCTAATAATAATAATAACAACAATAGCTAATGTTTATTGACAGCTTACCAGGTGCTGGTCGTTACGTTAATTAAGTTCCATATATTAATGTTCTTATTTACTCCTCCAAATATCCCTTTGAGATAGAGAATATTACAATCCTCAGGTAAGAGATGACTGAAGATGTGAAAGGTTATTGCCCAAGTTCACAAAACCAATAGATGGCAAAGCAATACGTGAACTATGGTTTATGCTCTTATCCACAATCCTACACTGCTTATCACTGAGGAATGTGATAAATAAGGACCAATGGCAAAGATTTGATTAAAATACAACTGAAAAAAACAAACTTGAAAGAGGTTTATATTAATATTTTATTTTACTCTTGTTTGAAACTGGTATCACTAACTTGGTTGTTAGTAGACATCTGTATAATTATCAAATCTAGAAACAACTTGAGACAAGCAAGAATACTTGCTGTCTATCTTTCCTACAATCAATACTTGATGGAAATTACCCAAATTGCATATGTAAAGTCTATGAATTTGGTAAAATGCAGAGTTGATTGTCTTCCAATTTCATGTCTAATTTGAAACACAGATAATAAAAATTATTTAAAAATTTAGATTGATAAATACTACTAAGATTACAATGGGTTTACATATTTTATCCCTAAAAGTATGTTTAGGCTATATATTAGGCTATATATTACTATATATTAGGCTGAGTGACTTTTTAAAAATACCCTTCTGCTTTTTGAAATTTTTAAAATTTTTTATAATGAATGTTTAATTTTATGATAGAAATAAATTATGCACTTTAAAAGATCTTCCTTATGAATTATCAACAGTATTATTAATGATTATAAGGAATAAACATAAAGATAATGACAAATTACTTGTACAGATAAAAAATAACTTACAGTTGGCTTGTTCTTGTCTCAATGAGTTTCTGAATGGTGAAATCATTAGAAAAGGAGAAAATCTTTGTGCCACATCCTCCCCACATTACATTTCTTTCTGTTGAATTTGTGGATTCACTCAAACACATCAATGGAGTACTGACATTTCCTATATTTAGTATCTTCAAAGGAGCAGCTCCTTCAAGCTTTGTCAAAAAAAAAGAAAACACACTCAGCAAATTGAGTATCCACAGAATAAAACACTAAAAATCTGTGCTTTCAAAAAACGACTTTCCATCTTAAATGATTAGAGATATTAAAATTAAAACTCAAAAACCTAAAGATTCCATCAAAAAAAAACCCTTAGTTCTGATAAATAAGGACAATAAAGGATTCAAAACCAACATACAGAAATTAGTAGCATATCTACACAAGAACAAAGTGGCTGAAAAATCAAGAAAGCAATCCCATTTAAAGTAGCTACAAAAAATTAATAAAACACCTAGGAATAAATTTAACCAAGATGATGAACAATCTCTATAAGGAAACCTGAAAAACATGAAAGAAATTGAAGAGGACACAAACACATGGAAAGATATTCATGCTCACAGACTGGAAGAATTAATATTGTTAAAATGACCATACTACCCAAAGCAATCTACAGACTCAATGAAATTCCCATGAAAGCTCCAAAGATATTTCTCACAGAAATAGAAAAAAAAATTATAAAACCAAAAAAGAGCCAAAATAGCCAAAACAATCCTGAGCAAAAAGAACAAAGCTGGAGGCATCACACTACCTGACTTGAAAATATATTACAAGGCTAGAGTAACCAAAACAGCACAGTGTTGGCAAAAACACAGATACATAGACCAATGTAGAGGACCCAGAAATAAACCCACATATTTAGAGCCAACTGATTTTCAACAAAGGCACCAAAAGCATACATGAGAGAAAGAAAACTACCTTCAAAAAATTGTGCTGGAAAAGCTGGATATCAGTCTGCAGAAGGATGAAACTAGACCCCACTCTCTCACCATTTACAAAAATCAACTCAAGATGGATTAAAGACTTAAATGTAAGACCAGAAGCTATGAAACTGTTAGAAGGAAACAGGGGAAACATTTCAGAACGTTGATCTAGACAAAGAGTTTATGGTTAAGATCCCAAAAGCACAGGCAACAAAAACAAAAATAGACAAATGGGACAATAATAAACTAAAAAGCTTCTGCACAGCAAAGGAAACTATCAACAATATAGAGACGATCTGTTGAATGGGAGGAAATATTTGCAAACTATTCATCCAGGATACACAAGAAACTCGAAAAAGCAACTCAACAGAAAAAAAAAAAAAAAAAAAAAAGAACCCCATTGAAAAGTAGACAAAGGGCAGGGTGCGGTGGCTCATGCCTGTAATCCCAGCACTTTGAGAAGATGAGGCAGGAGGATTGCTTGAGCCCAGGAGTTTGAGATCAGTCTGGACAACATAGTGGGGTCCCATCTCCACAAAAAATAAAAATAAATAGCCAGGTATGGTGGCACATGCCTGTAGTGCCAGCTACTCGTGAAGCTGATGTTAGAGGATCACTTGAGTGCAGAAGGTCAAGGCTGCAGTGAGCTATGATCATGCCACTGTGCTCCAGCCTGGGTGAGAGAGCGAGACCCTGTCTTAAAACAAAACAAAACGTTTGCAAAGGATCTAAATAAACATTTCCAAAAGAAGACATAGTAATGGCCAATGGATATATGAAAAAAAATGCTCAACATTAACTAATCATCAGTAAAAATGCAAATGAAAACCACACTGAGATCTTCTTCACCCGGTTAGAATGACTATTGTAAAAAAGACAAAAAATAACATGCTGGCAAGGATGTGGAAAAAACGGAATGCCCATATGCTGTTGGTGGGTATGTAAATTACTATAGCCACTACGGAAAACAGAACGGTGATTTCTCCAAAAAACTACAAATAGAACTACCATACAATCCAACAATGTCACTACTGATACTAATCTAAAGGAAAGGGAACCAGTATATCAAAGAGATTCCTATATACCCATGTTTATTGCAGCACTATTCACAATAGCTAAAAAATGGAATCAACCTAAGTGCCCATGAATGAATGAATGCATAAAGAAAATGTGTGTGTTTACATAATGGAATACCATTTGACCATAAAAAGGAAAGAAATCATGTCATATACAGCAACATGGATGGAACTGGAGGTCATTATGTTAAGTGAAATAAGCCAAGCACAGAAAGACAAATATCACGTGTACTCACTCATATGTGGGAGCTAAAAAAGTTGATCTCATGGAGGTAGAGAGTAGAATGATAGTTATCAGAGGCTTGGAAGGATATGGGTGTGTGGGAGAAGGGGAGGATGAAGAGAGGCTGGTTAATGGGTACAAACACAGAGTTAGATAGGAGGAATAAGTTCTAATGTTCAATAGTACAATAAAGTGACTACAGTTAAAAACATTTCAAAATAACTAGAAGAGAAGACTTGAAATGTTCTCAACACATAGAAATAAATGCTCATGGTGATGGATATCCTAAACACCCTGAGTTGACCATTAGACATTCTATGCATGTAACAGCATATCACATGTACCCCATAAATATGTACAAATACTATATATTAAAAAATTTAAGTCATATTCAAAATATTATTGTTACATTCAATCTATTCTTTTTCCCCATGTAAAAATTACATAAGAAATAACCTAAGAGTTATTATACTCTACTTCCATGTCTCTCCTCAGATAATAAGCTTTTTGGTAATAGGAGAATGAACGGGTAGGAAGTAGAGTGAATAGATGGAACCAAAGATGAATAGATGGATAGAGGAATAAATGCTTTAATGACTAAATAAGAATCTGAAGAACACAAAATTAAATGATTTCTTCAATGCTTAAGAAAAAGTTAATGGCAAGTCATATTTAAAACTTAAGTATCTTTTTGGTTTTTTTTCCCACAATATATTTATAAGGAATTATCTTATCTGCCTCAGATACAAATCTGTACAAATTGAATTATTTCCATTCCTAACATTATCAATCAGATGTCATTTATCATCTTATTCTTAGTTCATTCATATAAAATATACAGTCAATCAGCAAGTATTTGCAGAGGATCTACTGTGTGCAAGACTTTATGAAGCAATACAAATATAAGCATAATTTATGATTCTTGCTCTCAGGGAGTTTATAATCCCATAAGAGGGCAGTGAGATATATATAAAACAAAAGACTTAAAATAAATTTAGATGTAGAATGCATTCAACATTTACCTTAACAGTTTTATCTTCAAAAATTGCTAAATTGCCATCAGCGGTTCCAACCAAAAGAAAATTTTTTTGTTTGCTAAAAGGAAAAATGTTGAAATTGTTACAAAAAGAACATGTACATTGGCTAAAATGGCCTTAATGTTCTCCTCCGCTTTATTAAACTTTAGATAGACTTCTCAACTATAAACTCCTAACCTCCCTTTTCTTAGAGTATTTACTTTAGAAGACTTGCAATTATAAATTCTTTCTCTGCCCCTTTTCCCAGACTCTTTCCAGTTTTATACCCCAGGAATGTCTTTTCCAAGGACTTGGGAGCCATTCCTTTGAAATGTAATTATCAAGAAAGAGGCCTGGTGCGGTGGCTCACACCTGTAATCCCAGCAGTTTGGGAGGCCGAGGTGGGCAGATCCCCTGAGGTCAGGAGTTTGAGACCAGTCTGGCTGACACGGTGAAACCCCATTTCTACTAAAAACACAAAAAATTTGCTGGGTTTGGTGTTGTATGCCTGTAATCCCATCTACTCGGGAGGCTGAGGCTACAGAATCGCTTGAACTCAGGAGGTGGAAGTTGCAGTGAGCCGAGATCCTGCCATTGCACTACAACTTGGGCAACAAGAGCAAAACTCATTCAAAAAAAAAGGAAGGAAGGAAAGAAGGAAGGAAGGAAGGAAGGAAGGAAGGAAGGAAGGAAGGAAGGAAGGAAGGAAGGAAGGAAGGAAGGAAGGAAGGAAGGAAGGAAGGAAGGACGACTATTCTCTAGTGTCTGTAGGAGAATAGGAGCCTACCTTCAAGAAGGGACAATTAGCAAGCACAGATGGCCTAATCACATTGACAACTGCTCCCACTTCCCCACAACACATCCTCAGGTACTTTTCCATTAGTTCACCCCTGCACTTAAAACTCTCCCACCTTTTATTTCAGTGGAGTTTAGTTCAATCAGATCTCTCTCCCCTGTTGTGACAGGCTTGAATAAAGTCTTCCTGGCCCAATCCCATCCATTGAAATTTTTCTTTGACCATATTCAAATAATTTCAACTCCGAAACTGCCAGTGGAGCTGATATTTCAGGTTCCAAAAACAGGCTTCACATTTTTCTAATACTTTTTTTCCAATACTAACTTAAACCAGAGAAATATATGGGGTATATAATCTTAATGCCTCCTGGAAATCATCCTGCCCCATTACAGACACCAACCTACAACTCACACCTGAAATTTTGCTATGTAGATATATTTCTTTGGGACAAGAACCCTGCAACTGATAAAAGCTAAGTCATTTTCACCAATTCAGAATTTATTAATTCATTTATTTAATTTTTTTCTTAATTTCATAGATAGTTGGTATGTTTAAGCCTGGCACACAATGGGCTTTTTTATACACACACACATACACACACACACACACACATATTCAAAGAATGAATGAATGAGAATTTATCCTTGAATAGGCCCTACAAAGATGCATTGATCTGAGGAGAAGTAAAGAGAGAGAGCCACAGTTGAGGTAATACCAGGAGCAGGGCTGGTAGGCCTGAAGAAATGGTTGACTTATTTTATAACTGTCTCAGCTAGGTCTGTATTCAGAAAAATAACAAATATCTCTGTGACCTTCCACAATTCCCTTTAATATATGCAAACCAATGCAAATGGGTTAAAAATGAACAATCTTTACTGATGCAATAACAATTCTGCACACAATTAAGTCATTTAAAAGGTCTGTAATTTCCCCCAATGATCAAATTCACTACCATACCTTTGCTTGGAAAAGGAATTGCAATACAAACAAGTGATGGAATCAGTCATCTTTTCTAGGGTATGTCTCTTTTTCCCATCTTCGGTATTGATGACCAGGAGAGTACCAGACTGTGTCCCGGACACAATCCAGCTTTCTTTTTGAACAGGAAGATGCACCAAGGCTAAGCACAATATTCTACTATCAGCAACCTCCTGTTAAGAAAAGAAAATATTCTTACAAGGCTTTGATTTAAGCTTAAGCAACTAGAACTTGTACAAAATAAAGGATTCTGTTATCAACATACTTAACTCTTTTTGCTTTCTTGCATTTACTTGTAAAAACAATGCCAATTTTATTTAATTTTCAATAACAATTGAGTTAATTGGCAAACAAGTTTTGTCTATCAAGATAACATCTGAAAGTAAAATTAAAAATTATTGTTCAGTGTGAATTCTCATTCCTTCAAACCATATAAGAATATTATTTAACTTCAGAACTAATGTCAAGGCACAATATTTATTTCCAGGCAGCAGTCAAAATATTAGGTTGTCTTTTAAGTCTAGAAATTTATCTTATATTTGCCAATACAATGTATTGATCCACTTGTAGAGCCATGCCCGGATCTCCTTTATTAATCAGGTACGCCACCCCTGGCTACCATGAGTGTTGGCTACTATAGTTCAGACCTGTGCTCTTTACCCCAGAATGCCCTCAGATGACAAGAGGCAGCTTTCCCAGAAATGCCTTGTAAGTTACACTACCCCCACCTCCCAGCAGATTGCAGCCAATGAGTGACCAGTATGTGAGAATAAAAGACTGGCCCCCTTGCCTGGCGGTGGGAAAATTCTGTGCTACTGTTCATACTCCAGAGCTCCTTGTGGGCAGAGACTGAGGCTAGACCTCCTGAGAAACCACATTTCTGCTGAGCTTCTTCCTCTGCCCTTTCTGGCTTCCTTTACTTCCCTCTAAGATTCTCTTTCTTTAAATCACTTGTGCAACATCTCAGGGTGTTTCTGGGGACGCTGAACTAAGACATATACTGTTATCCTAAAGCAAAACACACTAGCTCTTGAATACTCTTCTTCTTTTTTTTATTATTATTATACTTTAAGTTCTAGGGTACATGTGCATAACGTGCAGGTTTGTTACATATGTATACTTGTGCCATGTTGGTGTGCTGCACCCATCAACTCGTCAGCACCCATCAACTCATCATTTACATCAGGTATAACTCCCAGTGCAATCCCTCCGCCCTCCCCCCTCAACATTGATAGGCCCCAGTGTGTGATGTTCCCCTTCCCGAGTCCAAGTGATCTCATTGTTCAGTTCCCACCTATGAGTGAGAACATGCGGTGTTTGGTTTTCTGTTCTTGTGATAGTTTGCTAAGAATGATGGTTTCCAGCTGCATCCATGTCCCTACAAAGGACACAAACTCATCGTTTTTGATGGCTGCATAGTATTCCATGGTGTATATGTGCCACATTTTCTTAATCCAGTCTGTCACTGATGGACATTTGGGTTGATTCCAAGTCTTTGCTATTGTGAATAGTGCCGCAATAAACATACGTGTGCATGTGTCTTTATAGCAGCATGATTTATAATCCTTTAGGCATATACCCAGTAATGGGATGGCTGGGTCATATAGTACTTCTAGTTCTAGATCCTTGAGGAATGGCCATACTGTTTTCCATAATGGTTGAACTAGTTTACAATCCCACCAACAGTGTAAAAGTGTTCCTATTTCTCCACATCCTCTCCAGCACCTGTTGTTTCCTGACTTTTTAATGATTGCCATTCTAACTGGTGTAAGATGGTATCTCATTGTGGTTTTGATTTGCATTTCTCTGATGGCCAGTGATGATGAGCATTTTTTCATGTGTCTGTTGGCTGTATGAATGTCTTCTTTTGAAAAATGTCTGTTCATATCCTTTGCCCACTTTTTGATGGGGTTGTTTGTTTTCTTCTTGTAAATTTGAGTTCTTTGTAGGTTCTGGATATTAGGCCTTTGTCAGATGAGTAGATTGCAAAAATTTTCTCCCATTCTGTAGGTTGCCTGTTCACTCTGATGGTAGTTTCTTTTGCTGTGCAGAAGCTCTTTAGTTTAATTAGATCCCATTTGTCAATTTTGGCTTTTGTTGCTGTTGCTTTTGGTGTTTTAGACATGAAGTCCTTGCCCATGCCTATGTCCTGAATGGTATTACCTAGGTTTTCTTCCAGGGTTTTTATGGTATTAGGTCTAACATTTAAGTCTCTAATCCATCTTGAATTAATTTTCGTATAAGGAGTAAGGAAAGGATCCAGTTTCAGCTTTCTACTTATGGCTAGCCAATTTTCCCAGCACCATTTATTAAATAGGGAATCCTTTCCCCATTTCTTGTTTTTCTCAGGTTTGTCAAAGATCAGATGGCTGTAGATGTGTGGTATTATTTCTGAGGGCTCTGTTCTGTTCCATTGGTCTATATCTCTGTTTTGGTACCAGTACCATGCTGTTTTGGTTACTGTAGCCTTGTAGTATAGTTTGAAGTCAGGTAGCATGATGCCTCCAGCTTTGTTCCTTTGACTTAGGATTGTCTTGGAGATGCGGGCTCTTTTTTGGTTCCATATGAACTTTAAAGCAGTTTTTTCCAATTCTGTGAAGAGACTCATTGGTAGCTTGATGGGGATGGCATTGAATCTATAAATTACCTTGGGCACTATGGCCATTTTCACGATATTGGTTCTTTCTATCCACGAGCATGGTATGTTCTTCCATTTGTTTGTGTCCTGTTTTATTTCACTGAGCAGTGGTTTGTAGTTCTCCTTGAAGAGGTCCTTTACATTCCTAGTAAGTTGGATTCCTAGGTATTTCATTCTCTTTGAAGCAATTGTGAATGGAAGTTCGTTCATGATTTGGCTTTCTGTTTGTCTTTTACTGGTGTATAAGAATGCTTGTGATTTTTGCACATTAATTTTGTATCCTGAGACTTTGCTAAAGTTTCTTATCAGCTTAAGGAGATTTTGGGCTGAGACAATGGGGCTTTCTAAATATACAATCATGTCATCTGCAATCAGGGACAATTTGACTTCTTCTTTTCCTAACTGAATACCCTTGATTTCTTTCTCTTGCCTGATTGCCCTAGCCAGAACTTCTAACACTACGTTGAATAGGGGTGGTGAGAGAGGCCATCCTTCTCCTGTGCCAGTTTTCAAAGGGAATTTTTTCAGTTTTTGCCCATTCAGTATGATATTGGCTGTGGGTTTGTCATAAATAGCTCTTATTATTTTGAGATAGGTCCCATCAATACCGAATTTATTGAGCGTTTTTAGCATGAAGGGCTGTTGAATTTTGTCAAAAGCCTTTTCTGCATCTATTGAGATAATCATGTGGTTTTTGTCTTTGGTTCTGTTTATATGCTGGATTACGTTTATTGATTTGCGTATGTTGAAGCAGCCTTGCATCCCAGGGGTGAAGCCCACTTGATCATTGTGGATAAGCTTTTTGATGTGCTGCTGGATCCGGTTTGCCAGTATTTTATTGAAGATTTTTGCATCAATGTTCATCAAGGATATTGGTCTAAAATTCTCTTTTTTTGTTGTGTCTCTGCCAGGCTTTGGTATCAGGATGATGTTGGCCTCATAAAATGAGTTAGGGAGGATTCCCTCTTTTTCTATTGATTGGAATAGTTTCAGAAGGAATGGTACCAGCTCCTCCTTGTACCTCTGGTAGAATTCAGCTGTGAATCCATCTGGTCCTGGACTTTTTTTGGTTGGTAGGCTATTAATTATTGCCTCAATTTCAGAGCCTGCTATTGGTCTATTCAGGGATTCAGCTTCTTCCTGGTTTAGTCTTAGGAGAGTGTAAGTGTCCGGGAAATTATCCATTTCTTCTAGATTTTCCAGTTTATTTGCGTAGAGGTGTTTATAGTATTCTCTGATGGTAGTTTGTATTTCTGTGGGGTCGGTGGTGATATCCCCTTTATCATTTTTTATTGCGTCTATTTGATTCTTCTCTCTTTTCTTCTTTATTAGTCTTGCTAGTGGTCTGTCAATTTTGTTGATCTTTTCAAAAAACCAACTCCTGGATTCATTGATTTTTTGGAGGGTTTTTTGTGTCTCTATCTCCTTCAGTTCTGCTCTGATCTTAGTTATTTCTTGCCTTCTGCTAGCTTTTGAATGTGTTTGCTCTTGCTTCTCTAGTTCTTTTAATTGTGATGTTAGAGTGTCAATTTTAGGTCTTTCCTGCTTTCTCTTGTGGGCATTTAGTGCTATAAATTTCCCTCTATACACTGCTTTAAATGTGTCCCAGAGATTCTGGTATGTTGTGTCTTTGTTCTCATTGGTTTCAAAGAACATCTTTATTTCTGCCTTCATTTCATTATGTACCCAGTAGTCATTCAGGAGCAGGTTATTCAGTTTCCATGTAGTTGAGCAGTTTTGATTGAGTTTCTTAGTCCTGAGTTCTAGTTTGATTGCACTGTGGTCTGAGAGACAGTTTGTTATAATTTCTGTTCTTGTACATTTGCTGAGGAGTGCTTGACTTCCAATTACGTGGTTAATTTTGGAATAAGTGCGATGTGGTGCTGAGAAGAATGTATATTCTGTTGATTTGGGGTGGAGAGTTCTTTAGATGTCTATTGGGTCTGCTTGCTGCAGAGAAGAGTTCAATTCCTGGATATCCTTGTTAACTTTCTGTCTCGTTGTTCTGTCTAATGTTGACAGTGGGGTGTTGAAGTCTCCCATTATTATTGTATGGGAGTCTAAGTCTCTTCATAAGTCTCTAAGGACTTGCTTTATGAATCTGGGTGCTCCTGTATTGGGTGCATATATATTGAGGATAGTTAGCTCTTCCTGTTGAATTGATGCCTTTACCATTATGTAATGGCCTTCTTTGTCTCTTTCCATCTTTGATGGTTTAAAATCTGTTTTATCAGAGACTAGTATTGCAACCCCTGCTTTTTTTTGTTCTCCATTTGCTTGGTAAATCTTCCTCCATCCCTTTATTTTGAGCCTATGTGTGTCTCTGCATGTGAGATGGGTCTCCTGAATACAGCAAACTGATGGGTCTTGATACTTTATCCAATTTGCCAGTCTGTGTCTTTTAATTGGAGCATTTAGTCCATTTACATTTAAGTTAATATGGTTATATGTGAACTTGATCCTGCCATTATGATATTAACCGGTTACTTTGCTCGTTAGTTGATGCATTTTGTTCCTAGCCTTGATGGTCTTTACACTTTGGAATGTTTTTGCAATGGCTGGTATCGGTTGTTCCTTTCCATGTTTAGTGCTTCCTTCAGGGTCTCTTGTAAGGCAGGCCTGGTGGTGACAAAATCTCTAAACATTTGCTTGTCTGTAAAGGATTTTATTTCTCCTTCACTTATGAAACTTCGTTTGGCTGGATATGAAATTCTGGGTTGAAAATTCTTTTCTTTAAGAATGTTGAATATTGGCCCCCACTCTCTTCTGGCTTGTAGAGTTTCTGCTGAGAGATCTGCTGTTAGTTTGATGGGCTTTCCTTTGTGGTTAACCCGACCTTTCTCTCTGGTTGCCCTTAAGATTTTTTCCTTCATTTCAACTTTGGTGAATCTGGCAATTATGTGTCTTGGAGTTGCTCTTCTTGAGGAGTATCTTTGTGGCGTTCTCTGTATTTCCTGAATTTGAATGTTGGCCTGCCCTACTAGGTTGGGGAAGTTCTCCGGGTTGATATCCTGCAGAGTGTTTTCCAACTTAGTTCCATTTTCCCTCTCACTTTCAGGCACCCCAATCAGACGTAGATTTGGTCTTTTTACATAATCCCATACTTCTTGCAGGCTTTGTTCATTTCTTTTTCTTCTTTTTTCTTTAGATTTCTCTTCTCACTTCATTTCATTCATTTGATCCTCAATCGCTGATACTCTTTCTTCCAGTTGGTTGAATTGGTTACTGAAGCTTGTGCATTTGTCACGTATTTCTTGTGTCATGGTTTTCATCTCTGTCAGTTCGTTTATGGCCTTCTCTGCATTAATCATTCTAGTTATCAGTTCTTCCACTCTTTTTTCAAGATTTTTAGTTTCTTTGTGCTGGGTACGTAGTTCTTCCTTTAGCTCTGAGAAGTTTGATCGACTGAAGCCTTCTTCTCTCATCTCGTAAAAGTCATTCTCCATCCAGCTTTGATCTGTTGCTGGTGACGAGCTGCGTTCCTTTGCCGGGGGAGATGCGCTCTTATTTTTTGAATTTCCAGCTTTTCTGCCCTGCTTTTTCCCCATCCATGTGGTTTTATCTGCCTCTGGTCTTTGATGATGGTGACGTCCTGATTGGGTTTTGGTGTGGGTGTCCTTCCTGTTTGTTAGTTTTCCTTCTAACAGTCAGGACCCTTAGCTGTAGGTCTGCTGGAGATTGCTTGAGGTCCACTCCAGACCCTGTTTGCCTGGGTATCAGCAGCAGAGGCTGCAGAAGATAGAATATTGCTGAACAGTGTGTGTACCCATCTGATTCTTGCTTTGGAAGCTTCCTCTCAGGGGTGTACTCCACCGTGTGAGGTGTAGGGTGTCGGTCTGCCCCTAGTGGGGATGTCTCCCAGTTAGGCTACTCAGGGGTCAGGGACCCACTTGAGCAGGCAGTCTGTCCGTTCTCAGATCTCAACCTCCGTGTTGGGAGATCCACTGCTCTCTTCAAAGCTGTCAGACAGAGTCGTTTGTGTCTGCAGAGGTTTCTGCTGCTTTGTTGTTGTTGTTGTTGTTGTTTAGCTGTACCCTGTCCCCAGAGGTGGAGTCTACAGAGACAGGCAGCCCTCCCTGAGCTGCTGTGAGCTCTAGCCAGTTCGAGCTTCCCAGCGGCTTTGTTTACGTACTTAAGCCTCAGCAATGGCAGGTGCCCCTCCCCCAGCCGCCGTTAGATTGCAGACTGCTGTGCTAGCAATGAGGGAGGCTCCGTGAGCATGGGACCCTCCCGTCCAGGTGTGGGATATAATCTCCTGGTGTGCCCGTTTGCTAAGACCCTTGGTAAAGCGCAGTATTGGGGTGGGAGTTACCCGATTTTCCAGGTGTTGTGTGTCTCAGTTCCCCTGACTAGGAAAAGGGATTCCCTTCCCCCTTGAGCTTCCCAGGTGAGGCGATGCCTTGCCCTGCTTCAGCACTCGCTGGTCGGGCTGCAGCAGCTGACCAGCACCAATTGTCTGGCACTCCCTAGTGAGATGAACCCAGTACCTCAGTTGAAAATGCAGAAATCACCGGTCTTCTGTGTCGCTCGCGCTGGGAGCTGGACACTGGAACTGTTCCTATTCGGCCATCTTGCTCCGTCCCCCTGAATACTCTTGTTCTAACAGAAGGCTAATTGAATAATATTCCTACATTGGCTCTTATTTTCTTTGTAAAACATTTATACTTTTGTTTTTACTTTGTAAAAGTAAAATTTGTAAATTTTTACTTTGTACAAAATAAATTTAAAAAATTATCCCTAAGTAACTTTCTAACTGGTATATGCTTTAAATTACAAAAGATTTAAAGAGCATTGGATTTACCTCAGAAGTGTATCCTTCAGTATTTAAGTCAAGAAATGAGAGCTGTCCTCTGTTGGTGTGCCCACAGCCCAGCCAAATGCTTGCATTCCTGCTGTTGTGATGTGTAGCAACCATGCAGTCAACAATTACGTTTTTAGGTAATAAAATGTGTCTCGTCAGACAGACTAATTCAGCTGAATTCAAAATGTCAAAGACCTGAGAAAGTTCAAAGACAACAAAACAGTACTTATCAAGTTAACTCATTTCCCTTGAAAAATCAAACATAGACTTAAATGTTATAGCTCTGTCAAGCAAAACCGAAAACTGTTAAACTGGAACCCAACTAGCTCATCAAGATTAGTGTCTAAACTACAGATACAATTACATGAAAAGGCAGATCTGTATTTTTAAACTGTACTTGATACTTTTTGGTATGTGTAGTGTTTTTTTTTCACTTGAAAATCTCAAGGGTCAATTAAATAGGATTTTAGCAGAGTCAGGAGGTACTCTTCATGCAATTCTACATTGCAGAGCCATCGTAAGTGAGAGAAAAACCCTTGGGACAACAATTTAGTTGAGCTTCTAGTAGTTGAAAGGAACAGGAATTTCAGTCTTTGGTAACAAAATTTAGAAGTCACCTCTAGATTATGTTTTTATGTTTGTCCTTCAAACACTAATGATCTGGAAAGACAGTGTGAAGGCACTGTAAGAAAACAGAACCATAAGTCAGGAAACTGGGATTAGTGGTGTGACATGGCCACTTACCCACCACTCAGGAGACACCAAGAAAGCCCATTACTCTCTCTGTGCCTCATCCCATAAAAGTGATGAGTTTTCCTGTCTTGCCTAGTATATGTTATATTTTAAAGATAAAATAAGTATGTCTAAGCTTTTTAATATTGTCATATATATATATATACTTGTTATATATTCTGTTAAGTATAAGTGAAATACAGTTGAAAATGAAAAAAGAAAATAGTAAAACAACAAGTTATGAAAAATGTTTACTGTGGACATAAATATAAAAGTTCATGTGACTAACATTGGTGGTAACCTAAATTTAAAAACAAGTAAGCCATGTAGAAAAGAAAGCATGTAATGTTTGATAAAGTCAACATAGTTGTACTTGACTATTTTTGATCAGAAAATTTAAAGTTAAAACTTTTCCAATTAATTATAACACAAAATCAAGAGCTCCCAACCTAAAGATAACCCACATTTATTAAAATGTGTGTAAGTATAAAACATCACAAGAGTTCTCTTTCAGATAATATGGTGGATGAGGTTACTTGGGCAAATCTTCCAACTAAAAACAATTTAAAATGCTAAATGATTTTTTTTAAAAACAATGTATTAAAAACATTGAAGATCTGACACCATAAGGCATTATCAGGCCAAAATCACAGTGAGAGACAGAAACCAGAGGGGTCAGTTGACCCTAAAGCCAGACTTGCCCTGAAGACATTTGTCTGCCAAGACAAAGTGAGACAAAATAAATGTATACTCTTGGATGCTTTGTGGGGCCCATGGGAAAGAAGTTAGAGTCTACGGCCTTCCCAAGATAAGACAGTCTTAGTAAAGGGACTGTACCCATAAAGCTGGGACCCTAAGGGACTGCATATTCAGCATAAACAAGAAGCAGAAATCAACCTGTCCACATTTCCACCTTCACTGGTATATAAGGAAAGTTGCTTTGGGACTGTGCAGGGAAAGGGGGAGAGGGAGCAAAAGGTTGCTGAAAAATTGCTATTCACAAGCTTGTTGTCAGTACAATTCATAGACCAGATTTACATCAACTAGGCAGTTAAAAAACAAATCTCAAGCCATGAATTGCATTTGAAGCAATTTGCAGCAAGAAAATCCAGCCAAAGATATGCAAGACCTATACGTAGCATTACAAAACTTTATTGAAAGACACTTGAGAAGACCTAAGTAAACAGAGAGAATTTATGCCATTCCAGAATAGGAAGACTTGGCCAGGTACAAGTGGCTCATGCCTATAATCCCGGCACTTTGGGAGGCCTAGGCTGGAGGATTGCTTGAGGCCAGGAGTTCAAGACCAGCCTAGGCAACATAGTGAGACTCATTCTCTACAAAAAAAAATTAAAGGAAAAGTTAACCAGGCCTGGTGGCACACAATTGGCTGATGGAGACTGAGGTGACAGGATAGCTTGAGCCCAGGAAGTCAAAGCTGCATTGAGCTGTGACCCTGCCACTGCACTCCAGCCTAGGTAACAGAGCGAGACCCTCTCTCTCAAAAAAAAAAAAAAAAAAAAAAAAAAAAAAAGGATTCCAAAGACTTAATACCATAAGGATATCCTCTCCAGATTGTTTCCATATTAATCTAAGACCAATCCAAAGGACAATAGGGTTTTTCATAAGATTTGACAGCATGCATCTAAATTTTATGTAGAAAAGCTAAGCCTAAGACTGGTTAAAATATTCCTGGATGAGAAAAGTAAATAGGGAGAGAGCATTATAAAGCTACAGGAATTAAGACAGGTTAGTACTGGAGGAAAAATAAGCGAGTTGATCAGTGGAAGACAGTGTACATGTGGATATGTGCATTATCTTTAATAAATTACAAAAGGGACACATCAGATCAATGGGACAAAAGGGGAGAAACCATTTAGTAAATCAAGCTGAAAAAACTAGTTTTCCACATTAAAAAAAGGAGTTGGATACAGATAAAAATGTCAATTCCAATGGATTAAAAAATTGTCAAAACCAAACTTTTAAAACGCTTGAAGAAATCATAGGTAAATATTTTTGTGGCTCTAAAAGAAAGATGGACTCTACAACAGGACCGAACAGGAATAACTAGAAAAAGGAGGAAAAAGGATTGTTAAATTTATATATATTAAAATTAAGAAATTATGTTCATTAGTGGGCACCCTACAGCAAATTTAAAAATCAAGCCACGAACTCGAAAAAGAAATTTGCAACATATAAAACCAACAAAGGATTAGTAGGTTATATATGAAAATTTTTTTCTCGTTTGATTTGTAGGCAAAAGAGTCAACAGAAAAATGGGCAAAATAATGGGCAGGCATTTCGAAGAAGAGGAGAGGAGACAGGCATATGGGAGCACGTGGGGTTTTGGCAATGTCCTTTTTCTGTGCCTGGGATGGTGAAAATTATAGGAGGTTTGCCTTATAAGTATTTTTAATTCTGTCTGTGTGTGTTTATTTATGTGTTTAAGTATATATATATTTGAAGATTTTATATATATATGCATATATGCACATGATGTTCTGTACAAAATATTAACAAAATTTTATTATAAGAATACCTGGGCAGAAGTAGGCCTTTCTTGAGGATTTTCTTTCAAACACTTTGTAATTAATTTCTCAACCATAGGCCATGGGGCACAACCATATTCTTTAACTGGATCTAAAACATTAAAACACATCATGCTAGCATACTAAATAAGTAAGAACACTTATATTTCCCCTCAATGTTTATAAAAGGTCCAGATATTGCAAAGAAAAATATTATCTCCATAATCCTATATTTATGTAAATTTACTTATCACAAAATAAAAGCTAATTTTGTTAAATAGATCTCCACTAAGAGCTGTGGAAAAAGACTTTTTTTATGGAATCAAAAGAGACCCAAATAACAATTTAATAAAATAATAGATTTTCATTCTATACCTGCATTTCAAATAGACTTTGGAAACACTTTTACTCATATAATAATTAAGCTTCTACTTTTAATTTTAATACTCAAAGTAGGCAAGCATTTAATCCTTATGTCCTCACAGATGGTTTGTGCACATTTGTTTTTTATAAGATGTTGCTTATTCTTCCGGTTGATGCAGAATGCAGAACTGATTTTTTTTTTTTTTTTTTTTTTTAAGATAGAGTCTCACTGTTGCTTAGGGTGGAGTGCAGTGGTGCGATCTTGGCTCACTGCAACCTCCACCTCCCAGGTTCAAGCTATTCTCATGCCTCAGCCTCCTTGGTAGCTGGGACTACAGGCACGTACCACCACGCCCAGCTAATTTTTGTATTTTTAGTAGAGACAGGGTTTCACCATGTTGGCCCGGCTGGTCTCCAGCTCCTGGCCTCAAGTGATGCGCCTGCCTGGGCCTCCCAAAGTGCTGGGATTACAGGTGTGAGCCACTGTACCCAGCAGAGACCTGAATATTTTCACTAGAAAACTAGTAAGATAAAGGAAATACCTAGATTATATCTAAGGTTTATCCAATTAATAATAAGTTGTGTTTTGCCACAATCTTGAAGTTACACTCAAAAAAGATAAAGTTCTATTTCCTGTACGTGGCACGTCGTGTACACTCAAAAGTATTTTTTAAATGAAAGGGAAAGCAGAAAATATGAGAAGAGCTAAACAAATTTAAAAGGGTATTTTGGGGTGAGAACCAAAGTAATGGCTAAGGAATGAATTACAAAGTCCTCTAATTTCTTGAAAGCCTGAGACAACCATTCCAAATGAGCTTTGATAACATTAAATATGCATTTACCGATTCTTACTAAAAATTATTATTATACATCATTCAGTCTTCCATTCCTGCATGTAAATTATTTCACTCCAAGAAAATGAAAACATTCCAGGATAATGAGTACATAGTAATTATTTATGAAAATTAAAAATCACCAAATGTGGAGTTCTAACAGCAATTTCCTTTTCTGAGTATATTTCTAAATATAATACTAAATACACCAATATTAATTTAGAATTCTTTTAAAAAGCCTAAAATTGCTACCTTTTTCAGGTGACTTTCATTAATATGCCATAGGATTTAAGAATATTTATGCTTTAAACAAAAAATGATCATCTGTTTAAGGAATTAAGCATACAATTACAATTACATAAAAATAAGGCTGCTGATATTAAGAAAAAATAATCTTCATTGTAGAGGAAACAGAGCTTACCAGGTAATTTTCCTTGTATTGCTAATTCATCAAACTCATTTGGAAACTTCAAACCCTCTACTATTCTACCTCCAGTTGTCAAAATGTCATAGAGTAGCAAACCAAATGAATAAACATCAGCTTGTTGATTATAAATGACATTTCCTCTGGCAACTTCAGGTGCACGAAACCCTGAAAGCAAGCAGATAAAATAAATATGCCCAACATCAGGGCTCATACATCCAAGGAGGCATACACTTAGGCTCTATGCCAAACAAGAGAGTCAGGAAGAGACGTTCTAAACCAGGCTGTGTTATTTTTATAACCAGGTACTTTGATCAAGTCAATTAATTGTCCTGTCTCATAACATCTCATCCCCCGAGATTGACCTCAAAGGACAATAAAATCCTTTCAATCTTTATTATAAGTATCTTCAATCTTCAATAAAATTACCTTGAAGGATAATAAGGATAAACATTCAATGGTAAGTTATTAAGTAGTATTTCATAATTAAGAAATAAAGCTTACTAGGAAAACCTATATCATTTTTCTCATTCCTAATATTAACTATTTCCAGGACAGTGTTTTAAAAACAGGAGAGATGAGCAGAAAGATTTCTAAACTTCACTCCAACTCACTTTAACCTGACCAAAATTCTAACACTCTCATTATTTCCTGAACTTGTCACTTTGCTCCTTCTACCCAAAAAATAAAAAATAAAAATAACAACAACAACTAAAACAAAAAATGCCTTCTCTCTTGGGTTCATGCCTGAAATTCTTTTAAGGGGAAATAAATCTTTTATTCCACAAGAGAGATAAATTACTTTTAAATTCTTCAGAAAAAAAGAGTGATTTCAACATTTGTGATAATAATAAAAATATAAACAACCTAAAGAAATCCAATCACAAAGGGAAATGGTTAAACAATTAAACAATGTATACCATGCAGTAACTTAAGGATCACTTTCTAAGATGATATGCTATGACATAAATTAAAAGAAAATGTAGGATAGAATCCTGGATAGACAGAAAGTTATCAAATATGTGGAAAAAATCAACTGAATTATTTTCTTAGCTGTGATAATGGTATTATGATCATGTAAGTAAACATCCTTATTCTTTTTTTTATTATTATTATACTTTAAGTTCTAGGGTACATGTGGATAACGTGCAGGTTTGTTACATATGTATACCTGTGCCATGTTGGCGTGCTGCACCCATCAACTCGTCAGCACCCATCAATTCGTCATTTACATCAGGTATAACTCTCAATGCTATCCCTCCCCCCTCCCCACTCCCCGTGATAGGCCCCGGTGTGTGATGTTCCCCTTCCCGAGTCCAAGTGATCTCATTGTTCAGTTCCCACCTATGAGTGAGAACATGCAGTGTTTGGTTTTCTGTTCTTGCGATAGTTTGCTGAGAATGATGGTTTCCAGCTGCATCCATGTCCCTACAAAGGACACAAACTCATCCCTTTTTATGGCTGCATAGTATTCCATGGTGTATGGGTATATACACAAAGGATTATAAATCATGCTGCTATAAAGACATATGCACACGTATGTTTATTGCGGCACTATTCACAATAGCAAAGACTTGGAATCAACCCAAATGTCCATCAGTGACAGACTGGATTAAACATCCTTATTCTAAAGAAATACACACACACTGTTCAGAGATTACATGGCATGATGTCTACAACTTAATTTCAGCGATTCATTCATATGCAAACAGAGCAAGAAAGAACAAGTAGGGCAAAAAGTAAATAACCAATGAATTTATGTGTAGGGTATATGAGTGTATACTGCACTATTCTTTCTTTCTTTTTTTTTTTTTTTTTTGAGATGGAGATCTCATTCTCTTGCCCAGGCTGGAGTGCAGTGGTGTGATCTCGGCTCTCTGCAACCTCCGCCTCCTGGTTTCAAGCGATTCACCTGCCTCAGCCTCCCGAGTAGCAGGGATTACAGGTGCCCACCACCATGCCCAGCTAATTTTTGTATGTTTAGTAGACACGGAGTTTCACCATGTTGGCCAGGCTGGTCTTGAACTCCTGACCTCAAGTGATCCACCCACCTCAGCCTCCCAAAGTGCTGGGATTACAGGCAGGAGCCACTGCACTTGGCCTGTACTATTCTTTCAACTGTTCTGTAGGCTTAAACATTTTCAAAATAAAAAGTTGATGGGAATGTACATAATTAAAATCTAAGAAGAAAACATCCCAATATAATTATTATTTCATTTGCTAAAATTATCTGTACATTTTATCTTCCTTTTTATTTCGAAAATTTTTACAATGAACTTATATGATTGTAAGAGTAATTTAAATATGCAGCCAGAAAAATATAACAAAGTATGAATTCATAGCCTTCAAGGAGTAAATGACTGAATTTGGAAACAGTTCTATTTGACAGAGAGACTACCAGCAAAAGATGGAGCTCAGCAGTCCTCACCATGCTAGAAAAGCATGAAGAGTTGGAAGGGTGGAGATATCGAATTTGAGCATGATAACTCCTACTACACTAACCGAGGATAACATTCCCCCACATACATGCATGTAAATAGATTGTATACATAGTAACATAGTAATATAATTACATATAATTATCATGTAAATTAGCATAATTTATATACTATATTAAGTTACAGATACAATGTTTCAGACATACATATACATTTCCTTAGAATAAGGGTATTTTCCTATATAACCATAATATCATTCTCACAATCTAAGTTAAAGAATTACGTAATTAAGACAGCTCTAAAACATATCCCTAATAAAGTGCACCTGTGACATAATGTAAACGAATCACAATAGCCCCTAATTCATCTCTCTCTACTATTTTACAGATGCCTTATTGAATATTTCTTTTGATATGCACAAGAATCATCTGTGGTAGACAGATAAGGACTTTCTATTTTACAAATGACATAATCCTTTCAGAAATATATGTATTTTCCTAAGGCCACACAGATAATGAACAGCAAAGTCAAGAGTACTTAAAAATAATGAGCTACCCACGCAGTCACTAGTTTATTAACAACCTTTATGCTTCCCATCTTAGAATGTGAAAGAGATTTGGGAGGTTTATTTAAATCTTAATCAGTTATTTATTATTCATTGAGCACATTTATTAGGTATCTATTTTATCCAGGTACTATTCAAAAACTACTAAAATGTTCAGCATATTTTTTTCTTGATAAATGCACTGTTAGAATTTGGAATCACAGGCTCTTAAAGCAGGAAAAGACTCTAGGGGTTATTTCATCTAATTCTAAATTCTCATCCAGTGCACACCTCCTTTTAGAATAGATTTTACCCCTCTAGGCAACAATCTGAAGATCGTAGAGCTGTGCAGAAGGTTGGAATTTTTTTTCACAATGAGTCAGAGAACTCTGAGAAGATAACTGTGAAGATATGGAAATGAATATTTACTTCAATATGGAAATGCTTTTAAACTTCTCATCTTCCCCTTTTCAAAGTAAATATCTTCATTGGCACGATCTCTAGCATGAAAACATAGTATTATTTATAGATTCATCAAGTGCCTCAATTCTAATATAATATCCTTCTAAAAGCTAATTTAAATTCTCCCAGTGAATCTCTAGTGTTCTTGATTGCACTAACAATTTCCTGATGAACGTCATGCCACTATTAAGCGGTAGAGCCAGTTTGGTGCTTGGTAAATGTTCAATATATTGTTGCCAAATGAATGAATAAATGAATAAAAAATAAGTATAATTTCCCCTTGGAGAATTATCATAATGATCATAATGTTAAAATACTTGAGAAAATATGATTGTCTAAAAACTATTTTTAGAAATAATTTTTCAGAGAAGCTTGTATTTTAACAAATGCAATAAGTAAATAAATAAAGGATCCATAGATGAAGAATAAGAGAAATTTATGAATTAAGTCTGAGTATATATCACATTGTGTACTGAAACATATACTTTATTTTTTACTTTCAGAGAAATATGAGTAGAGTATGTTCCATAATCTCCATCAGATATTCGTGTATGTCCAGCCAGTAACATTTTATTTACCCAAAGACTGTAGTATTTATGTGGGTGTGTTAAATAATATCACATTAGTTAAATGTTAAAGCCATCAGTCAGCATTCATCTCAGTTAAAAGTGCAATTGCCACAGGACCCAGAATTAACTGTCACTCCCAACCAGATATGATATAAATATATCCATTTGACTGAGTTAATGTTGAAACCCTCCAAGTTATTTAAAGGTGAAAATATCCATACCATAATTATTTTCAAAATATGGACAGACATGGCACCACGGCCCTTGTCAATAATTGCATTGTTTCCGTTTCTGCGTCCCCAGCTATCACAGTGCTGGACAGGAGCTCTGCTCTCAAGCTGCTTGGGTATGCATTTTGTCTTACAGTTTTGTCCTATAGGACCTTGTAAATGTTTTTGATACTCTCTAAACTTTAGTCTCTGCATCTATAGACTAGAAATAGTAATAGCACATATATCAGAGGGTCCTAAGGATTGAGATGCTCAACTCATGGACAGAGCTAAGCACAAGCCCAGCACATCGCTCATGCTCTGGAAGGTTCTGCTCCTATTACAGCTGTAATGGACCCACACTCATAATGCACACACTTCGGTAAGAGTTCGTATAAAACTGCACCCAAAAAGTTTAACAAATCCATCGTCTTTTGTTTCTCTAGAAGTTTCCATGTTAAAAGATGTAACATTAACAGGAAGATTCATGAAACAGAAAAGACAAGAAGATAACTGAAATTGTATGAGAGGGAACTGTTTTCTTCCCAAACAGAACTGCTTTGGGGAAGAAAAAGTTTGGTGACAGTAGTACTAGTAGCAGTATTAGTAGGAGTGAGAATTATTGTTATTTAAAATTGGAGGCAGAGTTTAGGGCTAAGATAATTAGAAGTGCTCTAACAATAATAGAGTAATGATAAAGGGAAAATCTAGGTTACAGCCAGAAAAAAAAAAAAAAAAAAGCTTCCAAAGTATTAAGAAGCCTGTGAGAAGAGTGGGCACAAAAGATTAGGCCCTGGGTTTCTGTCATGATCTGTCTCCATATTTATGTTACCACCATTCAATATTGGAGATTAAAAGGGATCAGGAGCAATTGTGTCACTTGGTATGAAGAATCAGATGGGTATTACATTTTAGACAGGTATTGAGCAAAACCAGAAATCAGATACTGAAAATGAAAGGCCATGAGTCTGAACCAAGGTGAACTGAGTGGCTGCTAGCTGACCCAGACCACAGAGCAGAGAAGCAGAGCCCAAGTACAAGAACACAGCCCATAGAGACCCGAGAGTTCCACTGTCCAATTAAGTAGACAAGGCTTCAACAACAGATTTTCACCCCATGAACAGAAAGACTGGGTTGGGAGATGCAGAAAGAAGAAACTGAGTGGTCCAGTCCACCTTCATGTCCCATGACAAAAATGAGCAGATCTTCCAAAAGAAAATCATTGTCCTGTGCCCACTTTTTTCAGGTAGGAATATATGAGGTCTATGGAATTTCATCTTTTAAGATTGTTTTTCCAAACCTCTCATTGACAATATTTGCTATTCATGGCTCTATTGTTTTGTTTTGACTTTTTTAATAGGGAAAATTAAATAAGCTTCTTCATGTTAGAGTCACATATGGTTTAGAAGAGACTATAGAATTTAAAGCCAAATATCTCTGGATCTGGTTCTCATTCAGACCGAATTCTTATCTCGGCCAATTACTGAGTGATATTCTGCAAGTTATATAATCTCCCTGAGCCTCAGTTTTCTCATTTGGCAAATGAGAAAATAATAGCTAACTTTCAGCCCTGGCATGAGGATAAGAGATCTTGTCTCTAATATACCTGGCACTGGGCCTGACGCACAGCACGGTACTGAAAAAAATTATAATTAATTTCATTGAACTACACAAAGACACTCTCAGCCAGAACATACACTTTGAAGTGTTTATGAGAATACACAGTCTACTTCTAAAATGTACCTATGCAAAACAAAAGAGTATATATGTATTTGGAGCAAAAATAAAACCAGGCATTGGAATCTGGAGCCATTTGTTTATCTAAATACAAAAGTTGAGTGGGCAAGAATTGAACTGGAACCTTTTCCCTAGTGAGATATCCTCTAGCATATTTTCTTCTGTGTCAGGCATGGTGATTTAACTGAGTTGCAATCATCAAGATGACGTATAGCCACCTGTAATTTTACTTACAAATAACTAACTATATAAAGTTTCCCTAAAGATAGAGTGATCCCCCCCTCCAAACAAATGCCAACCCCTAAATGTTGTATTTCCTGCTCAAACTGATGTCTGAGACAACATGTCTGTACAGATCACTGGCCCCATAACTGCTTTTTAGGAATCTGAGCTTGAAATTCTGATGAATTTGAGTTGAAGAAGTGGAGTGGGAACTGAGAAAGGGAGGGAATATTCCATGGGGTAGTTAGTGATGTGCACAGAAACCCTTTCAAGGGTCAGGGCCGGCCCCCTGTACTCAAACATGTATATATTTCTGCAGCAAAATGTACGCATATTCACACTGGGCATGAGAAATAAAGACTGTAATAAGCATCAAGTCAGTTTGCTTAGGTTTTGACACCAAATTAGTTATTAAAAAAAAAAAAACTTGGGGTTTTCAGAGTTATGAAAAAGAATTTGTGGATTTCAGAGTTATGAAAAAGAATCTGTGGACCTGAATTTGATTTGCCTCACAAGTGTCAACAGTACCTAGACTGAAGTTTTTGCTGTTACTTTTTACAACCTCTAGAGTATCTAAAGAATCTAAAAATCTAACTTATAAAAATATAACTTGATATCAAATGTTCTCTTCTTTTTTATTCAGTTTTTGCCCTGAAAAATTACATCAATTGTCTTTTTTCCTACAAAATACAATGATAAAAATCACAATGTAATGCTTGCAATTTTTCACACAGTAAACCTCTGTTCGCAATGTGATAGACTCTGGTTTCCTTTTGACTCTTCTGAACTCACATCTGAGGTCAGTGGTTATCCATCCTGAAGACAGAATTATGAGACAAACCTGATCACCTACCTGGTGTGCCCTCTGACGTTTTTATCCCCATTCTACAGCAGTACTGAGCAATGCCGTAGTCAGCAATCTTTGCAATGATGGCAGCATTGGGATACAGTGTGAAAAGCAGCACATTGTGGGGCTTCAAGTCTCGGTATATAATCATGGCTGAATGGAGGTATCTGCCAGAAAATGCCCAGGAAATCTTATTCAAATGTGATTACATTATAATAATTTCTCTCCTAATTTCCTTAAATATACATGTCCATTATGCCAAGCATCAAAAATTCTGTGCTCACTTTGACCCTTAAAGTTAAGTGGTATTATAGAAGAAAATCAAAACATACAAGTCTAATATTACAAAGTAAAGTTACGCTTTAAAAAACGGTCAAATCTGATAAGCGAATGATTTCAATTTTAAGACAAATCTATCTCAGGCAAAGACCGAATTTTTGGAGACTTTTCTTTAGTATATATGAACAATTACTTAAAGGCAATTCTGAATACCCTCAATGATCATGTGAATATTTTAGCTATTTCAAATAAGTTAAATAAGAATTGATGGGATTTTGTTGTACTTGCCATTTATTTAATAGTTTTGATTTTCTTAAAACCATATAGAGGTTTAGCTCAGATTTAAAATTTTTCTCTATCCTATTTACCATTGATATTTATTTTTCTGACTAAAATGTTTCCCAATGTTTGGAAAATATTTTCTACTTTTTGGATGAAAACAAATGAAAATATAAGACTTTTGCTTGCTATTAGTCTCTTCTTCTGTTTGAGTATATAATTTACCATAAACCTAATCATGTTAGATATTAAGGTTAAAAAAGAGTATTTTGGGCTGAGTTAGAATGAATAAAACATTGTCTTGGAAAAGATGATGGGTAACATTAAATTCCATCCTTTTGGAGACTAACCCACGCAATCATGAGCAACTAGAGTTGAACATTTCAGGCAAAGAGTAAAAGCTAGTTAATATAAAAAAAACAACATAAAGTTTTCATCTCAACCAGGTCTTATCCATTCTGGAAACATGGTCAGTGAGCTTACCGTGTCTCAGCTACTAATGCTATTATCACATTATATGTCTATAAAATTCTGATTTCCAACTCTGTCTTCTCTGCCCCATGATGTCAAATTGACTACAGCATTTGATGTGATGTCACAGCTATGTGACAACCTAGGTTGAAAATAATTTTTCACAAGACTTAATGGAGTTAAATTTAAATTCTTTGCTTATTCGTGACTGTTAGTTTTGGCTCACATTATATCAATTAATAGTTACTCCATTACCTAGTACCAATCACTTCTGGAAGGATTAGAAGAGAACGGCAATGATACCCTGAACTTTGAATTGTATGATGGCCTGGAGAGTACATATTATTTAATTGCATCAACTAATACAGCAGAAGATTCTCTCTCTTCCAGGATGTAGTTGGGACATTTGACATTAGGCCCATTCATTTCAATATACCTATTTTGGGCTGAAAAAAATAAGATAAATACACTAATGAAGTTGACCTTCACAGTAAGTAATGGGCTTGAAAGAAAAATTTACTAAGGGCTTACTGAAAGGCCATTAGGTACTCTTGCCATGCTGAAGAGAAAAGCTGAGAGATTAAGAATAGAAAAACTAAAGCCAAGTCATACATCACTGAACAGTATCCAAATCCTTTATAAGACATGCGTCTCTAAGTATATTTATAGAACACAGACTCAGAATACTTTCCAAAGGCTAAAAAGGAATAGTTAAGCTTAATTTGAAATAATGTCAGTGGGAAAGAGATAATATCTTGGTTAGTTAAAATGTTCAATTATAGAATTTAATCTTAAGAAGTGCAGTTTTAATAGCTTTTAATAGACTAGCAAAATAGCTTTTGAAATAATAAGTAAAGATCTTTCCTTCCTGACAATAATTTAGTCATAATTTATGCATTGTGTAACCATGACTATTGTCAAATATTTTATTAAAACAAACTGGTTTATATTAAGTTAAACAGTCATTCTTTGTGATTATTTTAAGAGTTGCTAAGAAACTTCTTTCTTCATAGCTTAAAGTAAACTTTATCTCATTCTGAATAGAATTATTCCAAAAATAGAATGCATTCATTCATTTGACAAATATGTACTAGGTATCTATGAGGGCCAGTCATTTAGTATACAAAGCCATCTTTGTATATCTGCTCTCTTGAGGGTGTCACAATCCAGAAGGATTGTGCTCAAACAGTCCTCAAACAGGTGTTCAAACAAGGTTCCAGAAATATGTAACTACCACATGCTAGGGAAGCACAGAGGAAGAAAAACATTGAGGTAAAGACAGCAAAGTTGAGTCTCCCACTAGACTGTAAGCTTTCAACCTCAAGAACAATATAATATCTAGCTTTCTCTCTTTAGCACCTAAGACAATGTCTTACACAGAGCATGTGCAAGAAACACAAGTTGGAGAAGCTAACACTTCATGACACATTTGAGCTTCACAGTAGAGATGATATGTGAGGAAATTCTTAAGAAAAATGAGTTTTCTAGGCAGACAACTTGGTGGAAAGAGAGGAATAACAAATACAATGACGGAGAGACATGAGCATAACTGAAAATTCAAGACTGTCATCATGGCTAGAATGCAGTGTGGGCAGTAGGGTGGCAGGGGCTGTAAAGGGAAGCAAGAGGCATACAGAAAGAGCTTTGATGCTATGCCAAGAGTTTGGATGCACTTTGCAGATAATTGAGAACTGCCACGGAATTGCAAGCATAAATTGATTTTTATTTTAGAAAAGAAATTCTGATAATTCCCTGGACATGCTGAACCAAGGCAGCAGTAAGCAGCATAAAAGTAAATGAATTGACTAAAAAGATAATGTAAAATAGAGTCAAGGACCTGGTGGACAAATGCATAGTTGCTTTTTGGGAATGGTGTTTGGCCTGGATGAGGCAACAAGTATCCTGGCCTGGCAAGTGTGGGATATAGCAGAAATAATAGATTTATAGTGGGTGATGTACCAAGGCAGTACATTCCATTTTGAAGATACTGAAACACAGAAACATATAGAAAATGCAGGTGATTATATTTTCTTAAGTTTTATAGAATTATGATAAAGCGTTCAAAGGAAGTGGATTGGATTGGAGAGGTAAGCTAACAGGTAAAAGCAAGATGGAGGGAGAGCATGTAAAGTGAAGAAAGTTCTTGTATGTCACTCTAAACAGCTCCAGCGTTCAAGGGACTCCAAAGGAGCATGATTTTATTTTCTGTGCTAAAACATACTTGGGAAAATAAACCTTAATGCTGAGTTTTAAAAATTACTTAGTGCTGGTAGAAGATTGATAGATACTGAAATCTACTAGCCTTTTGTGATACAAAATCCAGAAATCTTTTCTGGCATTAAGCTAAGAACAAATTAGGCAAATTATTTTAAATATGCTGACATTTCATTTACTTCATCAGAAACTGCTGGATTTGTTGTTTAAAGTAAGGTTTCACAGAACTAGAATAAGTCATTTTAGAGACAAGGTGTTTCGAACAGTGTTAAGCAAAAAAAAAAAAAAAAAATAGCAATTCTTCACTTTATAAATAAACACTTTGCGGATTTGTGGAAGAATTAGGGAAAAACTGAACCTAGAGTTAGTTAAATGAAGGAAAGAGGGCATTGAAATACAGGAGACTAAGCTGCACTTTACCTACATTAATTTAACCCAAGGTTCCCCCTGGTGTTCAAAAGCAGAAATATCAACTCAAATGCAAATCCCTGCACCCTGTTTCATTTCATAATCTGGACAGTTTTCAGTAGTTTCTGGACCCTTTCAGGAAGGGACATTTCTGGATACTACCTAAAAGGCATATTCATAGCATTTCAGAAGAGAAGGAAAGTTACATACACTGCTTTGCTACTATGCACCAGGCACTGTTTTCCTTCTTTCCTCCTTTCTCCCTCTTCCCCTACTGTCAACACAATAATTCTGAAGGCTTACTATTTTAGCAGCTAGAGATACAATGGTGAATAGGATGCAAAGTCCCTCCTTTAATGGTACTTAGATTCTGATGGCAAGACAGACAATAAATAAATTTTTAAAAAATGAAAACATAAAAAATCCTAGGCAGGAATACTCCTATAGGGGCTGGAGAGACAAAGGGTCGTCGGGGACATCCTCTGTGCTGAGAGTCCTGAATGAAAGGATTCAAATAATCCTTTATAATAAGTAGAGAACATATCTGGGAGTCAGACACTCCTGAGTGAAATCAATAGCCAATATAAAGCCTCTGGTATCTGCAAGGAACCTCAGGGATAGGAGTGGCTGAGCACCCTGCCCAAGAAATAAGGCAGGGGAGGGTTGATAACAGGAACAAGGCCTGATCCAACTTTCATGTTAGAAAAATCACCCCAGTAGCTGTGTGAAGAACGGGATGTATCATGAGACAGAGATAGAAGCAGGGGACCGAAAGGCAATGAGAGACGATACTGGCTCAGACATTAGTGAGAGAAATTGTTAGAAGCATTAAGATATATTTTGCTGGCAGAGCTGAAAGATTTGCTAAAGGATTAGCTATGAGATGAGAGAGAAAGAAAAGAATGAAAGGTGACTCTCAGGTGTAAAGAGGTGACTGGGGTTGGGGAGCAATGGCAGAGCGGACATCAAGAGTTTCATCTGGAATGTCTTCCATTATTACAGAGGTCATCACAATTTTATGCATTAAATATAAGTCATGGTTCACACACTATTTAAAAAATGGGAATCAGAGATATAAAATCACAGTTACTAAGTGTGTGGAACAGTGATTAATCCCAGGCGTTTTGCCTTCAAAGACAACAGGCTTTCCACTCCAGTGTGCTCCCTCTCCAAAGCTTGCTCTGGCTGCGTGGATAGGTGTACCTCTGAGACATGTGAGATGGTCATACCGAAGAATCCAACGTGAATCACTCTAGTCCCCTTGAGAAGTATGGACTCATCTTTCCTCACTGGAATCATGTAATTGACACTCAATTTGATACTGTGAAGCCTAACTTATACATTTGTACAGAAGGCAGATCAGTACAGGGTTAAAATTATGGGTTCCACAGCTGAACTTGTGGGTTCAAAGTCTATTACTACTTGCTATGAGGTTCTACATGGTTTTCATACTCTTATTTTCTGAAATTAACCAAATTTGATCAGGGAAATGGTAGTTTTCATCCAAATTGTTTGTAAATTGTTACTGGGGCACGGTGTTACTGGGAAGTGTTCTCGGAACCTGAGAGTAAGTCTGGGGTCACACTTGTCATGCACTGAATATTAAACAACAAGACCTGCTTACCTCAAACCATCAGCCACATGGAGTGCAATCCTGTGCTGTAGGGTTCTAGTGAGGCTGGCTTTGTCCTGCTGAAGCAGGCGATCCAAGGAACCCTTGGAGGCTAACTCCATCACCAACATCCGGGGACGAATACCAGCTGCCAGCAAAGATATCAAACTGGGGTGGTGGAGGTGGCAAAGCACCACCAGCTCCTGCAAAAGTCCAAAATCATATAAGAGTAATTCACCATCAGGTCTTACCCACGTTTCTCCTTCTTTAAAGTGCATCAACAGGGTGACCATGGATTTCTCTGGATGACTGGATCATAGCAAACTTTCCATTTCTTCTCTGAGTTTTTTAAACATATTTTCAGAAATAAAAAGCTGGTTTTGAAACTACAGTTGACCCTTGGACAACATAGGTTTGAAGTGTCTGAGTCCACATATACATAAATTTTCTTCCACCTCTGCCACTCTTGAGACACCAAGACCCACCTTTCCTCTTCTCCCCCGCCTCAGCCCACTCAATGTGAAGATGATGAGGATGAAGACCTTTATAATAACACACTTCTACTTAATGAAGAGTAAATATATTTCTCTTCCTTATGATTTTTTAAATAAAATATTCTTTTCTCTAGCTTGCTTTATGGTAAGAATGGAGTATATAATACAGATAACATCCAAAACATGTGTTAATCAAGTGTTTGTGTTATCAGCAAAGCTTCCAGTCAACAGCGGGCTATCAGTGGTTCAGATTTTGGGGAGGTCAAAAGTTATATGCAAATTTTTGACTGCACAAGGGGTCAGCACCCCAACCTTTATGTATTTCAAGGGTCAACTGTATTGTCAGAATTAAATTGTTAAGTTCTATTTTTCCTTTGGCTCTGCTTTTGTCAGACATTTAATGCAGAAACAGTGCACACAGTACAGTCATACTAATGGGCCATGTCAAACTCGTCTACTGAATTCTGGTTAGCCACAGAATCCTTCTCAGCCCAGTATTCTCTATAGCCACTACTAATCAGCTGCAACTGGCATATGAGGGAAAATCTGTCTATAATCTCTGGTTTAATGACTACAAAATTTACCGAGGATAACGCTGAATTTCAAAGAAATATATATCATCCCCTCCTGAAAACTCTCTGAAGACTTCTTATTTTTCTTAAATGAAAATCCCATCTACTTCCATGGCCTCACCGCCTGATCTGATCATGCCCAGGCCTCCCAGACCTTCTCCTTTTCCCCTCCCCTTCATTCACCACCCTTCAGCCACACTGGCATTCATTCAATCCCAAGCTGTGCTCAGCTTCTTCCCGTCAGAGGGTCTTCGCCTGTGCTGACCCCTCTCCCCAGAAATCCCTCCACCCTTCACATGGCTGAAGTCTTCTTGGCATTCAGATCTTAGCTCAAATATTACTACATCTTCGGAGTGGCCCACCATGGGCCACCCTTACTAATGCAATCCCTGGCTGCAACAATCTCTCTGCAATTCAAAAAAAGTCTGAGATATCATTTTGGCTTGAACAGAGGGATTGGCTTAGTAAGGGTGGCCCCTGGCGGGCCACTCCAAGGATGTGGTAGTATTTGAGCTAAGATCTGAATGGCAACAATCCTCTCTGTGGCCCACATCATGTGAGACTTCACAGCCTCTTTTATGACATTGTTGGGCTTGAATTCCAGATTCACTTTATACTGTATATTGCACTTTACTCTGAAACTGTAACTCCGTTGAAATTTATAGCTTATGTGATGTTAAATTGATTCATGCTTTAAACTGTGATCGCTGTAGAAGTGCTGCTTCTTAACAACCAGCTTCAAAGACGTGGAGTAGCAGCACCCACTGATTTATCAGGAAACTGAAACGTGGAGAATTCTGCAAACTGAAGAAGAAAGGCTGAACACCCTGAGAGGGGATTTTCCAAGAACAAAGTTTCAGACTGTGATCATATTTGCTTAGTAGATAAAATCTTTTTTTAATGCCCATGTCTGATTAGCTCAGTTGGTTAAAACTGATGAGAACGAGTTAAGTTAGCTCTACTTATTTTCACAGGCACAGACAGAGGCCTAATCCAAATTTTCTATCCTGGAAAAGCAACTCACTGATTGCAAGGAAAAAAGAGCATAATAGTACAGTGTAACATAGATCTGCCCCATGACTACTGGCAGAATGACCATCAAATGTCATTTTTATTTCTTTATGTTGTTGTCTTTTTTTCTTTTTTTTTACGAGAAGTAGTACATTATGCACATCGGTTATTTTTTTTTTTTTTCCAATTTCTTCCACCATTCCCTTAGTTTGCCTCCCTGCCTATACACTAATTGGCCCTGTAGACATTTTTAATGCACTGACTTCCATCAGAGTTCCCCAAACACATTGTGTAAAATTTGAAATGCATGCTGACAAGTAACAAACAAAGCTAAAAAATCAATTTATATAACAAATTACCTACACATTAAAAGAGATTGTGCCAGATTTGTTTCACAGATAAGCTTCTATATGCAAAATGTTTAATTTGGTTCTAGAACTACACTGTGACTGTAGTTACTAATAATTAAAATGCCCCCAGGATATTTTGTACACACATGAAATTTTCTATTACTCAGAGTAACTGAAGTAGTGTAACTATGTATTTTTTAAAGGTTACAAAATTTTTAGTGTAGCCACTAAGAATTTTTTTGTAATAAATCAAAGGAAAAGTAAGGATACATAGATTCCAGAAATACAGTTGAGTTCTGGTATAAGATGGAAAAATTAGCATTGATTTTACTTCCTCTCTCACCCTATTTCTATCTCTCATTCCTAATGTCAATAAAGACTCAGAAAAAGAAATAAATACCCAGTAGTATCCAAACAAGAGAGAGTACAGGAGTAACCACTGTTAACTAACAGTGTATATTCCCCTTCCTTTCCATGATATTTGCTGAGGTACTCAACCTTTACCCATGCAGCCCATGGACTTTAGTTCAGGTGGAACTGACCCCAACATCAGTCTCTCAGAAAAGGTGAGAATATTCTAAGTAATAGCACCCTCAGGGCCACAGTGATCAGTTCGGTAACAGAGACCTAAAGCCAATTAGCACAGAGCATTGCCCTGAACATAGTGCTTGTTGAGAAAAGCACAGGTGACTCAACTGGTGCTGAGAGACATTTATTTATTTAATGGGTTGTTATGTAGGCCATTTGATTCCTTTGAAATGCAAGTCCTCAAAAGAGGTGCCCTCTTTTCTCCTGTACTTGGAATAAGTAATTGTGAAGCCTAGAACCAGTTTACCACAATGGGAAAAGTCATTCTGAAGAAATTAAACCAATATAACAAGGTTAAAGGAATTTTAAAGAAAATTGGCCAGAGTCACTGGAATAAACCAATCCTATAGTGAGTACCTCCCATGACTTTTTTTATGGATGAAAAGAAGATAATTTCTCTGATAAGCTCATTGCAGCAAGTTATCGATCTATGAAGAGATGTAGAACAGAGTCTGAAGTATCTACAACAAGCTTGTCCAACTCGTGGCCCGCAGGCCACATGTGGCCCAGGATGCCTTTGAATGTGGCCCAACACAAATTCATAAACTTTCTTAAAACATTATGAGATTTTTTTGTTTACTTTTTTTCTTTTTTTTTTTTTTTAGCTCATCAACTATCGTTAGCCTGCCTTCCTTTGCTAGGTATGGTCTCAGCAGTCCTGGTGATCCCTGCCCATGTAACCTAAAAACAGAGTATCCCTAAGCAGTACACAGCCCTTAAAAGTCTATGGTCTACCTTCTTGTTCAGAAAGTGGTAACTTGAACAAGCAAACCTACATAAATGTGAAGAATGCCCATTCTAGTTATCTTTGATAATCAATATAGTACTCACTTCATAGATATGAAGTCATCCAAAACTACTCAATTTGGAAAACCAACAATATAAAAGAGAAAAATCAAGGTGAACCCATAGAGCAAATGACCTCAGAGAAAACAGCAATAATGCAAGTAACACAAAAAATTAAATTCCAATTGATGCGAACAGAAACACTTGAGGGTATTTCATCCAAAAATATGGCTACAAAAGAACAAGGAGAGGCGATGGAAAGAATTGCTGGAAGTGAAAGATATGATTATCAAAACAAAATTCAGCAGAAAACTAAATAATAGATGAGGCAATTCTGAAAAACAAACTAGAAACCTGCAAAAGATAGTCAAGTAAATAACACAAATTATAGATAAAACTTGAAGAGGGAACTCAAACATGGATGAGATAGACCCAGAAGGCTTGTCATCTAATACATACTCTTGGAGCAATGGCAAGCAATAATGAATCATAAGTAACTAGATATAGGCTCCAGAGAAGGAGAGGCTTGACTGGGTTTAGCTTAGTACTATATGTATATTATGTATCCTATCACCTAACCTGGTACATAGTAGCTGTCAATAAAAATGATTAATAAAGGTTAGGGAGGAAATAATAAATAATAGAAGAGAATACACAGAAGATAATTTTTCACAAAAAAATGAATTAGATGGAATGAAAAACAACCTACACACAAACATATACTTGTGAAGGTTCAGAACAATGAAAACAAATGAAATTCAAAAGATCAAATTTTCAGTTTTTAAAATGAAATTAAAGGTAGCTTAGATAGGAGCAAACATGACTGACTGCAGACTTCTCATTAGCAACAGTGGGCACTAAAAATCAGCGGAATTTTCTTCAAATTTTGAAGAAAAATTATTTCAAACCTAGATTCCTAAAATATAAAGTGTGATAACATATCCACCACATGGGAGGCAAAATTAAGATATTTTTAACATGTAAGGACTGAAAACATTTACCTTACAAACACCTTTTCTTAAAAAAAATTATTCAAAGATATTCTTCAACAAAAACTAAGGACAATTCAACCAAGAGAAGGCATGGAATCCAAGAAACATTGAGAATAATCAAAGAGGGCAAGGAAACTAACTCATAGATTAATCAGTGCGCAAGCAGCCTAGAAATCCATCTCTCCTGTTTAGAGCAGTAAGTCATGTGCTGAATGATGAATGTCTTCAAGAAGAAAGTAGATTCTGTTATACAAACTGTATGATTAAGAACTTAGAAACACTTGAAGACATGATGAAAATATCTTTTCCTGAAGTATGTTTTTTAAAATATATATATATATAATCAGAAAACCTCAGAAAGCTACATAAAATAAATCACCACTGGTACTCAGAAGGTTAAGGTGGGAGGATCACTTGAGGCCAGGAGTTCCAGACCAGCCTGGTCAACCTAGTGAGACTGCGTCTCTAAAAACAATTTTTTTTAAAATCAGGGTAAAAATGTGGCCTGAATTAAAATATGCCCTTATTTTTATAGACTGATGATAAATACATAACAATAGAGGATCCGTTTGACTTTGTTATTTGGACTGTTACTATTCTATTAGGAAAAGAAGTTAGTGACAGAAGGTTGCATTTCTTTGTCTAAAAGTAGAAATATTTTGGTTCTGTACAAATAAAAATATATATAAATGGCATTTATTGGTTTTGTCCTCAGAACCAAACTATAGACAAAATGTGAACAATTTAATTATGAGCACAGAACAGAATATAGACGTGATAAACTTTCACTACATAAAAATAATAGAACAAATTAGGGAACGTGAGAAGGTGATGGGAAGAGGAGAAAGAATGGCAGTAATTTTCCTCATCTCACATAGCAAGGAGTCAGTCCATGCTGTCTAGAATTGGTGTACTAAAAAATCAAAAGTGTTGTAAATCATTCCAAGTTATAATTGTTATATATGAGGAAAACTAATTTAACCAATTTTAAATTTTAGGAAGTGGGCAGGGACAGGAAGTAGGAAATAGGATAAGCGTGCTGACTTTTCCATCTTTGTAGCAAGTAATCAATAGCGGTTCTTATTGAAGTGGATAAATCCAGAAAAGACAGGTGCAAGCTTATCAGTGAGAGTTTTGGTTTAAGATTTCTCACCTTCAATCAAATTAGCAATGTGAGGTCATGCATTAAACTTCTTCTTTCACTCTGAACACACGGAAGTCATGTTCAATAAAAATAAAAATCATACTCTCCCTAGACCAGAAATGTAAAAGATAAACACTCTGAAGAAAATAGAAGGTGAAGTCAGGAGCTTGCTAGGCTTCAAGGTCTGGAAGCAAGTGGAGGCAGCTAGGAGTCTGACTACTGTGGAGCACCGGGGACAAAAACATGGCGCTGAAAAATCCCAAGTTTCTACATTTCTAACAATCTCCTGGATAATGCCTGGCTACTTATCCATGGAACACATTTTGAACAGTAAGGTTCTAAAGTAAAAAGAGGAGGGTAAGTGAGTCTTACAAAAGTTTTTACAACATACTATGCATCACAATTATAAGGATTCTCAGAACATAGTGCTTTGTTTCTCAACAGGAGAAATAACACAAAACTTTCTATTCTACAAATAAAAGACAAACTAGAATTGCATAATTAAACTCAAGTAGAAATGTGGTCATTATTTTGCATTTTCACAACTGTATGCAAAATAAGAATTCCAGCAGATTAATAATGTGTAATTTAATATAATTATATTACTGAATTTCTTACTTGTCTTAACAGCCTAAGTGATGTGTGTTTATTAAAAATCTTCACAGCCACTTCTTCTCCTTCATAGGCTGCTCGATAAACTGATCCAAAACTGCCATCACCTGTTGAAAATAAAATACAAAGCACTTAAATTAATCTGTCCAAGCAAAAAAAAAAAAACTAAATAAATTATATCTGTTTTAATTATATCTGTTGTATATTTGAATAGAAATCTGATCTACTTGTTTCATTGAATCAAATCTCCTTTAACATTTCCTCTTCCTTCTACTCCAAGAAAGATACATCTAAAGATTTTGTCCTCAACCTTCCCATCTTTCCTCTACATATAACCTGCTCAATTATGTCATCCACTTCTGTGACTTCATCTATCCCTCTAACGTAGATAATTTTCACATTTTCACTTATAGCCACCTCCTAAGTGCTCTTCTACACTTCTAACTTTGTGTTGGATATTTCACTGGTATGCCCTTCCAACTCAATCACAGCCTATCAAAAGCCACACTTATTATCTTTTCTCCTAACAAGTTTTTATTCTACCTTCCATATAGCTGATGATAACAAGACAAAAGCTCTTTTTGAGGTCTTTCTGGAGTTAAAACTGACGAACCATTTTAAGTCTTGCTCCGGTCTAACCCCACGGCTAACACTGGCAGTTCACTGTGCAGCCTCATTCACATTCTCTTCCTCTCCATTTCCACTACCACCACACCCATTTGGTGGCCTCAGAGCCTTCTGCTGAGTCCCAAGAGGCCTCCTGAGTTCCTTACTTCCAACTCATTCTCTCTCTCTCGTAAAATTACTTTTCCTATCATTCCACTTTGATTGTGTCATTCTCCTGCTCACACACAAATTATTCCATGTTGCCTACGAAACCAAATCTAAATTCAGCTCCATAGTCATATTGTGGCCCCTAAATCCTTTTAAAGTTCTCTTCTTGTTCTTCTCATTCTCAAGGCTTGATGAGTTCAGTAGCTTTCCCTGCCCCAGTCCTGGCTGAACAATACATCTGAGGAGCTTTTTAAAACACTAATGTCTGGGTTCAAAGATTTTGATCTAATTAGTCCCAGGAGAAAATAGTTATCAGATTTTTTCTTCTTTTAATTCTATATTTAGTAGAATTAGTAACGAGCAGGTAAGGTTGAGAACAAGTGCTCTAGACAAACCGGAATAGCCAAAATTTCCTGAGCATGCTTTGTACCTTCAAGCCTCCATACCCTTGATGAGCTCTGCTACTCCCTCATCTCCACCTCCAGGGAGTTTATCAAGCCTACAGGGACCAATACATACCAAGAAATAGAGGCCTGCCTCAGAAACTGATCACAATCAGCCCCATGGACTGTTACTCTCCAACGACATTCAGCAAATCCTGTTTGTACAATATTTATGGTTCTCATGTAGTGCCTTGAAATGTAGTCACTTGATGGATATAAGTGAATACACGCAAAACAGTCTATAACAACTTGTAATTTCCAAGTGGTGAAATTACACATCTATGGAAAGCTTCTACCTATTTGTTTATTTTTTATACATCTATAATGAGCATATATAATTATATTTTATGCTCAGAGACAGAGTATATTAAAATAATTAACTCATTTGAGCATGTCTCTCTACTAGATTGTAAATATGTTAAAAGTATTATTTGCATCTTATCAGTCTTGGTATTCTCTCATTCTATCCCTCCAGTACTTAATAAGTATTTGACTTTTAAAAACCATTAGTTAGGATTGTTGGTATTGAGAGAGTTTCAGGGGAAACTGTTATATATTGGAATCAGAAATAGAATCGGGTAAACAGAAGAGGGAAAAGAGAAAGCAAGCAAGTAGAGGGGAAAGGGAGAGAATGGGTCGGAGAGATGGAAACATATAATAGATGCATCTTGCTCTGCTTCCCCTCAATCTGGACAGCTATCAACAATAAAGAGAAATTGTAATGGAGCATAGAGAAGTAACATACTCTAGGGAGATACATCAAAATTTCAAGATGGAGTAGGGATTTCTAATTTTTAAAGCCCTTCTCTATTTGAGAATCACTGCTGCATTAATATAGAGTATGGATTGTCATGTCTTTCAGGTGACTGAGAACAAAAATAAAGTTGAGGACTACTATTGTGTATTTGTGATATCCAGGTTGGAAGGAAAATTGAAGGCAAGGAAATTTTCCTAACCCCTCAAATTACACCACAGAAGTAGAAGTACCTGTCTTGGCTCTCCAGAAAAATAAATAGCTCCACAAAGAGGAAATGTACCTTGTAGCTTCTTAGATGCATGAACAAAATCCCATACATTTATATTTTAAAATATATTCACAAAACAAGTCTATTCATATCTATTAAGGTGGGTCGTATTAGTCACTGCATAATAGTTACTGCTATCTGGGAAAAAGAGAGTTTTCAAAAAGCCTGAATGCACTGCTGCCCTACAATAAAAATGGGAAGAGGGAAAACGGAGAGAGGCAAGACCTTCTCCAGATTGCCCTAATATAAAGATGCTGGAGTCTCTACCTGTAAAATGTTTTTAGAAGGATACACCTAATTTGTTAAATCACGGATACTCAACCCCGCCCCTTATCTTTGGCAACATCCGGAGACATTTTGATTGTCACACCTGAGGGAAGAAGGGGAGATACTACTGACATCTAGTGGGTAGAGGCCAGAGATGCTGCCAAACATCCTACGATGCACCTCGATAACAGTCATCCCAGCCAAAATGGCAACAGCTCAAAGACTGAGAAACTCCTATCTAGACTGCTTTCTGTAAGTGAACATGGGATTTATGGATTTATGGGACATAGGTCTAGAGAAGGGAGAGTAATCACAAACATTTTCTTATCTGTGTAACTAAACAGACTTTGTTTATTTGTTTCTGTTTTGTTTTTGTTTTTGTTTTTTGAGACGGAGTCTCACTCTGTCGCCTAGGCTGGAGTGCAGTGGCACAATCTCGGCTCACCGCAACCTTCACCTCCCAGGTTCAAGCAATTATCTGCCTCAGCCTCCCAAGTAGCTGAGAGTACAGGCACCCGCCACCACACCCGCCTAATTTTTTTTGTATTTTTAGTAGAGACGAGGTTTCACCATCTTGGTCAGGTTGGTCTTGAACTCCTGACTTCATGATCCACCTGCCTTGGTCTCCCAAAGTGCTGGGATTACAGGAGTAAGCTACTACGCCCGGCCAACTAAACGGACTTTGTAAATGACGTTTCCACATACACTACTCAAAACGTGTCCATTCATCTGAAACACATTTTAATGCAGGACAAAGAAATATTTTAGGAATCTGTGTCTGACAGTTTGGGATTTCTTCAGAGGAAGGATGCACTATGTCTGGTACTTTCCTGTATACCTTGAAGTTTGGGGTTGATTAAAATGTAGGATTCAGCATTGACGATTCAGCATTTTGTGTTAATCCTCTATTACTAATACATTAACTTCCTCAGTTCCAAAGCATTTAAATTCATCCTAAACTTCCCAATGAATGCCAATATGAAAAGTATAAAGGTGTTTATTTAGCTTTAAATATCATGTCCCAAATTTTGGACAGTTTTTTGCTAAGAATATTATGTCCTGACTGACAGATTTTAGGCATTATCTCTGGGGTAATTTGATTAAAATTAAACTAAACAACAACAAAAACTAAACAAAGTAAGGTCAAAATTGTCTTTAAATGCTTTACATTAAATCAGTCTAATGCATTTCGTAGTTGCCTCAATGACTCTCTGGAATGTTTAAAACTTGAGTACATCAGCCTACTGTTAATAATAACATACTGTATACTTGTAAATTGCTATTAGAGTAGATTTTAAAACTTCTCACCACAAAAATATGTATTTGAGATAATGTATATGTTAAATAGCTAAACTTCTCCATTCCACAACATATACATATATCAAAACATCATGTTGTACACCATAAATATATACAATTTTTACTTGTCAATTAAAAAAATAAATTTGTATAAAATATATTAAAAACAAACAAACAAACAATAACCGAGGAGTCAGATAGATCATGGCATCACAGGCCTTGTAAAGACATTAGCTTTTATTCTGAGAGACATGAGAAGCCACACATGTAATCTACTGAATGACATACAGTGACATATCTTATGTTGACTGCTTCTTTCCCAAAGTAGTTATAATGCATACATTTTTCATCTTCTGAAGTGTATGAGCATTTTTTAAAAACATCTTTTAGGGCCGGGCGCGGTGGCTCACGCCTGTAATCCCAGCACTTTGGGAGGCCGAGGCGGGCGGATCACAAGGTCAGGAGATCGAAACCACGGTGAAACCCCGTCTCTACTAAAAATACAAAAAATTAGCCGGGCGCAGTGGCGGGCGCCTGTAGTCCCAGCTACTCAGGAGGCTGAGGCAGGAGAATGGCGTAAACCCAGGAGGCGGAGCTTGCAGTGAGCCGAGATCGCGCCACTGCACTCCAGCCTGGGCGACAGAGCGAGACTCCGTCTCAAAAAAAAAAAAAAAAAAAAAAAAATCTTTTAGGCCTAAAAATCCATGTACAATGATAGGACAGGTCCAGGAAGTCAAGATACAAACGAGAATATTGGAACATGGTTACCATGACTTCACCTTTTCTCAATGAACACCTAAACATGCTACATGAATTCAATGATTTCCATCATCCTCTATTGAAAATAACTGATTGAATTCATGGAACCAACAAATGTAAATTGTTCAGCATACCAAAAAAAAAAAAAAAAAAGAATTTGAGTATATCACCATGTGACACTTCTGACTTCTTAATTTCAAGGCTTTTTATGAATATTTCTATGAGAATTCAGCATTGTCACACTCAGTCATAAAACCCCTGCTATGACTACACTGAGGTGTGCTTCCTTTACCTATTCTGTCATTTTAAATATAAAATATGGCTGCTTCACTTAACTCACCTGAAAACCTTCTTATTTGCCTCCCACATCCCTGGCAATTAAGGCAAATACAAAGATATATTTCATAAATATTTGTGCTTCCATGATAATCTCATCCTCATCTTGATCCTAGTCTACATGATTATATGCAAAGCAAATTCCAGATGTGTAACATGATATTCCTTTAAAATATATCATTCCAAATAAAAAACATTATAACAAATATATGAAGACAGTAAAAATCTATGACAATATAATTATGAGATCTATTTTCTAAATTATAAGGAGAAAAATACATCCTAATTTTTATTCTCAAATTAACAAAAAGAATTACCTAGGAGAAACTCTGGAGCTTGTTCAAATTCCAGCTCATCATTATTCAACATAATATTTCTAGGCAGGTCAGCCAAAATCAAGTCAGGGGCAATCTGAGATATTGGAATGGTGAGCCTTGGTTGATCTGGATTTACTAAGAGATCTCCTGAAAAGTAATAAAACATTTTTTAAATAAAAACAACATTTAAGGAGATACATAAATCTGTGGTTTTGATATGAAAAAATAATGGAATATTTTCTATAATTTCTAACCCCTCCCTTTCTAACCAATCCTAGATTTCTCTAGAAAATTTGAGAACATTTTAAAGATTCACTTAATATCTATCTACTTGGAATTTCAAAAATTTATTCCTACGTTCACTTGTAGAATTCTGAACTGCTGCAGACTACCAGACATCTGACTAGAAAGTTATTTATTCTCTGCTTTTGCCACATTCATGAAGCTGAAGCTGTTATTATATGGCAGACCTGTTAGTAAATTACATCCATGTATTGTCCATTTGAATCTTTATAACAATTCTATGAGATAGATGTGGTTGGTATTCCTGTTTCACAGATGAGGATATGTTGTTCAATGAGCCAGCATTCAAACCCTCAAAAACATTTTCTGAATCTAGAATACAAGATTTTATTGATAATAAATATAATCCAGTTTTCTGAACAGTCCCTATAATTGAATATACTATTTTTCAACTCATCCGTTATGAATAAGAATATTTACATTTAATAAAAGTCATTTTGTAAGTATTGAAGGATCACTTAAACGCATTTGTAAGTTGTTTCAAAACATACCTTCCTCTGCTTTCTTCATCAAGTCATCAAGTAAGATTTTTTGATGCTCTTCACCATCATTAAAACTATATAATGCCCATTTCTTCAACAGAGTTTCTCCTTCACCACAAATATCAATCTCCAGCAACCCAGGAAACCATTCCTCCATGAGAGAATCAATGTGGTCCACAACTTGGCCCAAAAGAATACAGCCTACATGATTGAAAACAGAGCTCAAGGTCTTGTCTAAACCTCATACTGTCACAAAGCTTTAAAGTAAAGGTTTTTTGTTTATATACATATATGTTTTTAAGTTTAGATTTCTTTAGTGTTACAATTGAAGCATTTAAATTGATTTCCTTACCTTTTCTACAAGAAGGAACTGTAATTTTTAAGAAACTCTCTGGGTGATTGTCTAAGACTTCAGATCCTACCAGACAATAAGCTTCAGGAGACCAATTTAAGTAGATGCCTTGTCGCCAATACATTCTGTTTGGGCGAAGTGCTCGTTCTAAAAGAAATTTAAATGGATCCAAATGGAGCTGTTTATTAACTGCTTCCTAAATTAAAGGGAAAAAATCTACTGCACACACCACAAGGGATTGTAATACAGATCTACTCATTTTGAAAGAAAGTATTGGGTTGTTAACGATATGAGTCCTCATCCATATCTATTAAATATTTTATCCATAACTTTACAATAAAACCAGTTAAATCCCCTGTAGATTAAGATCCATTTCAGGTTGATGCTGTTAAGCAGTTTAAATAGGCTCAACCGATGACGAAAGAGAATCACAAATCAATCCTCATAATTTTCAAAAAGAAATTGATTGTGCTAAACCCAAAACTTTCTGAACTTTTTAATGCAATGTAACTACCTATATGTTGATTAATTCCAATCAAGATAAGGTTTATTTTGGAAACCTGTAACACCTGTGTAAAGCTAATTTTAATCCCCAAAATGGTATTTTCCCTTTGCAGTACCAAAATGTCTCTATTTATTTTAGAAGAAAGAGTTAGCATTATAAACACTGGATTTGCTCTTTTCTTTGTAAATGGCTTAGTGGCTGTGCAACAGAAAAGAGATAATCACACTCCCTACAATGTAATCACGGCCAAGAGCTGAGTGAGCACCTAAGGAGTTTTCTTCCTGACAAATTGGATGAGGTTATATGTGCTTGTGTATCTTTACATTGCCTACTCCAAGGTTTTATGAGCTTATTTTCTAATTCTTCAGCTGCCTTCCAAACAAGTAAACTCTGAGAAAATGGCATATTACTTTTCATATGCCATCTCCCTAATTTCTCTAAATATTAAGTCTTCATTAAACACTCACCTCTCCCTGAAAGCATGTAAGGTGAAATCTCAAGTAATCGATTGATTAACCTCGACCAAAATCCCATTGGAAAATAAGGCATTTCATATAGTCGGATGATAATTTCAGAGTTCTCACAATGGGGAAGCTCTATCACAGGCCTGTGGTCAGACAAACTAAAGGCAAAAGGACACTATGGTTATACAGCCTCACAGCATACCCAAAAATGTTGAGCAAATGATTTTACTGCTTAAAATCAATGAAGGTAACCACTCCAAGCAACTGTAGTCTTTTTGTAACATTGTTTCACATGTTTTTCCTACCCCAAAAATTCAGAGGTCATTAATCAATTCAAATGCATGCTCAGATATAGATGCATGAAATATTTTTGGTAATCCCTGTGCACTAATACATAAATTATTATAATTAGTTATGAATAGACAAATGTAATCTTACATAAATCCTGAAAAATACATGTCCTAGAAAAAAAGTGTATATTTATTTTTACAATTGGCTGCATCCATCAATGTAATTTGCACATTTCAACATCATATTACTTTATAACATTTCCCACTTGCTTATAAAGCAGTAGGACAGCCAAAGTATAGGCTAAAACTTAGGCATCCACTATGATGTCATAAATGCTTTTAAAATTCTGTTGAAAACTCACTATCTTCTCAGAACTTGCTTAATAAACTCTCTCAGTGTTGTCTAAGAACACACACGTACATAAACAGGGATGCACACACCCACACATACACACACACACACTTATCTCTAATATTTACCTTTCTTAAATAATTTAAACAGTGATAAGTCAACTAGTAACTATATATATAAAATAAGTTTTACTATATCTTTAAAGTGTCAGATGCAATGTTTCATTCCAAAATAAATATGTCAGCAGGAAGTTTACACTGGAAGCAAAATATATTTATTTATTTATTTAATACATCTATTATAGACTACAGTTACTTTGACAATTAAAAGAATAGATAGTGAATTTCCATGTAGTAATTATTTTTTAAGGTTTTTTTTACCTGCTTGGAACCAGCAAATATTCTTCTCCTATTGGCAAAGCAATCTGGAATTTTTCTAGGAGCTTAAAATACTGTGACATGTAGTTCTTTGGAAATCTCCTTTTCTTCGAAAGAAATTTTTCCACATCTCTACGTGAAATAATTCCCTTAGGGTGTTTTGGACAACCTTCCACTTTCACTGTCAAAATCTGAAAGATTGAGTCATAAATAATCACTAGAATTTATTTTCTGAAAGGTTGCAAATTTAAAGCATTTTAGGTCTCTTTGCTCAGTGAAAGTAGTCAGAAAGATTTTAATGTTTTCAAGTGCAACAAAGTACCTAATTTCTCTAAGCAACTATGTGGCCTAGAAGCCCAGAGGGACATTCACTCTCAAAAAAAAAAAAAAAAAAAAAAAAAAAAAAAAAAAATTTGTTAAAGGAGTTAATTCAGATTGGAAATCATTGAACTTCTCTGGAACCAATGAACATCAATGTTTCCCTAGCTTCAGTGAAAAAATCAATCCAATACCTTACTTCTGTTTTGCAGTCTCATCAATAATATATTCCCAGGAAAATGATCTTCCAGAGAATTATCAATACAGGTTTGAAATAGAAATATTCTTCACATTTATATACTAGGAGAGGGTTTCCATGAATAGGAAGACAGACGGTGTAGTAGAGTTTCATGATTCTCAGAGTAACTACTGCATTTTGATGGATTCTACTTGCAGTGTCTGGGTCAGTAGGTCTGGGATGAGGTTTGAGAATCGGCTTTTTTAGCGAGCAACCCTGATAACTCTAACACAGAGATCATACTTTGAGCTTTGATCATTGTCATGGCAGTTAAAAATCAGAACCCAGATTCAAATCCAGGCTCTGCTACTAGCTGTGTGACCCTGGGAAAGGTATTTGATTTCTTTAATGCACAGCTTTCTTCTCTGTAAAATGAGACAGTAAAAGTAATCGTCTTAGATTGCCCTGAGAATGAAATAACACATGCAAAGCCCACAAAGTACATATGACAAATTTTAGCATATTTATCTATATATTCCAATTTATTTTGCTTTTCAAATTCACTTTAAAAAGAGGTTTGTATTTAATTTTCTTTGGTAGATCTATAATGTTCAAGGAATACTTAAACAGAAGCAAACATTATTTATGCTATCATGCAGTTGGGTGAAATACCAGGTTATAAAGTCCTTAGGCCCAAGGACTTGTCTTACCCATCTCTGTATTTCTATTTTGTTTGCACAGTATTTATTAAATCAATGAATGCATGATTGATTGTACATATTGGTATTTAATGACAGCGTGCAATGGGCCTATAAATAATAAAAACTGTTGTTTAAGACTTCTCCCATGTTGTGTACTTTATAGCAATTCCAGATTGCTGTTACAATTCAGGTGGTAAAGATAATTGTTTGCTTTCAGTGTTTTTTAAGTGCTAAGACCTTTTTTTGACAACTCATCTCCAACTACACTTCATATTTTCTTCGTAGCACCCACTCAACATATTATATGTTTATTTATTACTTCTTTTCTCTCATTTGAATATTAGCCCTATGAACGTAACTCATAGGCCCTGGAGTCAAACGACTTGGTTTGAAATTCTAACTCTACCTCTTCCTGAATGTGTACCATTGGGTAAATTATTCAACCTCTCTGTCAATCAGTTTCTTCATCTGTATCACAGGGGTTAATAAAATACCATTTGGAAGTGTTGCTGTGAGAATTACATGAGATAATCTTTGAAAAGCACATATTAACCTCATGTGTGTTAGCCATTATTATCTAGTTATTCTAATTTATTTTACTAAGATACATTTATTTTTTAAAGAGTTTGTGCTTGATTTTCCTAGTGGATCTATAGCATGCTACCACTACTTGCAGCAGAAGTTTCCAAAGATGGACACATCATTTCTATCGCTATACACAGGTGCTATTCATATGGAGTCTATTTCCCTTCCCCTTTATTCTGAGGTAGGTTTGTGGTTACTCTGGTTACTAGAATGTAGCAGAATTAATACTTTTGCCAGTCCTCGGCCTAGCCTTTAAGAGGACAGAAAAATTCTGCTTCATTTCTCTTGGTAACCAGCCACCATGAAAGATGTCCAATTACTCTGTAATCACCACGCCACGAGGAAGCCCAACCTAGCCATACGATAGGCCACATGGAGAAGCACCAATACTCCAAAAACGTGCACGTACCTTTCTTGCACTTTCCAGCTCAGTTTACTGAATGAAGCCAAGTGAATGACCCTTGCGAATACCATGTGGAGCAGAACCACGCAGCTGAGCCCAGTCAAGCCACAGAACAATGAGAAATGATAAATTGTTCACATTTTAAGCCTCCAAGTTTTGAGGGGGTTTGTTACGTAAGAATAAAATCTGCAACATTATCTTGACTTTATCACCTTTAAAAGAGCTCCTAACATTCCTTCAACCTAATAACCTGAATAGCTAACTGATGCCTTATTCAAGGAAAGAGAATTTTCCAAATTCCTTTGTATTTCTCCCATGTATTTTTATCAAGGTTAAATTACCATATAAGCTTTTTAATGTTCCACCTGATTAATTCAATAGGTCCCTTTCATATCTCTTTTATCATACAGTTAAATGAGTCTTGTAAGCTTCTACCTGCCTTAATGGTACCTTTTTAAAATTAGTTTAGTGACCTTACAGCTCGGGGCACATAGAGTGGGTGGGCTCATTAGAGCTTCTGCACCATGAAATTATTCGTGCCCTTGCCTTGATTCATGAAGGTGAATACTCTTATTTATTTTTGCTAATAGCTGTCAGACAAGTTGCTCTTGGTTTCACTTGATTATTTAGAGCTTTCATTTCCTTTAAACGTTAGTGAGAAAATGACATTATATTTCAATTTATTGGCATAAATAAAAATGATGGTACTTCTTTTTTAGGTTAACAAGAAATTTAAATTATCATTTTATTGACACTTTAAATCTGTCTTTCAAAGTAACTCTGAGTGGCTCAAATTAACTTAATTTTTACTTACGTTATCATATTTATAACTATGTTAATGAGAAGAACTTTCATGGATTTTCAACTTAATTACTCCACAAAATCTTTAGGAATTTTATTGCAGTCATAGTGAAAATCTGCATTTTTTTAAAAGGGGGATTCTGATGCAAACCTCTTCCTTATTCTACTGTACAAGATATGCCCACCCTAATGTTCATATGTGTGCGGTTTCAAGTGTTCCATAGTGACATGGAAACACATCACTTTAGGGAGCAACTATAGCGTTTCCTTGACTATATGGAGTTGAGTTACCTCCTGATAGCTACCATGCGCCAACTAGGACAACAAAATTGCTGGATATATTTAAAACTTCCTTTGCTGTACAGGATGCAGCTACCTACACATCTTTTTTATTTGTGCCCATAAATGACACACTTTCCAAAACTACGTGAGTACCTCTTTATAGTTCTGAATTTTTTAAAATTTCCTAATTAACATTCTTTAAATTGCCAAGTAGATCCAATATAAAATTAGCTAACATTTACCCCTCACTTACACTGAACTAGGGAGGCAATATAGAGGACAACTGTTATTTTCCTTATTTAAAAAATAAGTAAACAAAGGCTTAATGCATTAAGAAATTTCACAGAACTAATAATCAATTACCTCAAGTAAGTGCAGTGGGTCACATTACTGTCTCCATTATCGTTTAATAATTGAGTAAAATCACACGATCCATGACAATATGTGTAGAAGGTTGAAAGTCTAATTTAAAAATACCTCCCAAAATAGCAATAACTAGCATACTGCAAATAATCACTGACTGCAATGTTTCAATATGCTCTCGAGTTCCATGGTACTGGATTTAGCCTCGACTAAGTTCTCTCTTCACAATACCTTCCTTTTTTTCCTTAGATGGAAATTAGGAACAATTATTCAAGACTGTCTGAGTGAATTTAATTACCTTTATGGTTTAATTGGAAGAGATATCTCTAATATAAAAATATGTAATAATTTTAGGGACTCGGGCAGCCACATGCAAAACTATAAATTTTACTCATCAGCAAATCAGAAGCTTAATGTTTCTCAACTAGGGTCATTTTCACATTCTCCAAGCAATATTTAGCAATGTCTGGATACATTTTTGCTTGTCACAGCTAAAGGATATTACTTACATCTAGAATATAAAGGCCAAAAATGCTGCCAACATGCTACAATGTGCAACAAAGAATTATCTGACCCAAAATGTCATCATGCTGGGGTTGAAAAGCCCTGAGGTAGTATGCTTTGCTCAAATGGTCTTTTATGTCAAAGCTACAGAGATGGTTTATTGTAACTAATTAAACTCACTGGTAATGGATTATCATTCGGAGAAAAAAACATTTTCCATGTGAAATATAAGAAAAAAACAGCTATAACCAACGCCATCCAAAGTTTTCAAAATCATAAGCATTTAAAGTTCAGATCATTTCACTTAAGTCAAAACTCCCCTCCATGTTATCTAGATAGAGGTTTCACAGGCTCAGCAACCCAATTTTCTTCTATGTGTTTACCCCAAGGATTTCCACAAAGCCTTCGTTCAATTGACTAATTCAGTAACCAAATCGATGACATCATCAGGATCTAGTAAAGCAGCATGGGACAGAGTGTTACAAACATCTGTATGTGGCTGGAAAACCAAGTCATGGAAGTGAACTCAAGACATCTTTCCTTCTTCCATGAAGTTCTTCAAGTAGTCTTCTATGTGAAATGTTCCACAGTCTTCTAAATTCACAAAAGTTTCTGCCTTAACTAAACCCAAACTCTAAAATGCTCAATGCTCTGGGCGCCATCTGTTCTATGCTTTGACCATAACCCCGTGCCACAAAAATAAAAGACACCAACCTGTGCCATGATTTTACAAAGCCACTTGGGTTCCACAAAATACAAGTCACTTAACTGCAGTGCTGGGTCTTGAAAATGAAGAAGGACTCCTGTAGTAAAAATTCATCAAACAGTGAAACATGGAATGTAGAACAAATATCAAGGGGCTTTAGAAAGAATCTAGTCCAACTTCCTCATTTTACAGGTAAAGAAATTTCAGCATACCTAGTGGCAGAGCTGGGACTAGAAGCTGTGCATCCTATGGTCTAAAGTCCCAATATTATAATGGAGTATTTTTAAACTACATAAAACAATCATATATAAACATATTTGAGACACTGACATGCATTACAAAGCATATTTCATGCATACATAGAAATTCATAATTTTCTGTTTTGCTTGCTGAATAAACACTACAAAGACATGTTTTATTTTCAAATACAGATAAGAAACACAGCATATTTCAGCATACCTTAAGAACAATGGGGAAAAGGAACAGATCATAAACCACAGGAAGCTATTTTTCACACAACAGAATCTAGGGATCAAAAGCAGCTTCCCAGTCACTTACTCTAGTACTATCAAACAACTCACACATTTCTGGCAAAGTAATATGATCAAGTACACAATTAGCACTGAAGTTGGTTTGAGAATTTTCATCTTTGAGACCAATATTTGATGAAAGAGAGCTAGATCTTCCACTCAGCAGCTGCATCATCTCAGGGAGCCATTGATTCTCAAAGCGTCCCAGTTAGACCATTCCAACAATAATTCCCCTTTGCAATATAAAAATAAGTTTCACATGCACTAAACTCATTTGACATTATGGAAGGATATGGTTGTGCTTGGGGTTCCACAGCTCCTGAATAGTACAAGTAAGTTCTAGAACCCAAATATTTTAACTCCCACTCAGGGAATCTTTCCACTACTTTACTCCTAGGTGATTTCTAAATTTGTTTTCTTACAACATGATACATGATTTATCATCCACACACATGATGATCCTCCAAAAAGAAAAAAATCAGTGCCCTATTAAAGAACTGTATGGATATTCTCTCAGCTTTGAATGTAAATTCTATACAAGATTCAGAAACACTTTTATAAGTTATTACAGCTGAGCTTTGAAAGTAAGGAAAGAAACACACAAACCTGATTCATTTAGAAAGTGAACTGCGTGAGGAAGCTCATTTTCATCTAACTGCAACTGATTTTCTCTCACTAGTTGTAATAATCGTTTCTGGTCAATTACAGGAAATTCAATTGGCACATTTTTACGCTCCGATAAAATGATTTTCTCAAGTTCTACATAGCAGTCTGGAATCAGCTGTCCAACAACAGGCTGATCTCGGATCTATGAAATTACAAATGACAAGCCGTAAAAATCTATTTTATTCGTGTATGTGTCAAATGGTTGGCAAATTCAGTGCTAACAGTTTTTACGGAAACAGATATGTTATTCAGAAGTACATTTTTAAATAAAATCAAAATATAATAAAAAGCTATTTAGATTGTAAGGAATAAGTACAATGAAATTAAAATAGGAAAACTGTTGATTCAGAGGCAAATTAGGAAATATCAAATAAAATGGTATGGAAATGTTTATCTTGCTACACAGGAATTCCATGGCAAAAATCAAGATAAATCACTAACCATAAGAAAGATTTTTTATATCTTAAGACATTAAACTTAATGTGAAACAGACACACTAGCATAAGATATCAGTACAAATTACAAGAGCTTTTGGATATTATATTTTAAATATTCAAGGTAAAACATTAAATTTTGTGCTTGTTATTTGTAAAATGTTATATTGATGGGATGCATATATCAACAGTGAAACCTGGAGACATAAGATCCCACTCAAGCTATGTTGTTCATGGAACCTTGAATTTGGGAAAATGAGAAATCATCTAAACACCAGTGATTCTGCTAGGAGAGGATGATCATTGTTCTGTTGCTTTTAGAATCTAATCACTGTCTACAAAATGAGAAATGCATAAAAGAAGATTTTTTAAAGAATGGGCTTAAGAGGATAGTTTCTATAATAAAAGTATCTTCCAAACATTTTTTAAAATATAATTTTAAATAGAAAAGCAACTCTTAATAACATCCGCAATGCCTTTAAGAACCACCAGATGGCAAACTCTCCCTATTTCTGGGCCTATGGAAATTACATATTCTTTTCACCTGAAAATAAGAAACAGCATTTCTGCTTAAATTCTTACACTTACTACAAACAGAAATTCAGCACACAGAGACAAAAAATTAACTTGGTCTTTTTCATTTGTGACTAAAACCTTAAGGAGACAACCATAACCATTACTTCTGTATTTACCTGTAAATTGTTACTCAAGAGACTGTTTTCGTGTATCTTTTGACCCAGAGAATTGGAGATAATTTCACTAATCTCCACTTTTCATGTTCCCTCTCAGAGTTGTTCATAAATTAAGATGAAATGGAACTTCAGATTGAGGTTTATGTTTTAATCCAAGGAGGGAAACCTCCATATAAAAGTAAACAAGAGTTCTCAAAGAAAGCAAATCAAGTAGAAACGGGATGAGTTTTAGGGGACTAGGTCTCAAAGCCTAAAGGGATGCCTGCTCTGCTAATGGGCTGAACAAGATTAAAAGGAGTATTGTCGGCATTCAACTCTGTATTGTCCTGCTTCTCCTTTCAGCATGATAATCAGTTCACTGACAGGCTGAGTCAAAAAAATAAAACTTAAAGTGTCTGCACAGACACATGTTAATAAGGTTGAGACAGAAAAAGATTAGAGAAGAGCTAAGATCAAAGGGAAAGATGAAAAATAAATGAGAGGACAAAAAAAGATCTCTAATAGATTAAAAGCTGCTCTTTGAATTCAGGTTGAAGCACCTCAGGGAAGAAAGAATTTTCAAGTTCTGGCAGGCCCACAGGCCCTGGGTCCTCCGAAAGAGTCACTCTTCTACAAAGCAATCAAATGAGTTTTCAAACCATTATGCCAGAATGCTGCATCCATTAGCAATATATACTTTTCTTTCACTAATACTGGTATTTCTCAAAGCATTTGTTTTATTTACTTGTAAAAAGTTGTCTTCAAAGTTGATTTACAAGTGCCAAAAGGAAATCTGGTCTGATTTATTGGTAATGATATCTATTAGACAAAAGCAGTATTAATACAGCTTAATGAGCCATCTTATCTGTGACTTTGCATCAACTAAATTCAGGCCTTTTCAAAACAAACTCGTCCTCCAACAAGTCTTTTTAAAGATATGATACATTACCTGACAGCAATGACGAAAAGGGAAATTATCAAAATATTCTCAGTAACAACAAAGTTTTTGAAGTATGGGTATAGTCTCAGAAAAAAAAAAACCTCGATTAAGAGATTAACTGGATGAATAAATTTTGTGTATTTGTTTTTCTTTAAGTCATATTACTTTCTAATTACGTGTCCAACAAGAGAATAGGAAAATCTACAAATAAATAATGTCATTTTTACATGACATTACTGTCTATCATCAATAAAACCTTTTAATAACTATAATAAATGTGTGCTGAAGGACACGAACATACAAATTCTCTCCCCGGACACCGCAAAATCCATCACTTTTACAAATGGCTCATTAGGTTTTGCAGAGAAGCACACATAATCTATATAAATGGCTTATGTAAGCTAACTGGCCAACGCGGAGTTATAACCAAGGTGACTATATAATTTATCATCCAAATTGGAATGCTTTTGAGAATATAGTGGGACACTATTAATAATTACGCTGGTACTGCCCAGGCGAAATAGGACTCTATTTATCAGCCAGGATCTTGATCATTAGTGCTAATGAGCTAAGCCAAGAGGGACTAAGTGAAATTCATCATTATATTTGTCATATGGAACTATCAAGGGTATTTTTCAGTACAGTTTACACCACACTCCCTGTAGATCCCAGTGAATATTTCTTTTTCCTGCAAGTATTAAAAAAAGAGGGTTGTCTCTGATAACTGATTTATTTATGCTTTATAAAGATTTGGCTTACCAGAAGAGAATTTTAAACATTTAAAACATAATTCCTAAAATAAAAAGTCCATTTTGTATGAACTAAGTAATTAGGGAGATACTACCGAAAACCAAGTCAGTGGTCTTCATGACTAAATAAAACAGCTGCCTCACAATACAGAGGGGAAAAAAAAATTGGAATGGGAATCACCGTGACAAAATACATGAAGGAGTGGCACAAAGGATCAAGATGTCCATAAAATAGGAATTGCAAATGAAAGGAGCAAATGGAAAAATAACAGTCAAAGAATAATAGAAGAAAGATGATCCCAAGACCTCAGTATTCACCTTTACCCTTGGACTGAACCACCACTACAAGAAGTTGGATGAGAAAAGACATCAAAAACATTTTCTCAGATTCTCTCTCAGAAACATTTTCTCAGTATCCCAGAAATGTTCTCTTAGTTTCTCTCAGGGTCCTCTAATTATTTTTTTATTCCCATTTCTATGAATTAGAAATGAAGTCTGGTATAAATAATTTTAAAATGGAAAAGACTTTAACAATGCTAACAGCAATGGGGAAAGAAACCCCACAATTTTAAGTGAGTTGCTCACTTCTCAAAATTTCTGACATTTCTAGGCAGTTGTATAACATGAGAATTAATAAATTACATTTCTCTACCAGCCTACCATGTTACCTTGAAATTAAGGCTCTCGTTTATGATGGTTTTCCGAAGTTTTGCCAAAGCATCAGATTCCTCGGTGGCATTCACAAAGTGGTAATCTCGTATAGCAGGGAACCCTCGCTTATTCAGGAGTTCCTTGGTGATTTTACCTATGCAGGCTTTGCGCTGCCTCTCATCAGAAACATCCAAATGTGTGCCAACGAGAATCACAGGGGAAGAAGAAGCGCGAGCCTGGAGGGAAAGACACAAAACCCTCTTGTGTTTGCTTTCAAATTGGGCCTGCTCACATTCCTGTTGATATTTGCTTTCCGTGACATTCACTTGAGTGGAAAAGAGAAACTAACAGACTTCAGAAGAAGAAAAGAACAACTGTCCTTTTTTCCTTAAACCTAAGAAAACAACGTAACCTCGACATTTTAAAAAATCATTTTTAGGCTTTCCTTAATCCAATTTTTATCCCTTTTAGGTAGCCTATATAATGGTAGTAGCATAGTTTTCCTTTCTCATCTTCATGCCTTAAGATGAGTTATCCACTCCTAAATAAAACAAGCATTTCATAAACCCACAAATTATATCAAATTAACGTCATATCATGTATATTTTCTCTTCCTTATCAGTGAATTTAATCTTCTAAATTCATTTTAAAGTCATTCAATTTGGAGTCTACAATGAAAGAATAAAAGCCATTCAAGCAAGTATGACTGCCACTGTAATATTTGCTCATGTTGGCTAGCTGTAAAAAAGTTAATAAAAGAAACATTAAAAAACACCCAAATTACAAAACAAGCATGTATGCAGCCAAATGACATGGTTAAATATCCTGACACAAGCCTTTTTAAGGACTTTGCTCACAGAAGAGCTCATTGCAGCATCATGCAAGCAGCATTTTAGTCTCAATTCTTAAAAGCCACAGTGTTTGAAGGCATAGCTGACAACAAGACAACAAAGGAAAAGATACAAAAGCAACAAAAGGGAGATTCCAGACATAACAGCATAATAATCTGGGACCACTTAAAGGATACAATCTGAAGGATTTCACACTAAATGGCCCCTGAGTACGAAGTTGATGATATATATAGATTGCTTTTCTTTAATATAGCTTATTTTAAATTAGAAAAATTTAGATTTCATTTAAGAAATAATATGATTAAAAAAACAGTTGAACATATATATTTTCAAGTTTCACAGCATAAAAGAATTTCGGGTTATCAATAACATTCACCAATATGGAACATACCATTTTCATGTTATGATTTAATTACTCTGAAAGTTTCCCAACTCAAAACTTTAGTGCTTCTTTTAAGGAAGTATTTAAAGAGACTGAAGCAACTGTTTGCCCAAAATAAATTAACGTGTACACACACACACACACACACACACACACACACACACACAATTTTCTATTTTCAAAAGATCAGAATAAATCACCTTTATATTGAAGAGCCAAGGCTTCATGGCATCAACTTCAGCCTGTCCTTTGCTAAGGTCATAGACAGCAAGGTACAATGCTCGCTGCGTCATAAAATGAGGATGAGTGCTATAGAATTCCTCACGACCTAAATAAAGATTAGAGACAAATTTTTTAAATCTTTCAAACAACAGGCAAGAACTCTTTTTAAAAAAATATCTGGGGGAATAATACTATTTTTTATTTAGCATACTAATAAGAGAAAAACAACAGATAATGTTTAGAGAACTATTCTGGGTTTTTACAAGGGATTGACCACTTTTAGCATATATGGCACCAACCGATCAAAATACCTAGCACCGTATTGTTACCAACATATCCCTCCATGTTCTCCTCCATTCTGGAGGCAAGGGTAAAATTAGGAGAAGTAAAGGGCTTTGGAATAATTCTATACAGTATACCAGGTTTCTGGATATTAGAACAGAAAGTTCAGTTTTTGAATCCCTGTTCAAAACAAATGGTAAAAGTGAATTTTAAAATTCTATAGAAAGAAATACCTGCAAAATCCCACACATTCAGAACGAGATCTCTCTTTCTTTTGCCTCTTATTTGGATAGGCCAGTCTTTCACATCTATGCCAACTGTGGCACTTTGCATTCCAAGATCTGATTTCTTGGTTTTCATTAATTGCTGCAACAAGGTGGTTTTACCACTCCCAGTATTTCCAACAACCATAAGTTTCATTCGGTTATAGGGCACAGCCTTTTTTAACCGCTGCTGAAGAAACCTAGTATTTGAAATATAAAAATAAAATAATAAACTGTTGAAAAGTACACTTAAGATTTAGGTGAGTTCTTTTGCATGTCACACTAGTCTAAAATATAATATCCAAAAGACTGCATAGCTCATATAACTAATAATGTACATGTCTTTCAGAGTACTGTTAATGCATATATTTTGCTAGAGATTTTAGTGTGGTTGATAATATTTGGTAAAATCACCAAAGAAAAAATGTTACACTAGCGCCAGAAATAATCAAAAGGCCAAAATACATTTGCAATACTAATTAGAATACGATATGCAATATATATACATCTAAATATACACACATATACATACATACATGTATACATATTTGAATTTCTTTAAATAGTATGAAAAGCCCTGTAAATTACAGGCCAGGTGTGGTAGCTCATGTCTGTCATCCCAGCACTTTGGGAGGCTGAGGCGGGTGGATCACGAGGTCAGTACCTCAAGACCAGCCTGGCCAATATAGTGAAACCCCATCTCTATTAAAAATACACAAAATTAGCAGGGCATGGTGGCAGGCGCCTATAATTCCAGCAACTTGGGAGACTGAGGCAGGAGAATCGCTTGAAGCCAAGAGGCGGAGGTTGCAGTGAGCCGAGATCAGTCCATTGCACTCCAGCCTGGGCAATAACAGTGAAACTCAATCTCAAAAAGAAAAGTAAAGAAGAAAAGAAAAACCCTATAAATTATAAAGTATAAAATTTCACAAAGTCCATATGACATAGAAACAAGGTATACATATATGTATACTGTTATAATAAAGCTTGATAAGGTCATATTAGTTACATTATATATGTGTGTATATATACACATATATGGTATATATGATGTATAGATATGTATTCATATATATCACATATGCATATAATAGTATATATGTATAGTGAGATCACCTTACTTCATAAATAAATAAATATAAACTATTATACTATCAGCAACTGTTAACAAGCTTTCATCCCTAATGATCTTAATGCAAAAACTGAACTAAATAGAAGTGTTTAGGTAGCTTAAAAACTACCTTTAAACTAATAGATTTAAAGTGTTATAAAAAATATAATGGATAAAGATACATTTTGAAATATGTTAAAATGTTGCCACAGTCTCAAATTAGAGAAAAAGACTAAATCATAAGTCACTACATCGGAGTAGTGACCAATTCATTCCTATTACTAATAAGAATCTCACCAACATTCCTGATGATATGACCAAAAAAGATTACTTTTCTTGATTTATTTATTTCTTAAGAATGCACCACTATTCGAAAAATGGCTTTCTTCAAAAAGCAAATGATGCTTACAATTTCTAACTTGCTCCAGGTCTTTCTGTCTTCTCTGAAAATGTTAAACATGTTTAAAAATATTTAGATATATATTTTGATAATACAGTATAATACACTGAAAGCTAGTTCTACTAAATGTTTAGTAAGAATTGAACCAATTTTTATATAACCATCTTTTCCAGTTTCAAGAGAGAAAAATAATTGTGTAGGATGAAGGGTAGTCACAATTAGCACAAAAGTTAACAAATTCTTTCCTTTAAAATGAAATCAAGCTCAGGAGGAGTTCAGAAAACAAAATCCTTCCTCATAAAAAGAGATGAAGTTAAATACAAATTTAAGAGATTTTAGGCAGAAGAGAATGAGTAAGTATAAATCACTGATAATTAAACAATTACTAATTGTATGCCAGGCACTGTGTTGGGTGCCAAGATTTGAATAGTGACTGAACACAGCTATAGTCTCTGCCTTGGGGGATATTACAGTCAAGTTGAGAGGTGATGACAGAAATGAGGTCTGCAATGTTCATACAGTAACTGTGGAAAAGGGAGCAAAGGATTTTATGAGAAAGTAATAAGACCAATGTGCTGAAAGGGAATAAAAAGGGGGATAAAATCCATTATCAAAGACACTTAAAGTGCTTAGAGTGTAAAGACCAGAAACAGTGATACTTGAGAAGTTTTGGTGCTTTCAAAACTGATCAAGGTGAGTAGATTACTCATCCTAATGGGCAAAATAGAAGTTAGTAATTTCATATGATGTCAGTAATGATAATACTTTAAGATGTAAGAGGCATATGTTACCTAGTTGCTATATGAAATTCAGTGTGAGAAGTTATTAAACTGTGCTATATTTCTTTAGATTGTGTAATCGAGAGACCAAATCACAATACTTATTTTCTTTTAGAGTCTACTCCAGTGAAAAGAAACAGAAGGAGGAGAAGCTGCTCTCAACATTAGCCTGGCTAAGAAGAATGAAAAATCTCTACAGTGGCACCACAGAAACGCATTCATTAAATGAAAGGCAAATGACACAGCATATTAATGCCAAATATTACTATTCATTTTTCCCTAAATTGTAACAATGTACGTCCATCAAAGTCACAGAAAGTAGAAAATCTGAAATAAATTTAATAAAAACAAATAGAAAAAAAAAATCTAACCTTATGATGTCTTTGGCTTTACATCCTATATGTTTAAAATCAAAGTTAAGACGCAGTTCATCCAAAGGAAGATCCCATATTTTGCTTAATTTCCCCATTTCATTGGGAAAGGATCTTAGTTCCAAGTTGTAACTGACATCCAGAGATGTCAGATTTTCAAGACAGCCAATCTCAGGAGGAATCTTAATGGAAAAAAAGGGGCAAAAGCTGTTGGTGGGAAGGAAGAAATGTATTCTGCCAAAAAACAAGATGATAAGAAACAAGAAAGGCTCACAGATTCCATCAGCAGCTTGCACAATCTTTCAACAGAGTTCTAAAACTTTCCAAAGGTTTGTCATAAGTTGTCAGTATGTGTTTAAAAACATGAAAACTTACATATAAAAACTTACTCCCAAACAATCTATGTCACTCATCTGTAATCTTAAAAAACCCCATCTCCTTTGGTAACATACTTCATCTCTTCAAGACATTGAAAGTAAGGAAGTTCTTACCACAAAATGGATTTGGTTATCCAAATCCATTATCTGTGGCTTCATTCTGCTCCTTCAGTAAAGGAAAGAAGACCTAGAGTCACTACAAACCTGCACGCAATTTAGTATTCTCAAAGTAAAGCAACATGCTTATATTTTAGGCGGCATCCTAATTGGAGTGATTTCTCTTCTGTTCCAAATTTTTAAGTAATATATACTGTATTTATAATAGAAAACACTCATTTGCTGGCAAAAAATCAGGTAGCAAAATATATGCACAGTTTTTCTGAACCTCAGTGTCAGACACTTACTTCTTTTGGTTTTGTAGGCAACACGCTAGAACTTGAAAAAAAAATATTTTCTGAGACAAATAGATTATCAGTTTCAGATTTATAACAGAGAGAATGGAGCAAAACAAAAAAGATTGATCCATTAGGGTGATAGGTAGCATGGTGCAGGAATGCAGAAATTTAAGAATGTACCAAAGAAAGCTGAAAAACAAGTAATATAGTACACAGGCCAGCAACAACTTGAGAAAAATGGAGCATCTAAGAGTCTGTTAACAGATTGGACAGAGATTTAGTGATACAATGACACACAGCATAACATTAATCTATAATTATGTATAATTCATATAATCCTTAAAAAATATAGCACAAAAGTATTTTTTAAGGAAATTACGCTGTGTTACCATATCCATTTACCATTGGGTAGGCTTAGAACTTATTTAAAAACCAAAAAAATTGAATAGTATTGATATTTACAATGCTTATTTTGAATTTATAATTATTAAATGACATCAACTACTATTCCATAGAACACTCTTTATGAGCTAGTACTATAAAGAACTGTGTATTAGTAAAGCATTCTAAGTTTTTTTGTCATAGTTAAGTAACAGTTAAGAGTAACTTGAGTTAATCTATAATATGTTATATGATAACATCACACGTAATTTGAAATGAATATTCTAATAATTTTTACTTTGTACAAATGTTGGGTAGACAAATTTATATCCAGCTGTTTAGCTTTCAGATTGAAAGGTTCTGATAAGTATTGTATATTGTTTTATTGTTTAGTGGAAATATTACAGCTACGACTTTTAAATATTTTCAAAAGCAGATTTTTTTAAATTGTCAGTGTGAGAATAGAAATTAAATTAAGTGACACACCATTAGTAGTTGTTCTTATTTTTGAATTTAATGGAAATCTGAATTTATAGTTGACAGGAATTTATAGTTAACAGGAAGCTTCTAGTTTCATGAAACTGGTATTTAGAAGCTAAATATCACTTAAAATGATAATTTGTGATGATGCAAATCATAAAGTATATTTTTTAAGTGGCAATAATTTTAAAAGTGACATCTTACCTCTTTCAGTTTATTGTGAGAAAGATGCAGTTTCTCTACTCTAGACCATAAATACGCTTTTTCACTCAAGTCCAAGATGCTGATCTGATTATGGCTAAATAAGAGTTCCCTTAAGTTCAAAGATTTCCAGTGTGCAGGACCTGGTAGATATTGAATATCATTGCTGCTCATATCTAAAGACCGCAAGCTAAAACAATACAATGGAAAGATGTAAATCATATGAGTATTTCCAAAATACATGAAATAACATCACAAATAATTTTCCTCAGGGTGAGAATAAGGTGTAATGTCAAAACTAGCATTATTGACATATGAGTATGCATGTGATTTGAGAGCCTGAAGTTGAACCACCAGAGTTTAAGAACCATGAGCTGGGCAAGTTACTTCATCTCTTATGAAGTGGAGATAATAACAGTGGCTATTGTAGGGGATTATTAGGAAGATTAAAGAGGCGAACCGCTGTAGAGTAGTTAGAATAGTTTGACACATTCTAAAGCTAGATGTAAGTTAGCTATTATAGGTTTGTGTAACACTCTCTATGGCTAAATTATAATTATTATTTCCCTAAATATGAGCTCACAGAAGAGTTCATTGCAGCATCATGCAAGTAGCATTTTAGTCTTAATTCTAAAAAGCCACAGTGTTTGAAGGAATAGCTGACAGCAAGAAAACAAAGGAAAAGATAGATTTACACATATATTTTATGAATTTGGTTTATCATGTATGATATAATTAGAATAGAATTTAAGATTACAACACAATCAAGATCGAATTAATGCCTCAATTTAAAGTTAACAGGAAACTTCTGGTTTCATGAAATTAACCAAAATACCTCAAAAACCTGGAACTACATAAACTTGCCTAATCTTCACCCAAAATTTCACTCAAACACAACTTAAGCATAATGTCAAAGTTAAGGGTATTCTGGCAACATATCAAGTTCCACCAACGTTTTAAAAGTTAAAGTGATAGCCAGTATAATCTCATTTCATTATACTAATACAGCAATTAATTAAACAATCCTAAGTTGTTTTTACACAATGATCCACTAAATTAATATAAAAGTTTCCATTTTAAGTAATGAGTTGGGTCTTTTATCTAGTGAAAATCATTCATACATACAAAAACATTAAGCTAAGTAGGTTTAGAAAGCAATTACCTCCATATGACTGAATCGAAATCATGTTTCTAAAGGTTCTGTTCCAGCTGATGTGCTTTTAAAATTAAAAAAACAATAAACTTACTGTGGAAGATTTAAAATTGCTTCTGGAATACATGTAAATTTGTTTTGAGATAATTTTAGGCTTGTCATGGAAGGAGGCAAGAAAGGCATAGCAGCTAAAAGAAAAAAAATGAGATAAACATTTTAATCATTTTAACCAGATTTCCATTAAATTCAAAAATAAGAACAGCTACCAATGGTGTTTAATTTAATTTAATTTCCATTCTCACACTGACAATTTTTAAAAATCCACTTTTAAAAATAAAGTAATAGCCTTAATACTTCCACTAAACAATAAAACAAAATGCCATACTTACCAGAATCTTTTAACCTGGAAGCTAAACAGCTATTTAAATATAAATTTAACTACCCAACATTTGTACAAAGTAAAAATTATTAGAATATTCATTTCAAATTATGTGTGACGTTATTATATATCATATAGATTAACTAAAATTACTCTTAAATAACTATAGCAAAACAACTTTGAACACTTTACTAATATACAGCATATTATAAGGACAAAAATTATTTATAGTACTAGCTCATAAACAGTGTTCTATGGAATAATAATGGGTGTTATTTAATGAAAGTATTCTTTGACCATATAATCTTAAGAGATTGGGAAACATTCGGTAAAATAAAGTAAAATATCTGAGTTCTCAAAACTCTGTTGTATTTTATGATTTTTTTTTATTTTTTACTTTTTTATTTTTTACATTATTATTATTATTATTATTATTATTATTATTATTTGAGACAGAGTCTCTCTCTGTTGCCCAGGCTGGAGTGCAGTGGCACAATCTCAGCTTAATGCAATCTCTGCCTCCCAGGTTCAAGAGATTCTCCTGCCTCAGCATCCTGAGTAGCTGGGATTACAGGTGCGGGCCACCATGTCCAGCTAATTTTTTGTATTTTTAGTAGAGATGGGTTTTCACCATGTTAGCCAGAATGGTCTCGATCTTCTGACCTCGTGAACCGCCCGCCTCGGCCTCCCAAAGTGCTAGGATTACAGGCGTGAGCCACTGCGCCTGGCCTATTTTGTGAATTCTTAAGAAGGAAATGCAGTATGAGGTACCTCCAAGGAATAAAATTCTGTGAAACACAATTTGGGAAACAGAAAATCACACAGCCTGTTTTCTTATCTGTAAAAGAGTGCAGCTAGATCAGATGAACGCTGAGATACGTGAAATATCTACAAATCTACGGTTCTGTGAAAATGGCTTGAGGAATTAGTTATTAGCATTTTCAAGGTTAAAAAATACGGGTTATGATTTATCTAGACAATCTTCAAGGGTCAAAATGTTCCAGGACACTCCCAGAAGCTGTCTTCCTGAGAAGCAGAATGATACATATTATACCTCACCTATTGGCAAAATAAATGAGTAGAAATGATTCTCCACTTAAGACTTCAGAGTCTTGAGTTTCATATGTTGTATGGAAAACATTCATAAGGCCACAAAACTAAAACTATATTTTACATGGGATTTATTTATTTATTTATTTATTTATTTATTTTTTACAGAGTCTTGCTCTGTCGCCAGGCTGGAGTGCAGTGGCATGATCTCCACTCACTGCAACTTCCGACTCCCTGGTTCAAGCGATTCTCCTGCCTCAGCCTCTCTAGTAGCTGGGATTAGAGTCACATGCCACCACGCTTACTAAAAAAAACTAAAAATTTTTGTGTTTTTAGTAGAGACAAGGTTTCACCATTTACATGGGATTATTTTTTAATGGTTAGTGGTCTTGCTCAGATGTCACCTCCGTGGGGCATCTTCTCAAATGTAAGACCACTTTTCAAACTATTAAGCTTGTGTAGTGCAAAGCAAACAGATTTTGAACTGGGGCCCATTCAAACTTTCACAAGATAATTAATTACATGCACCTGTAAACATCACACAAAAAAATCTCGCTGCTTCAATTTCCTCAACTGGGCAGAGGTCATACCTGTCCTAGGTACGACGACCATTAGGATCATTGTGAGATTCAGCTGAGATGACACACTGACCATACACAAGCTTCAGGGTCATTTTGGATGCTCCTCTTTCCAGACCCAACTTAAATGTCACAGGAACAGAAAGGCTTCCCTGACTCCACAGTCTGAATCAGATTCCCCTGAGGTACCACAGAGCATCCTGAAACTTTTCCACAGAAGGTACCACAATATAAAATTACATTTATTTGTGCCATCATTACTTAATGTTTGTCTGTCCTCTGAACTTAATCACAAGTTCCTTAAGGACAGAGACCAAGTTTGCTTTGCTTACTAGTGAGTGAGTGAATCACTCTATCTCCAGTTTCAGGATCATAGTTAGAATGTGGCCAATATTCATGAGAGTAGGAGGAAGGGAGGGAGGGATAAATGAGGAAAATACTATCCAAATTAAGACGGCTTTGATCATTATTAGTTTCTGAAAGCTCTGACAAATTAAAATACCATTAATAAGCAGTCAAGCCATATTCTGCTATTAAATAGAATTAAAAATTATTTTACTGAGTCAGGTATAGAATAATCACATGGGTGGCAAGAAGTGAGTATTCTCTATGAAGGAAGATAAAATATGGGGAATTCTTGTTTATTATCATAAAAGTATTTTGTTCCTTAATATTAAAATGTTCATTTAGGATACAAATGAACATAATTTCCTCTATTATTTCATAAGCTAAGAGAATGTAGGGGATTCTACAACTTTTAATAAAAGTGATGATAATAATTTGCATTATTGTAATGTCTTGCAAAGCACAAGGGCTGATTGAATATACATTAACTTCACTAAATTGAAAACTATTAAATGATTAATTTTGTTTCTAACAACAGCAATAAGAGTAATCATATTTATCATACAAAAAATTGCTGAAGAAACTTCAGTATGAAAAATAGTATTTCAGTATAAGGATGCCTTACCCAGCTCAGGCAGTCATGTTTAGTTGAAGACTAAAAGGAACCACAGTGCACTACACAGTAGGCCAAGTAACTATCATTTTAACCTCTGACAATAAAAATGTGATAACTTTGTTTAAATTATAGACTATTTTTAGAGCAGCTTTAGATACACAGAAAAATTGAGCAGACAGTCCAAAGACTTTCAATATATCCCTTCTCTCACCACCACTACCCCACATATATTTTCCCCTGTTATTAACAATTTGCATTAGTTTGGCACAGTTGTTCCAATCGATGAGCCAATATTTGACACTTCATTATCACTCAAAGTCCATAGTTTACATCAGGGTTCATTCTTTGTACTGTACATTCTATGGGTTTTGACAAGTGAACAATGGCACGTATCCCCCACTGTAGTATACAAAACAGTTTCACTGCCCTAAAAATCCTCTGTGCTTTACCTATTCATCTCTCCCTCCCCTAACCCCTGACAACCATTGATCTTTTTAATGTCCTCATAATTGTGTCTCTTCCAGAATGTCTTATAGTTGGGAACGAATAGTATGTAGCCTTTTCAGATTGGCTTCTTTCACTTAGCAATATGCATTTACATTTCTTTCATTTATTTTCATAGTTTGATAGCATTTTCTTTTATTGCCAACCTGCTAACTTTATTTTTTAAATCCAGCATAATATTTAAACTGAAATGCCACCTTTCAATCCCCACCTAAAGGGTCCATATGTGACTCATCTTGTACAACTTAGAGGGCCTGGTAAGGAGGAGACCCACACAGAACACTTACCAAGAAAATTCATTCTGGCACTGAAACTCTCCACTTTAGGACAAGCCTCAAGAAAGTTCTCTGATAGGGATGAAATGTGGTTTTTACTAAGGTTTAAAATCTTCAGTTCCTTCAGTCTCAAGGGGGAGCATATCCCTGATATTTTATTTCTAGTCACAAGAGACAAGATAATGATTAAACTGCATAAATTCATTCATATGCTTTAAAGAAAAAATACCAAAAACAATTTGTTTTCGAAGAATAGCATCGAAGAGGACTCATTAATTTAAAAATTAGTTGTGAAAATGTAAGTCATTGATAAAAGTTGTAATATTCATTGTCTCAGTTTTTTATTATATATAATAATACTTATACATTATAATAAATATATATTTTATATATATATATTTTTTTTTTGAGACAGAGTCTCGCCTCTGTCACCCAGGCTGGACTGCAATGGCGCGATCTTGGCTCACTGCGACCTCCGCCTCTTGGGTTCAAGCGATTCTCATGCCTCAGCCTCTGAGTAGGTGGGATTACAGGCGTGCACCAACAACCCCGGATAATTTTTGTATTTTTAGTAGAGATGGAGTTTCACCATGTTGTCAAAACTCATGACTATACAAATGTCAGCGTATTTTGTTAACATCAGCATATTTAGGCAGTCCTTTTATTTTTAATGAGCTCTTTCTTACCCTTCTAAAATGAGCTGCTCCAGTTTCTCTATCCCATCAGCAAGGTTCTCAGGAACAGAAGACAGCTGGTTATATGACAGGTTAAACTGTTTCAGAGTTGGACATTTCACTGCAGGATCTAAAACCACTGAGGGTCCAATGTCATTTCGAGAGACATCAAGGTTAGCAACACAACTCATTTTCAACAAGTAAGAAGGAAATGATGTAAATTTATTACTGTGCAAGTCCAAATGTGTCAAACTCTTCAGAGTCTGAAAAGACAAGAGTTTAAAATTCTAAAGTGAACCATCTGAGGAACTTAAGTCTAGCTAATATTTCTGCCTTACACACCTCTGGTAACTAGAACCATCAAGAATTTTCAAAAAGTTGAAAACACAATCCACAACAGAATTTCAGTATACTGATAAGCCCAATCACCTCTGCTTATAGCATGGGTAAAACCAGCAAAATTACAACGGTAGACTGTAAAAAGCAGGTTCATGAAAATAGAGTTGAAAGCTTCCTTCAGCTTTTTTGTAAATTATTTCCAGAAAGAGCAAAATGGAAGCAGAATAGGCCTCAACAAATATTTGAATTAATGATTTAAGAAAAAGCACAACATAATCCTGGGAATATGTTTTAAATGCTGTCAGAAATTGTTACATATTTTGATATATATAAGATTTAACCATAAAAATAGTTACATACAATATGTGTTTCATTTTAGAACCTCCTCTTTTTTATGAAACTTTTTGTTTCAAATTTCTACTTTCCATTTTTAAGCAGTTTATAATTTTACAATGATAACAGCAAACCCCTACTTACATATTATGTCGACTTTTTACAACTTTGTTATGTAATACTCTTAAAGAGCTCAAATGCCAAAAACAATCACTTCTCTATGTTCTTCTTTATATATCAGTATATTTATCCACACAAGAAATTCTAGACTTTGATATGATTATAGAGGCTTATTAATGACTCTTTGCCTCAGAAGTTGTTTCAAAATTCCTGCCTTTGTTTCAGACCCTTATTAACTTATTCCAAAGTAAAGATTTTAAAATTATTCCCAGGGTTTAATCAGAAAATTTTCTTATAAAAAGGAACATAGTTGAGACTCTTTGACAATAACAAACAAACAAACAAAGTACCATCTAATGGTGTCATTTTGAAATTTCCCTAAGAGAAGGTTCTGAGCTTGTCCAGTCATTGAATGCCAGCATGTCTCACCTTATCACCATCTCTTCCAATTCTCTTTTTTTTTTTTTTTTTTTTTTTTTTAGACGGAGTCTCGCTCTGTCGCCCAGGCTGGAGTGCAGTGGCGCATCTCGGCTCACTGCAAGCTCTGCCTCCCGGGTTCACGCCATTCTCCTGCCTCAGCCTCCCGAGTTGCTGGGTCTACAGGCGCCCACCACCTCGCCCGGCTAGTTTTTTGTATTTTTTAGTAGAGACGGGGTTTCACCGTGTTAGCCAGGATGGTCTCGATCTCCTGACCTTGTGATCCGCCCGTCTTGGCCTCCCAAAGTGCTGGGATTACAGGCTTGCGCCACCGTGCCCAGCCTTCCAATTCTCTTTGTTTTAACTAGACTAAATCTCTGAATTATTTCACTTGCTCATTTAACAAATATTAATTGAAGTATTACCAAGTTTCAGGCATTAATGCCTCCACAAATCAATTCAGTAAGTATCTACTAAACTTCTACCATATGTCAGGTCTCACTAGGCACTGGGAATAGACAGAAACAAGCCTGAAACAAGTCCTGTCCTCAAGGAGTTCACAGTTTAGTGAGGGCAAAGGTACTTTAAATCAAATTGGATGACTGAATGAGAATTAGAGGGAAAGCATCATGTGTTATGGAAATGGAGGTTAGGTGGCCAGGTTGGCTGGAGGGTAGAAGGAAAAAGGAAGAGAAGCAGAGAGTGATGAAGTGACATTTAAATTGAGCCCTGGGTGACTTGAAGTATTTAGCAAGGCAAAGAGGTGAAGAGAGAAAGACACATTTTAGACATTACAGCATGGCTGGAGGAGTGGGTCACCTTTCTTTCTTCTCTCTGTCTCCAGATATAAAAACTTTACAGAGAAAAACACCCCTTAAATATACTTAAAATTTATGTAATATTGCCTTTAAAACATCTCAAAATTATGATAATTTTTTAGACTTAAAAAGGGGGAAATGCATTTGCAACAAGACTTTTTTTTTTTTTTTTTGTTTTTTTTTTTGAGATAGGGTCTCACTCTGTTGCCCAGGCTGGAGTACAGTGGTGCAATCTTGGCTCACTGCAACCTCTGCCTCCCAGGATCAGGCAATTCTCCTACCTCAGCACCCAGTAGCTGGGACCACAGGTGCACCCCACCACACATGGCTAATTTTTTGTATTTTTGGTAGAGACAAGTTTGCTGTTGTTTACGCTGGTCTTGAACTCTTGAACTCAGACAAATCCGCCTGCCTCAGCCTCCAAAGTGCTGGGATTATAGGCATGAGTCACCATGCCCAGCCTTGAGAATTTAATTTAACAATTTAAACATTTGCATTAAAATAATTTTAATTTTCATATCTTCTTTGGCTTTCAAAACTATTTTGATCTGTAGTACATACAAATGTTGAGCAAAGTCAATTTTCAGAGAGCTATCCTATCAACAAACTATATTATAGTTTAATTCTTATAAGACAGGAACTTTGACCAAAAATGAAAATCTTTTAAGTTACACATTATTTTAAACTGGAAAAAAAAAATAAGCCACAATAATCATTTAGTTGAATCTCTATTTTACAGATGAGAAAATGAAAGATTAGAGCAGGAGGAGTGACATGTTCGTATTGTCACACAGTTGTAGCTGAGTCAGAGCCAGTACTACCAAACCAGGTCTAATTCTAGTTTACCTAATCTAATTTAAATAGTTGACGTTGTCTTACTTGAATTAAATGATTAAAGTTTAATCAATATACACTTGATAGACTTTAATATGTACTCTGTACAAAACCTAGAATTTCTTTCTAATCAGATCTGTTTCCACGGCCTGCCCTCAAAGATGCTCCTGAACATCACACAGACTAAGATATGTGTGCAAAAACCAGAAGAACGGGGGACTTATTGCCCAGTGACACAAAAGCAGAATGTTCTTTTAAAAGACTTAATCAGGCAAACTAGATATAAATACAAAAGCTCTTCAAACGTCTTAAAAGTTACAAGGATAAATTAAATTTACTTCACATAGCTGTTGTGGAAAGCTCGTGAGTGCATTCTGGTGAAGCTCCAGCTTTTCAAGATGCTCCAAATGACCACTTATACAGGATTTCTGGCTTAGGGCATCAATATCTCTTAGTTCATTTGCTGAAAGGTCTAGTGATGTAATATATTCTCTCTCAGAAGCCAGAGAAGAAATGCTGTCTGAATGCCTCATATGGGATTGAAGTTTTGATGACCCTTTTGTCAAAAACAGACAGACAATGGAAATATAAGCAAATAATTTAAATTCATGTAGTGAAAGTTTACTGAGCACCTCCTAGCAATCAGGCTTTCTTCAGGGCACTGAAGATTCAGTAGAAAACCAAACTATGGAGTTTACATTCCAGTGGCAGAGATGAACAGTAGATAAAAAGCGTTTAATCAGGTGGTATAAATGGTGTGGGAAAAAGAAAAAGAAAACTGGAAGAGAGGATGAAGAGTGGCACTGGTGGGAGGTGTTATTTACATTTCAGAAAACTTGTAAAAATAAAGACTAACGTGTTCTATAATATTCAAGAAAGGTAAATTTTAAATGTATACTTCATTTTTCTATAGCTTATGGGAAATTATGTAAGATGAAACTGGCCCCAAGAATATTTGAATAATTGGAGGAAATTCAACCAAACACTGTATTCTGCCCAAAGTATCTATTTACTTATGATTACATCCAAATACTTACTGAGTGAATCATCTGAAGATAATATTTTTCTTTTTCTTCTCAGTAAATCTTCATGATCAAAAATGGGCCCCTATTAAAAAAAATGATATTTATAATAAAATTGCTGTCACTTGTTGGACAAGAGGACATTTTTATAAGGAAAGAACCATGAAATTTTAATAGGGTTAAATGGTATTTATAATTATGGGAAAAAATAGGCAAGTAAAAACTAAGAACCCAATTATGAAGATAAAAGAAAACAATTCAGTTTTGTGCTCAAATGACCTTAGTATCTACTCTTTCTCTTTTGTTTTAAATATAAGGAAACTGAAAAACAGAAAGGTTGAGTCAAAAAGCTATATCTATATAATTTCTCTCATTAACCAAACTACTTTTTATAACTAAATTTATATATAAATTCGAAAGAGCATATATAAAGCTGAGAGCTAATTTAACCGATTCAACTATAGTCATTCATTTCACCCATCTTAAGGTCTAGAATTAACATATAAAAACACTGATATTTTTAGTATTCAGCTATAATCAAAATTAGAGCATAGGTTAGAATAGATCCTTCAAAGTGAACCTGAGAATAAGGTGGCTCCCAATTTCCTCAACTAGAATGATCAAACTCCTCATGCAAATATGCAATAGTCCTTCTATAGTTCCAAAACAGATAGGAGGTTGAAATAATAATAATGGTGTCTAAAAAATTAAATAACTTTCAATACACTTATAGATATAGATATAGACATAGACAAAGATAAGCAATGAATTATATTATGCTACTCCATCTTGTTCAGTGTCCTTCAGACTTCTGTCTGGTTTCTTAGAAATCACTGTAAGATTTCTAGCTAAAGTGTTCATGGGACCATTAGGTACAGGTCTAGCCTGGGCTCTTTTCAGACATGAAGTTCTGAAAAGAAAGAAGAAGAAAACCATCTTGAAGTGTACTGCAAGTATACATATATATGCCCCAAACAAATTCATACCCTGCATACTCAAAAGACTACAAATGTGAATTTAGCATAATTTACATCTACTGTGTTTTCATATATATACATATAGAAAACATCTCAAAATTATAGTTTTCATACATCAGGGAAATCCCTACCAATTGTTCCTAGCTTTGGCATAAATTTTAGTTATCAAGAGAATGTCAGTAGCAAAACACAACATAATCACAATTCAACTTACCAAGGAACTGGAATGCCTTTGCAAATTTGGTGAGCAACGTTGTAATACGGCATCTCGGTAAAATTCTCCTACACTAATTGAATTTGATTTCTTTTTCACAAGAAATGAGCCTTCACTTCCTATTTTGAAAATGATAAAGTAACATGAAAGTGAGTATGAAAAGCTTACTCAATCATAAGGTCCTTGTTCAGTCATGGAAGATTAAACCTATTTTTATTAATGGAAATTTCACAGTCCATTTCCTTTGTAAAATCTTTAAAATAGAAATGATAAGCCATGTTGGTTTTTCACTTTAAAAATTCAACAACATTTTTCTTCATCCATAAATATTTATGGAATGGCTGTTACAGACTAGACACTGGGTAAGCACTGGATAATGATATGCAGGAAAAAAATAAATCTATCCCTCAGAGGAGCTCATAGTCCAGCAGAAAAAAGCAAAATCAATCAATGGTTACATAAGCTATAACAAATACGTGTGTGTGCAGAAAGTTTGTATGCAATCTGATCAATGTTACTGCTTTCTGTTTCTCTGAATTTTTTTTATAGAGACCACTGGAATAGGATCTAGCAGCAAAGGAAAGAGAGTGGATTAACTCCCTGAATTTTTCTTATAAATTTTTCAAATCTTGCTTTAAATGTTGTAATCACACAAATTATTTAACAGCAATTTTGAATATATTCCTATCTGAATTTCATGTTTCATGGTTTCTTTTATGGAATGGTATTAAAATAAACACAATAAATTTGGCTGGCAATAATTATTTTATAAAATAAGGAAAAGGCAGTACTTTCAAAATAATAAATTTACAAAAAAGATCAATAAATAAATCATATTAAAGATAAATAATGTGAATGCATTTGTGAAAATTATGATTTTAAATTCCCCTACTCTTTATCTTAGAAAAACAAAGAATTCATTTTACTTCAAAACCAAATTATAAAATCTGTATATCCAAATATCCCCTTTATAATATTCAGTATAAATCCTGATATAAACAGTTCCTACCTGGTTCATTACTGAAGTTCAATTAATTCTATAATTTAAATTATTTTAATGCTTAAGAATTTTAATAAAATAGAATTTATAATTTAGTAACAATTACATAATTATAAAGATTATTAAATTATCATAATTATCCCATTTTATATGTTTGTGAAATGTCTATTAGCACATTATTTGTACAAGCAGCATAGTGCATTTTATAATTATTTTATGTTAAAATTTCTAATGTTTTCTTTAAAAATACTTGAAGAGAGTTCTTTCAGGCATGATAGAGCAACAAATGTGAATGAACTTAACCTACTTACATAAACAACAAGAAAACTGGACAAATACATTAAATGACTGGATATAGACACTGGGCGACAGACAGCACAGGACTATGTAATACCTGAAAGAAGGGTAACAAATTATGTGAGCCCTATGATCACTCTGGTCTTCTGCTTGGAGACAAATTAAGGGGCATACACATAAGAAGAAATTTAAACAGTCTCACGGCTTTCCTGAGATGAGGAGATAGACATCAACATTTATGGAGACTACAATAGCTGGGAGTTCTGGGGCAGTTACAGAAAAATAGCTCCAGTAATCTGCACATGGGTTTCTGGAAGATCTGCACTAGAAATGTAAAAGGGAATTCTTCCAGAAGAAGAAAATGATACTAACTGCAAACTTAGATTAACATAAAGTGGTTATTTCACTTAAAAAATTATTTTTTATATATAATCCTTAACGTTTGCACAACAAACAGCAGAGCTTCAAAATATACAAAGCATAAACAGATAAAACTGAAAAGACGACCAACAAATCCTCAATTACAACTTCAATAGTTCTCTTTCAAATACAATAAATAGAAAGAAAAATCAGTAAAGTCACAGAAAACTTGAGAAATTTTACCAAACAATTTGGCCTATTGATTTGACCCAATAACAGATGAATATACTTTCTTTTCAGTTGCACATGGCACACCACCAAGACAGATCATATAATAATCCATAAAGCATGTTTCAATAAATATAAAAGGATAGAAATCATCAGAGTAGGTTGTCTGACCACAACAAAATTAAATTGAAACCAATAACCAAAAAGTTATCCAGAAAAATCTCCAAATATTTGGAAAATAAACGACAGCCTTCTAAATAACTCATGAATCAAAGAAGTCACAAAGGAAATTAAAATTTTTTTAAATGAATGGAAAGATGACACATCAAAATACTGGGATGCAGTGAAAGTGATATTTATAAGGACATATATAGCCTTAAATAAATGTTTCTGTTACAAAATAAGAAGGTTCTAAAAACCAGAGTTCTAAGCTTCCAAATTAAGAATCTATTTAAAAAAAGTCAATTAAAATGAAAATAAGTAAGGAAAGGGAACAATAAAGATAAGAACAAAAGTCAGTGAGAAAGTAACACAAACAATAGAGAAAATCAATAAAACAAAAATCTGATTCTTTGAAGAGATTATTAATAGGATAACTAAATCACTAACAGGATAATTAAATAATTACTATAAGTAACATTAAACAAATAAATTTGGCAACTTATATGAAATGGACATATTCCTTGAAAGTTACAAATTACTAAAACTGACTTAAGAAGTAAAAGAAAATTAAAATAATCATACATCTATCAAAGTTATTAAATTCATAAGTTTAAATCTCCTCCCCACAAAAATTTAAAACCTAGATGGCCTTTGCTGGTGAAGTCTATCATACATTTAAGAAGAAAACACCTTTACACAAACTCTTCTAGAAAATTGTGGAATGGGAAACACTTCCCAATTCATTTCAAGAGGCCAGCATTACTCCCATAATTACAAGGAAGTATAAAACTACAGACTAATATCTCTCACAGATGCAAAATTCCTTTTTTTTTTTTTTTTGCACTCGCACTGTGGCCCAGGCTGGAGTGCAGTAGCATGACCTCGGCTCACTGCAAGCTCCACCTCCGGGTTCACGCCATTCCCCTGACTCAGCCTCCAGAGTAGCTGCATCTACAGGCGCCCGCCACCATGCCCAGCTAATTTTTTGTATTTTTAGTAGAGATGGGGTTTCACTGTTAGCCAGGATGGTCTTGATCTCCTGACCTCATGATCTGCCTGCCTCGGCCGCCCAAAGTGCTGGGATTACAGACGTGAGTCACTGTGCCCAGCCAGATGCAAAATTCTTAACAAAATTTTAGAAAATAAAATTTAATACTATATAAAAAGGATAATGTACCATAACCAAGTGAGATTTACTCCAGGAATGCAAATTGGTTTAACATTAGAAAATCAGTCGGTGTATTTGACTATATTAACAAAATATAGGTGAAAAATATGAATACCTCAGCAGATGCTGAACAGCATTTTTCAACACCTATTAATGATTAAAAAAAAAAAAAAGGCTCTCCAAAAACGACTAGGAAGAAGCTCCTTCAATTTGATAAAGGGCATCTATGAAAAATAACAAATAATGTCATAATTAGTGATTAGAGACTGAATGTTTTTCCTCTAAGTTTGGAAACCAGGGAATGGTGCCCAGTCTGACTGATTCTATTCAACATAGTACTGGAGGTCCTAGCCAGTGCAATATGACAAGAAAAAAAAAAGGAGCCATAAATATTAGAAAAGAAAAAGCAAATCTGTCTTTATTACTAAATGGTATAATTACGAACAAAGAAAATCCTGTGGAATCTATAATAAGGTACTGGAAAACTCATAAGTGAGCTTAGCAAGTTTACCGGATAAAAAATTCATGTACTAATAAATGAATTGTATTTCTATATATCAGCAGTGAACTCCTGGAAATTAGAATTCAAATACAATACCATCTATAACAGCATCAGAAAACATCCAATACAACACACTGTTAGAAATTTTAAAAGACTAATTGAACTATATATCACATTAATATGTCAAAAGACTCATTATTAATGTATTAGTTCCCTCAAATTGATTTACAGATATAATCTATAGAAATTATTTATGTATTAATTATATGGTATAGATTATATTAACATTACAGGTAATATGATTTAATTTATAAATTAATTCAATATAAAATCCAAATATGGACTTAATTACAATAAAAATCCCAGCATAAAGTTAGTTGATTCAAAATTTATATGGAAATGCAAATAATCTAGATTAATAAGAACAATTTTTTTAAAAGAACACCAGAGGACTTGGACTACCTGATTTCAAGACCTGCTAGTAAGCCAGAGTAATCAAGACAGTGTGGTTTTGGCATAAGAATAAGGTATAAATCAGTGGCACAGAATAAATAATGCTAAAGTAGAACCATACCTAAATAGTCAATTAAAGAGAACAAAGCTTCCATTAATTCAATGAGGAATTATATAGTATTTTCAACAAGTAATGTTGGAACAACTGGATATCCACACAGAAAGAAATAAGTGTCAACCCTTCATTGACACATCACATGCAAAAATCAGCTTAAAATGTTTTAGACCTAAATGTTAAAGCTGAGATTTTAACACTTCTAAGAGAAAATATAGGAGAAAATATTCACAAATTTAGGCTAAGAAAAGGTTTCTTAAGTGGTATAGAAAAAGGACAAACCATAAAAGAAAAAAACTGGAAAACTGCATTTCACCAAAATTTAAAACTTCTGTTTTTTAAAAATAATAGAATTAGTAAAATGAGAAGACAAGCTATGACTGGGAAAAAAATATATGCAATATATACACCTGTCACAACTTCTATCTAGAATATACAAAGAACTTTTATGTAATTGTAGGACAACCCAATTAAAAGCAAAATACTTCAACACTTCACACAAAAATAAGAATGGCCAATAAGAACATGAAAATGTCATTAGGGAAATGAAAATTACATCCAAATGAATTAAATCTCCACTAGAAGAGCTAAAATTAACTTGAAAATACCAAGTACTGACAAGGATGTAGAGGAACCAGAATGCTCATGTATCGCTGGTGGAGGGAGAACATAGTACAACCACTTTGGAAAATAGACACAAAAGAGTACTTACTGTATGATTCTATGTACATAAAACTAGAGAAAACATTAATCTACAGTGTCAGGAAGCAAATGATTGCTAAGGGACAGGGGCAGGGGAAGGGGACGGTTCCAGTGAAGAGGCATGAAGAAACTTTTTTGGATGATGAAAATATTGCATAACTTAATAGCGATGATGACTACATGAATATGTTAATTTTCAAAGCACATGAAAATATACACTTAAAGTGAATGCATTTTATTTTATATAAATTATATATGTATATAAATCACTACACTTGATTTTTAAAAATGGTTTGACTTGAGACACAATATCTTGGAACAACTCTTATTTTTTGCCCTCTCAAATATCCTTATTCTATCAACCAATGTTTTCAATTATACTATATTAACTAAAAAGTCCCTCACTCCATTTTTACCAAACATCTTATTAACATTACTACCTTTAACAAAGTTAAGGAGCTTACACAAGCCACAAAAGGATTTAGTCAGTGTCAGAGTGTGGAATCTCGTTCCAGTCTAGTCAGAGTTTATTTCCTGGAATATTAACCATTAACCAATTAGTCAGAATAACATTTAGAAGCACAGAGACACACTTCCTTGAAACATCACTTTGACCAAAATTAGTAAACCTAACCGTTTGTGATAATAAACACATTTCTACTTAAGTTTTTCCAAATGATTTAAGTCAGGTTTTTGTCTCGGGTCCTATTGTTCAATGTCAGTGTGTAAATATAAAACATAAAGGGATTTCTTTTTATAATAAATACCTTCACTATCTAGATCATCACTTTGAGCAAAGACACTGTCCATAGAAGAGTCAGGAATAAAGGTCCATTCATCAAATTTAGACAGCACATCTTCAGAAAAATTTCCATCACTGCCTGAGGCTGCTCCTTCTTCCATGGCACTTTTCATCTGATATCTGATCACCATTCTTGCTAGTGTAGATGCTATATCTGAAAATAAAGAGATGCACCAGGAACTTAGAAATCAACAATTATGCAAAAATAAACATATATAGGACCAAAATTCTTATGTATTCCTATGCTTCTAGAGAAAATTTCTATTTTTCCTTCCAAAGTCACCTTACATTAGTGATCCTAAATAATTAGCAGGTGGCAGATCATATTTTTTAAAAAAAAACATAACCATGTATACAATGCTTTGGTGTAGATAGCAAAATTGAATCTCTATGGAACTTTATTCAGGAAAAGGCCTAGGCTTTGAAGCCAGACAGGCCTGTGTTCAAGTCATAGAAATGCCATTTGTGAGTTATATAAGCTCCATGGGTGTCAGTGTCCTCACCTGGAAAATGAAGATGATAACATACACAGCATATGGTAATGGAAAAGAGTAAATGAAACCATGTATATAAAATGTTTAGCACAATGCATAGAACACAAAAAATACTAAATAAAGGATGTTGTTATTTTTATAAAGTTTGCTGAGTGATTCATTATGACTATTGGGAAATTTGATGGAATTTCAAAATTAACATTCTTCTCACAACTTCATTACATTATATATCAGCTCTACTATGAAGAATAAGTTGACAGAGTCCTCATTGTTCTACATACAGCCAGGAAGATTTCTTCAAATATTACTACTGTAATTACTTCAAATATTACTACATGATACAGTGGTAATTTTCAAAGCACATGAAAATATACACTTAATTTTATATAAATTATATATAAAATTTATATATATGCATTTTATTTTATATAAATTATATATGTATATAAGTCACTACACTTGATTTTTAAAAATGGTTTGACTTGAGACACAATATCTTGGAACAACTCTCATTTTTTGCCCTCTCAAATATCCTTATTCTATCAACCAATGTTTTCAATCATACTATATTAACAAAAAAGTCCCTCACTCCATTTTTACCAAATATCTTATTAACATTACTACCTTTAACAAAGTTAAGGATACCACTGTATCATGTAGTACAATATCCAGTGATGAGTTGGTTAATGCAATGCTGGTTAGGCCTCCTACTGTAAAAAGGAAAATAAACCCTGGGGCTCAGAGCGTGGTGGGGGATCATTTGATATTACCGCCGTGAAGTGTAGCTCATCAGCTAAAAGACATTGACGCCAGTAGGAATAGCAATCATTATAGTAGCAGAGGTGAAGTATGCTCATGTATCTACATCTATTCCTACTGTAAATATGTGGTGAGCCCATATGATAAACCCCAAGAAGACATTTGATACTGTGGCTTACACTATACCCATATACCCAAATAGTTCTTTTTTTCCAGAGTAATATGTTACAATATGGGAAATTATCCCGAAGCCCAGCAGGATGAGTTCACACACATATATGTCACTCAGGCAAATACTACCTGAAAAATGTTTGAAAGCTATGACCCAAAGTGTTCTTTACTCAGACCAGCTGCCAATGAAATCATGGTTATACCCTCCAATTAATCAAATGACATTACTGTGCTCTTTTAATTGGGTAAGATGTGTCAATGGTAAAAACTTCATACACAGCAAAGGGAATATAGTGAATGATAAATCTCCTCCATCCTTCTCCAATGGGCCCACAATTCCTCTCTATCAGACAGCGAAGATTAAAGTAAGCAGATTTTTGGCATGAGACTAGTTTAAGTAATGAAACATGGGATCTAACCATGTCTCAGTAATTTCCAAAGACCCCAGAGACAATCAGGGACCCCATTTCTGGAGGGTTTTATTTCATATTCAAACTTTTGTAACTATCATATTCCAATTGCATTTCCATCAACATTAGCACAGTAAAAACACTGTTCTGTGCCTGTTTTTTGCCATGGAGTAATGTAATCTTTATCAAGACATTAAATTTGCTATACGTTTTTTTTTTCCTCAATGATTGCAAAGCATTCCACTGCATGAATGTACCATTATTTATTTGAATAGTTCCTTTTGGGGAATACTTAGGTTTTTCCCTACTCTTTTGCTATTATAAACAATGTTTTAATGTGCATTTTTGTACATAATTTTTTGTGCACATTGAGAATGTCTGTATCATAGATTCCTAACAGTACACTGCTAGGTCAAAAAAGTATGTTTGTATATTAAAAAATATTAGTGGATATTGCCAAATTGTCCTCAAAAGAGGACAATTTAAATTCATATCAATGTATGAAGCATGTTTCCACATATGCTTAGCAACATAATGTATTACATAATTTTTATTTTTGCCAATATTAAATGTTTAATTCTAAATGACAATCTACTATGTGCAAAGCACTCGTATCAATGGTAAGGTTACAACCATGAACAAAACTGACATTGACTTCATGGTACTAACAATCTACCAAAAAGTAGATAATAAAAATGAAAAATTAAATTATATAATGTGGTGAATGGTAGTATAGGTGAGAAATAAGGTGCTATAGGGTCATGTAAGAGGACCTTCCAGACTGATGATGGTGCTGAGACAGGAAGAATGAAGAGACAGCCAGGTGAAGAGAGAATTTAGAGTTAGGTAGAGAGAGTAACAATGGAAAAAGACTGGAAGTAAGGGTACATGAAGTGTTTGAGAAACCGAGGAAAATTCAGCCTGACTGGAACTTTTGGAGCCTACTGAGAGGTTGGAAACCTTGATGTATAAAGGCACCAAATTGCATGGACGGGTACTTTTCTCTAGCAGCACTCAGTTATCTTGGTGAAAGTGAGGGAAAAAGTAGACTAGTAGACTGACCAAAACTGGTGTTTTGCTATTGAGTGCATCATAAAAATGAGAGAAGCAAACATGCTATTTGCAAAATGGTCCTAAAGGTGTTGAGTCATGGAGTATCATGACCATGGGGAAGGAGATGGGCATGAGACTAAATTAACATAGAAAAAGCTGGGAGCTCACACGCTAAAAACACATTTAGTGTGAACAAATGAAAGAGCTCAAAAGACAAAAACAGTGTCAGAGGATGGCAACTTACCATCAATACACATAATATGTACAAAATACATATGAGCTTGAATGTATAAAGAAAATGCATTATCAATTGAAATATATATATGCTAAGTTAAAAATGCCAAGTGAATATGTGTGTATGCTTTTACATACATTTGAATGCATAGGTACATGTAAGCATACAAAAAGTTAGGAAAAATATCCGTTTTAATTACTTAAAAGGGAAAAAATAAGTTATTTTTATTTTCTTTTTTATAATTTTATATTTTTTTAAAAAAACAAGGATGCTTTACTTTAAAAATAAAAAAGGACTATATTAAAAAGTAGCTCTTCAAAAAGCTTCCGCTATTTTGCTCTAATTTTATAAGTACCTATTTGCTATCTCATAAAGAACTTAAATACATCATTTTGAAGTATTTCATAGCCAAAAAAATCCAAACCTTTGCAATATTTTTGGCTTAAGGTCCTTCAAACTGGCATGAATAACCACTAAAAGACTAGTGACTTAAAAAAATACTATTAAAAATAAGAACTGTCAAAAATATTCTCCTTGTTACTTACTTGTTTGTTTCCTTAAATTAGAAGTCTTATCTGGAAATAAAGGACCAAGCCAAGAAGGTTCAACTTTTCCTATACAAAACCCTCCAAGGCAAATGCTATTGTTGGCCATGTCCAGGGCCAGCCTCCTTAAGAGCAAGCTGATGATCTGGCTGTCGCCTTTCCCAATGCTTATTGTCAGCGCTTTTCGTACATCTTGTTCACGAGATCCACTATTCAATAAGAGTTCCACCAATTTGGGACTGCTCTCTTTCTCACATACCTGTTAAAGAAAAAAAAATTAAGTATATTAAAAATCTATAGTTTTCTTCTTTTTAGGAGACTGGCAAATCAAACGTCATGTGATTTTTCTCTACATCTCCAATTTGGAATTAAACAAAATAAAATAAGACAAAACTGATCCTTGAATAGATTGGGAAAATAAGATGATATTAAAGCCATAACTGTCAGAATAGCGTGAATAATCTGCCACATGGCAGTCAGTTATCCATGAAAGAGACAATATTATATGGAGACAAAGTTCCATAGGCTTGGCATCAAGATCTCTGTTTACATCCAGACTCCAACAAGTATGCACATTGCTTACACTTTCTGAGCTTCTGTCTTCTCACTGTAAGATATCTGGGAAACCAGTACCTTAACACAGTAAATACTACTGTCCTGTCTTTATCTGTGACATAGAATAACTAAATGAGGACTTAGCTATTGTAAAATTTATTAATGCCACACACAAACGACAATCATTACTCGTGTCTGGTTTTCCTGATCTCCTCAGTACAAGCATCTGAATTTCCTCAAAGATATACCTTGTCTCTCAGTCCTCAACCTTCCTCTGAATGTTATGTTTTCAGAGCATGTGCTCGGGGTGGGTTAGCACGCAAGGTGCTACAAAAACTAGAACAACTCAGCAAGCCAGGAGAAGCCTTAGCAACCTGCAGCACTACACACTGGCCCTACTCAGGAAGAGCTTTGGAAAGGAGCTAGACGTTAGCAAGGAGCTATCAACTAGAAGACAAAAATAACAGGTAATAGAAATAATATCCATCAGTTACTGTGCTAAATTCTGTACACATGTGATTTCTAATCTTTAAAAAAAAAAATCTTATGCCATAGCAATTATTTCTCCCACCTAATAGATGAGTATTTAGAAAAGATATATAATTTGTCCCGTAAAGCTGGCAAGCAACTGAAACTTGGATTTGAAGCCAAATCTGCTGGCTTCAAAACCTGTGCGACTTTCATTACCCAAAATTAAACATTAAAAAAGGAAAGAAAAGAAGACCCAAAGATCCAGGGTACCAACTCAGAGGAAAAAGATGTTGGGGACAATTCTTGAATTTTCTAGGATCAAAGTGCTTCCAAGGGATTTAAGGGGACATTCATTCATGTGGTTGGAAGGCACCAATTAAATGCCCACCAGTCTCCAAGTACACTCACCTTCAACCCATACTCAAAGCACTACAGAGCTCTGATCAAGTCACTGTCCTCTTTAAAAACCTAAAATGCCACTGCTCCGGACATTCTTCCAAACACAGCATGTAATTTTTCAAACCTCATTATCTTTTGTGCTATTTCTATTACCCCAAATGCCTTCCTCTACTCTTCACCCAGCAAAAAGGTGTTCATTCTTGAAGAATTGGGTTCAAAATTTCTTGTGGAGAAGTCCTTGCTACTAACCTCTCAGGCCAAACACACTATTTCCCCTCCTGGCTCCCATCCATTTCATTTAATGTAGCACTGAGGAAACAAACGTACACACCCATCTGTTTTCTTGCTAGAATGCAAAGGCCTGTACATTACTGCAATTCAACTTGTATTCCTGAAGCCTAGCACAACACCTAGGACGTATATTTAATTTAAGTAGTAAATTACTAAAATCCTCTTTAAGGGCTCACAGCAAAATTAAAAGGAAGGGAGGTGAAAGATGAAGGAGGGAAGGAAGGAGGGAGGGAGGGAGGGAGGGAAGGAAGGAAGGAAGGAAGGAAGGAAGGAAGGAAGGAAGGAAGGAAGGAAGGAAGGAAGGAAGGAAGGAAGGAAGGAAGGAAAGAAGGAAGGAGGGTGGGGAGGGGAGGGAAGGGAAAAACTCACAAATGCCTTCTCCTGTAGCCCAGTAACTTTTTTTCTCTAGGATAAGCCACTCACTCCTTACTTTGTACTAAGGTGATTTATGTTTTATTCTCTTGTCAATGTCCCAACACATACAGACCTATAAACTTCTTGAAACAGGAAACCCCTTATATATTCTCTATTAATTATCTAGCACTGTGCTCTGCACATGTTTGTGGAGGGAATTTTCCTTGGAGGATCCAAACTATCCAAGCTGACTTTAGGCATATGGGTGCCATGAAGAGAGAGAGATATAAGAAAGGGAATCTGAGAAAAGAAATAAATGTCAGCAAAAATAAGAATTAATTTCTTTAAATCCTACAGAGTCATTCTCTTTAGAATATTCACACATATTTATGAAAGTAATTTCAACTTCATGACAGGAAAATACTACTGCTTACAGATATTTATTTTCACATTTAAATAATGAAGAAAATTCAGAATATAATAACTAAAGATTATCAAAAGCATAATTTCTTATCCCTGCAATCTTTCTCTGATCATCTAATTTATAATAAATGCAGCACATTATCAAAATCAAATTATTTAAACTGTTATTTTAGAGTAAATGAACACCACTACCACCACTACCATGAATCTGCTGTGTAGCCAAGAAATCAAAGCAGGCACTGTGGAGGCAGATTTTGCACTATTTACCAGGAGCTTGTTCTTAGGCAAGTTATTTAATCCCTCAGTGCCTCAACTTCTCACTTGTACAATGGGAATAACATTAGAATCTACTGGACCTATTCATAGGTTGTCGTTAGGATTAAATTGTGTAAAGTATTTGGAGCAGTGCCTAGCTGGTAATGCATATGATGGAGGTGTTTGGTTTTATTGTTTTTTTGTTTGTTGGTTAGTTGGTTGCTTTTGTCATCAAGGTTGGAGTACAGCGGTGCAATCATAGCTCACTGCAGCCTTGACCTCCTAGGCTCAAGTGATCCTCCCGCCTCCGCATTCTTATGTTATGTTATGTTATGTTATGTTATGTTGAGACAGGGTCTGACTCTGTTGCCTAGGCTGGAGTGCAGTGGTGCAATCTCAGCTAACTGTAACCTCAACCTCCCAGGCTCAAGTCATCCTCCCCCTCAGACTCCCAAGTAGCTGGGACAATAGGCAGGTACCACCATACCCAGATAATTTTTTGACTTTTTGTAGACATGGGAGTGTAACTATGTTGCCCAGGCTGGTCTTAAACTCCTGGGCTCAAATGATCCTCCCACCTTGACTTCCCAAAGCACTGGGATTACAGGCATGAGCCACTCTGCATGAAGCTAGGACTACATGTGTGTGCCATCATACATGGGATTTTGCTTGTTGTTTTGTTTTGTAGAAATGGAGTCTCACTATGTTTCCCAAGCTGGTCTCTAACTCCTGGCTCAAGTGATCCTCCCACCTCAACATCCCAAAGTGTTGGGATTACAGATGTGAGCCACCATGCCCAGCCTCTTATTATTTTTATTCAGACTTCACTATACTTTTTCCACTGTGATTTGATGAGTTTTACCTTGAGGTTTTTATCCATGCATTTGCATATCCAGTATTAACCTTTCATATTATTCTCCACCAGTCATGTACATTCCATTATTAAATTTTCTGCAGAAAGCCTAACACAACTCCACCCGTGCACTAGATACTCCTTCTACATGCAACCTCTTGTTAAATGAATAGTCTTCATTACCTTATTTTGCTCTGGCACAAATAAGGTACATACAATAAATTCATCCACAAGATTTAATCAGCAGTTATTATTTGCTAGGTATAAATAACTTCTGACAACTGGGATAAATTCTTTAAGTCTGATACATAATCCTTGGATTTAAGATTTTGTTTTGAAAAGAAAAGATAAAAATAAGCATATGAAGGCCAAAAGAATATGGAAAGAGAAATAAAGTAAAAATCCTGTTGTATAGGAAGATTTGGATAAATGGAAAGAAGAGCAGAAATGATTTCCTGTGGGGAATGCAGTAAAGTTGTATCAGGAGCTTTTAGGTATGTTGTTTCCTTAATGTGGACTTAGAAGGGGAAGTTTCTTTTTAGTTCTTTGGTATTTTCAATTAACATTAATGCAATAATCTGCATGCAAAAGATGCACCATAAAAATGTATTAAATTATTGATGGAAAAATTTAATTATCTTTAATAAAGTAGAACTACTATTTTAATTTTTGCTTGCTTAAAAGAAATTTGACTAAATTTAAATAATTAGATTGTTTATGTGATTTTAATGCATAAACATAATGGTGCATGAAAATGGGTTCCACGTTCTGTTTCTTTTTATGTTGATTACTAATTAGTATTAACTTAATCTTAACAGTCAACAAATTAACTTCAATTCATAGGCAAGTGGGATATTAAATACAGTAAAGCTTAAAAAGTAAATTATTGGCAAACGTAGTACTTTACTGATTATTTACTGATAATAATACTGATTATTAAATACTGAAATTTAATATTTGTTAGAAATGTTAAATTTCTAGAAAATAGACATAGTGCTACCTGAATGCTAGTATAAACTCTAACACTTATACAAATAATACAAATCTGAAATACAAGCAATGAACTTAGTATTTATTAGAATACACACTATATGTAAAGCAATGAGCTAGATATTCTGAATCATACAAAGACGAACACTATACATGGTTATTTTCACACAACTCACCAAGTACACAAGAGATATGTATATATTTTCATGAACTGACAGAAGAAGTAAATCTTAATTTTGTTTGGAGGTATGGGGAGGGCTTTATTAAAGAAAGGCAATTTGAATTATATTTTGAAGGAAGAGCAAAACAATCAGACAGATATATGTTTGCATGGTTCAGGAGGGAAGAGAGAAGGAAAGAAAGACCACACTACTACACAACTTTGGCCAATAGCAACTCATGTCAGTGTGAATGGCACCCACAAAAGTGTGACATTCACAGCCTGCATAGTCATGTGTGGTAGCCCTCAGAGGAGAACTTTGTAGGCAAAGAAACTAAAACCATGGAAAAAAATGGTTAAAAAATTATCAAAATATTAGAACTATGTGTTATGTGGAGTGTATCTGGAGAACAAGTTGTAGAGATGCCTACTAAGGGACACATTTGAAAAGTTATTTATCAACTTAACAAGATAAGCCAACAGATGAAATGAAAGATTAGACTGGATAACACCTAAAGGACCCTATTACTTCTGGAATTCTATAAATCTAAATCCCTACTACAAGATACAAGCAATTACAATAAACTGGTAAATTTCCGTAGTGAAGAATAATATGATGTAAGTAAGAGATACACAGCGGCAGGGCTCTTACATTTGATAAGAATAATGAGCAAAGACACAAGTGAGGCCTTTAATATTTACCTGACAAATTAAAGAAGTTCCCTCCTTTGCTTGATTGGCATCTGCTCCTAATAGAAGCAAGCATTCAACCATGATGCTGTTATTCTGATCACACGCTCTCTCTAGCATCATATTTTTTAAGTCATCATCCATAGCTACTTTTGCAAAACACTTGCAACAGAGGTTTAGAAACTAAAAAGAGTGGAAATGAGAATTAGAGTCAGATAAATACATAACATTTAGGATGCAAGTGGAAAACACTGTACCTGTTGATCCTTTTGTTCCATGATACTGGAAGACATTTGATGGAATATTACTAAGTCAAACGAATGATGCACCAGCAGCTTAGAAAAAGATGCTGACAATTTGAGGATTGCTAAGATTGTCTGAAATCCCTAAAAGTATAAGAAAAAAATAATAAACTAAGCAATTATAGGCAAAAAGAATAAACAGTATAAAGCAGAGAGTTTGTATATGAAACAATACCTAGGATGTTCATTTAACTATAGATATACTGGGTTGGTGCTTGAAAGTATTTATCCTGTAAATAAATACTCCCTCTCTCTCTCATGACTAAGAAATATAGCAGGTACAAAGAATAAAATGCTAGTTAACCATCCAGTAGCAAAGCAGAAAAAAGAACTAATCCCCTCAAATTTGGTTTTCAAAGATGCTTGTCTAAAGCCATAGTTATAGGATGAAACCCAGATATTAAACAGGATTAAAACAGTTGGATCAGCAGAGCTATACATCCAAATAGGAAAACAGAGTAAAAATTTTTATTATAATATGAATAGTAGGTTCTCTAGAGAGCCTAGCATATCCCCCAACTTTCTGTGCTGTCTTCTGAAATGTTTACCTCAAAAAGGCTAGCGTGGACTCTTAGGTTTCATTTATGTTGAGTGTAATAGAGAAGCACTGAGGGCACTCTGAGGATTACATTATAATAATAAGTTATTTATAAAGAACACCATTACTTTTTTAGAACCACCTTAAGCACATCCCCAGAGTCTGTCCTCTTCACCCATGTGATGTTTTAATGAAAGACTGGGATTTGACTTTAGTATTATTTAGCTTGGGTAAACCCAAAGATCATCTTAACTTTTTAACATTTTATTACCTCTAAAATTACATATTAATAAAATTGGCCAGGCACCGTGGCTAACACCTATAATCCCAGCGCTCTGGGATTGCTTGAGCCCAGGAATTTGAGACCAGCCTGCACAACATGGCAAAATCTTGTCTCTATGAAAAATATTTAAAAATTAGCCGTGCGTGCACCTGTAGTCCCAGCTACTCAGGAGAATGAGATGGATCACTTGAGCCCACCCAGGAGGGTGGGCCCAGGAGGCAGAGGTTGCAGTGAACCGAGATTGTACCACTGCACTCTAGCCTGGGCCACAGAGACCCCATCTCAAAAAAAATTTAAATTAAGTTAAATCATCTAAATATTAAAATTATTACTTCAAACTCTTATGATACTGAGTTTCTACAAATACTAATATTTGATAAGCAAAGTAGCCTTAATTTATGTATGTCTGAGGGACAGGTGGTCTACCTGCCTCTAGAGCCAGAGGTCCCTGAAAACTAGTGAATGCTGCAGCAGAGCAGGTCATGCAAATGTGCAGAAAGTACATCAATCGAATTAAAAACTTTTAAACACTGAACTGAAGGCTGGGTGCAGTGGCTCATGCCTGTAATCCCAACACTTTGGGAGGCCGAGGTGGGCGAACCACTTGAGGTCAGGAGTTTGAGACCAGCCTGGTCAGCACGGCAAAACCCCTCTCAGCTAAAAATACAAGCATCAGCCGAGCATGTTGGTGCATACTTGTAGTCCTAGCTACTAGAGAGGCTGAGGCAGGAGAATTGCTTGAACCCAGGAGGCGGATGGCGCTGTGCACTGAGATTGTACCACTGCACTACAGCCTGGGCAACAGAGTGAGACCCTGTCTCAAAAAATAAAATAAAACACTGAACTGGACAAATAAAATATGTTGGCAGGACAGATTTAGTTCATAACCTCTACTGTAGAGATTCTAAAATTAATGCCTAGATGAATTAATCCAGAGTGACTGAGAGTTCCATACCCGCATAAAATCCTTTCCTTTCCTTAAGATTACTTTTAATCAATCCTATCTTGCTCTAATCAGCCTATCCTGAGGCACATTATGAAAAGCAGTTATAAAACACATTGTTGTTATTAATGTAAGAATTTTGTATGTTCTTAACTTCATAATTTTTTAAAACACTTTACACACATTCTCTCATTTACTGATGGTGTCTGTGCAAAGATTAGAGACCAAGTATTTTTATTCCTGGTCAATGCTGCCAGTTACAAAAAATATTTCCTGAGTCGGCTAGGCACCTTGGCTCACACCTATAATCCCAGCACTTTGGGAGGCTGAGCAGGACAGATTGCTTGAGACTGGGGAGTTTGAGACCAGCCTGGGAAATATGGTGAAACCCCATCTCTACAAAAAATACAAAAGTTAGCCAGGAATGGGAGTGCATGCCTGTAGTCCAAGCTACTCAGGAGGCTGAAGCACAAGAATCACTTGAGCTCAGGAGGCAGAGGTTGTAGTGAGCTGAAATCTGCCACTGCACTCCAGCCTGGGTGACAGAGTGAGATCCTGTCTCCAAAAAAAAAAAAAAAAAAAAAAAAAAAAATTCCTTAGTGTAGTTTATGAAAGTTGCAAACTCCACAACTAAGACAGAAACTCTTGAAGAAAAGCTATTTGTTTTGCTACAATTAAAAAAAAAATTATTTCTTAATCTCCCCTGAACTCACTCTAGGCCAATATCTTGAATTCCTTATAAAGATAGTTATTATATATCATGTTTTAAATTTTGCTTGATGAAAAATGTTAAAAACATATTTTTCACTGCAAGGAAAAAAATTAACAAGTCAAATTATTAGAGGTAAGCAACCTACAATAAAACCAGAGAGTGACAAACTTTGGAATATTTATAAATTCTATTTATCTAAAATCTAAGTGAATAAATTCAGCTCTAGCTGAGATTTCTAAGCACAGTCTCTGAACTTTTATGGGCAAGATAAATGGTGAATAAACATGCTGACTTTAGAGATTTAATAATGAAACACTGGATCTTTAGAGATTCAATCCAATTTTCTTTGCTTGTATAATTAAAATAACTACAAAATGATAAATGGTTTTCCATTAACTAGAATACCCCATTCATGCAAAGTGGGAATTACACGAACTGCTCCAAAAGTGAAATTTGCACAAGTTCCCAAGTTCTTTCCAAGATAATGCACATACTTCAGTCTGTACTTCAGCAACATCCTTAAATCGGTATAAGCTGGAAGCCAGAATTTTTGCCAGCAGATGTCCAGTTCCTATGCATAAATTCTTCTTTGTAATCAAGCATCCTATAAGACTTAAACCCAGACACTGAATTTCTAGAAGAAAAAAAAAAAAGAATTGTTTTAAATCTCAAAACTGAAGAAAAATATTTACAGACATCCAGTCGCCAGCTAATGGCCTACAAAAATCTATTCTAAATCCAGAATTCAAATTGTACTGACCTTGGTCATCTGGATACATCTGCAGTGTGTGAAGCACTGAATCCACAGCACCTTCCAGGGATAACACCCCTAATGCATCAGTAAAATGTGCAATAAAAGAAATTACTTTTAATCCACATTTCTGAATCCCAGGATTTCCAATGAACTGAAATCAAAAGAATACTTGCTCTTAAAAATGAGATCTTAATACTTACCTTAGTTAAGACCAGTTATAGACTGATGAAATATAAATCAATTAATCCAAACACAAATTAGTATCCTTGATTTTGTTTTCTATAATATTAATTATGTTTATGCATTATGAAGAATAAGAGTTAGCATTTTTACAATTAATGAGAGCTTGCTCTGTGCCAGGCATTGTAATAAATACTTTGTAGGCATTTTCTTTTCATAATCTCATGAAATCCATACTGATATCATTCCCATTAGAAGAAGAATTCACTGAGGGTTAGAATGGTTGAGAACTATTCTCAAAGTCCACACTAACTTAATAGTTAGTAAAATGTAATGACCAGTAAAACGCAATGCTGCCTCTCAACAAAGAAAATATTGATAATTACTCTTCACTGCAAGTTCTTTGCATGCCTTATTTCATTTATCTCCTCGACAGCTTCATGTAATAGGTTTGCCAAACTTTGAAGATGCAGAAGTAAGAGCTCAAGTCACAGAACTAATACGCACTGGGCCTGGGACTTGAATATAAATGTTTCCACCTTAAAAGCCCAGGATCTTAATTACAACATCATCCAACCTCTTTAATCTGAATTTCCTCCAGATGCTTTGACATTATAAAGGTATTTTAATACAGGTCACTTCTTTGTCCAGACCATCCTACTCATCAACCAAGAAGAAAATGCAACATACATCTAACTCTTATTCTGGTCATCTCTGCCTTTTCACACACAAGCAATACGCTCCAAACATCTACCTTGGTGTGAATGCTCAACTCATAGCTTTTCTTTCAAAAATTATAATGCCATCCTTCCCAGGAATTTTGCTTTCATTTAGATGATGTTTTGCAGACACTCGTTTCATGGTACCTCCACTCCAAAGACGTGATGGCCTCCACCACAGATAATCCAAAGAGCTGAAATACCTTCAAGCCGGATGTCTTTGACCGAAATCTTCTGCCTTCCAAGCTTCCTCATTTCTGTACTCTCAGTGAACAGATTTCTATCCCTTTCTCAGTCTAGTCCCCTAATGCCTCTCAATTATCTTTACTCATTATCTTCTTTACAGAGGCTGAGAAGTATCAGTTTCTCACCCTGTGTCCTTCTACTTCACACTTTAATTGCTCAGCTTGGACATCATTTCATGTATCATCTTAATAAGACATTGTCTCCCGTGACGTTTTTGTTTCCTGTCACTGTTTCCATAAGCACATCAGCTTGGAGGCCAATTAAATTTGGGTTTAAATTCTGTGAATCTGAGAACCATTAAATAAATCTGAGAACCATTAAATGAATGAAGTAACAATTACTCAGACAATGACTACTAAGAAGTGGTAAGTAAAAAGTGAAACTTCTATTCAAGAAATATAAAGAAATTCAGAGTCGTGCGAAGTGAAATTGGAAGGCTGGTTTGCTGTGTCTCAGCTCCCTCATCCTTAAAACAATTCTCCTAATGCAGGCTGTCATGGGGAGGAGATGAGATGGCTCTGTCCATGGAACAGACCTGGAGAGAGCAATCATCACAGGTCAGGCCTGGGGCTAAGCGCTGTCCTCAGAGATGAAAAACTTCAGAGTTAATGAGAGACTTTCCCTTAATTGGTCCTCTCTTTCCTCAAGTTACCACTTTTTCTTTATTTCTAAACTTATCAATAGAAAAGTCGACTCCCACTACCTCCACATTCGCCTTACCCTTTAATTTCCTATAATCAGACTTCTTTCCTAGCCATTCTGAACATAAACCAAAGAAAAAAGTCTAATAACAACTTAATTGGTGCTTTTCACCCCTTAATTTCCATGACACAGTACCCCCCTAATTATTCTCAATCTTTAAAACCATTCCTTTACCCATCTTCTTTACGATCTCTTCTTTCACCTCCAAACCTTGCCCAAAGTTCTTTCTATTTTCTATTCATATGTGGGATTTCATACACTAAGATGACTTCAGGTCGTAATAACAATAGCAATGACCACAATAACAATGCCAAAACCTATGTAGCACTCGCTCTGTGCCAGACATTCTTTTAAGTACTTCATATGTATTCACCTTCTTAATCCTCCCAAAACCTTTGTGATGTAGACACACTATTGTTGTCCTGATGTACGGATGAAAAAAATTGTGACACAGAGACATGTGAGCACACAAGTCAAAGCACAAGTTTAAACTCTCTGAAGTTCTAAGCCCAAATTTATTTTTGCTTGATACCAGTATCTTAACTCAAATATTCAAGGCCAAAACTTAGTATCTTCTACAAAACAAAGTCAGATTGTCATTCTGAACTTTCTGTTCGATTAATAGGACCAACATTCCTGTTTGACAGGCAAGGCCAGCTTCACAGGTGTGTATTTGTACAATCATATACGGCTTCATGCTCAGAGAGCACTTGCTTCAATGCTCTGTCATCACCCTTGTAAAATCCTTAATAATTTTCAAACAAGGAGAGTGCATTTCCATTTTATTACACAATTACATATCCACTTCTGCTCCCAAGCTCAAAGTGTATCATAAGCTTCTTTTTATGTTAAAATTATATCAAATTGATATTTATAAAGCACCTACCTTTGTCCTTAATAGCTCTACATCTAACGAGTTTCTACTCATTTACTGGTCCTTTTACCTGGAACTCCCCTAGGCTCTAACCATTTCAGTCCAGGTCAATGATGACTAATGACTTGTAACAGATAATCTCTGATTTGTCTATGCAAAAAGAGAATTCAGAGTATAAACTCATAATTTTAAATATGAGCATTTGATTTTTAATAGCTAAGTAAATGTTTAAAAATTAATATTTATATATACATATATGTATTATATAGGTATGACTATCGTGATATTTACAAACCCACAAAAGAATTTCCTTCAGTTATCTAATGCTCCATCTTGCAATAGTAACGTATTGCACTGGTGCTCAAATAGGGATTAAAATCAATTTACTAGTGTCTACTTAGGAGGTGTTTTTCAAGTGAAACTCTGGAGATGCCAACAGAAGGATGGCAGCATCCTACCACCTATGCTTTACTACTCTCCAAGTTTTTTTCAGAGAATCCATAAATATTGAAATGGTTTCTCTAATGAGTGAGCTTGCCAGCTCAATGGAAAAATACTCACGCTGGCCTCTTTCCTAGCTACTAGGTAAGTAGATTAGCCAAAGAAAGGAAAACAGACTCACGTTCCCAGATAATTTGTGTTTGGTTTTCTCCCTTTATCCTTTTTTTCTTATAAATCCCATCTCTGATTTTGATAAATAAGCTAAATGTTTGGAATCATCTCCCTTGTCTACAAGTAAGTGGCATGGTGATAGTGTCGCTGGATTAGTCTTTGAAAAATTAAAAGATTAAGGCAAAAGAGATCCAACATCATATGACTGATAGCCTCAAAGAAGAGAGCTAAAATAATGAAAGAGAAAAATACAGATATTTAGGCTGGTCACGGTGGCTCACACTTGTAATCTCAGCACTTTGGGAGGTCGAGGCAGGATTGCTTGAGTCAAGGAGTTTGAGACCAGCCTGGGCAACATAGTGAGACCCTGTCTCCACTTTTGTATTAAAAATAATAATAAGTAAGTATATCCAGTTCTACTTCCAAACTCAAAATGCACCACAGGCTTATTTTCACGCCAAAATTATATCGAATTGATATTTATAAAGCATCTATCTTTATCCTTAATATCTTTACCATGTATATGTATATGTATATGTAATATACATGTATATAAAGATGCAATTCAATAAAACTTCCCAGGAAAAAAAGTTGAATGTATAGCTAGAATGAGAATACCATATCCCAGGACTAACATTGAGATATATCCTACTAAAGTGGATAGATTTCAAGAGAAAAAATTCTTTCAGCGCCAGGCAAAGAATCCAAGCACTTAACAGTAAGAAACAAATGAAGCTGGTCTCAGACTTCTCCACTAAAACATTCAGTACTAGAACACAGTGAAATGCCTACAAACACTTCAGGGAAAAAAAAAAAAAACAATATTTTACAACCAACATAACTTTTTTTAAGAGTGCAAAATTTATAAAGGCAAAAACAGCAACAATGAAATATAAACATTAGATATTCAAGGAATTAAACTTTTCTAAAGAAATTCAGACAACTAAAAGATGAATGGAAAAACAATAACAAAAGGACTTGAGATGAAGACTGCTTCCAAATAACTGTAGGAATAAGGTAAACACAAACTTAGAAAGCATAATTAGAAAGCTGAATATAAATATTATCTACTCTGCCAATGTGGAGTTAGTTTATTGAAAAAAAGTAGGTGGGAAAACAGGAGATATCAGAAGTGCAAATACTCTCATCTTATATAGCCAGGAGTCAAAACATACTTTTAAATCTAATAGCAATAACATTAACATTTATTGAGTGCGTACTATGTGCCAATCATTATACTGACACTTCCGCATGAATTATCTTATAAAATCTTCAACAACTCTAACTGAAAAATCAGTTATTATCTCCATTTTATACATAATAAAACCAAGACATTAAGTACTTGTCCAGGGTGCAGAGTCTGTAGGTAGTGGTGTCAGACTTAAATTCAGATGTCTTAATTCCAGAAACCACAAACTTAGCTATTAGAAAATTTTACATAGCTAAAGCTATAAAAGCGAACATATAATTTGCTACAATTGGGTGATAAAAGCGAGGGAGAGGACATAAAGCAGTGGAAATATATTAATTTCAGCCAAAAGTGTGCATAAGGTGTCAACACACAGGAAGGAAAAAACGAATACCTGGGGAATACATTCATACACATAGAAAATTGAAGATTTTTCCAAAGCAGCACATTAGGAATCTCACCTCATTGTTTTTTAATATTTACGTAGGATGATATAATTTGGAAATGGTATAATTTATCTGATTAGTCTCTATTGATGGGTACTGCATTGTCAGGAAAGATTAAATTAAGCTGCAGTAACAATTCTCAAAATTTTATGGTGTGCAAAAATAATAAGCTCCATTATTGCTCATGCTACATATGTGTTGCAGGTCAGGAGGGGACTCTGCTTGTTGTAGTCCCTCAGGGACCTCCACTGACAGAGCAACTACTATCTTAAACACTGCAGGTCAACATACCTGAGACAGTGCTCCCTCCATTTACAACTCCCTGACCAAACTTAGTCACATGCTTCAACCTAACTACTAAATCCTATGCCAGAATCACCAGAAGGTGGAGAACTAAAAATATTTGGCGAACAGCATGAATGATTACCATGTAAGCTTTTAGTTTGTTGCCACATTTTTAATTACAAATCATGCCACAGTGAACATTCAAGTCTAATAATATTTCTGTACATGAGCAAGTATATCTACATTAAAAATTCTTAGAATGAAATTGCTGATCAGAAAATATGGCATTTTAATTTTGATAAATATTACCAAATTTCTCTCCAACAAGCTATTTCGTTATCAATTACGTTAATAACAATTATAGTTGAAACTTTTAATGTGTACATATACCAACTTCATTTAGACCATAATCTCATCCATCTGTAATTTGTTTTGGCAAAAGGAGTAAGATATTCAGCTTCCTTTGCTTTTCCCAAATGGCTGAAGAGTTAGTTGTTCCAACACAAGTAACTGAGTAATCTATTTTCCTCCCAGCAGTCGAGGAATATCATAACATTACAAATTTTTATTTAAGTCTATTTCCTGAGCCACCCTTATGTGGCACTGATCTGTCTCCTCTAGTGCCAGTATCACACCATTATAGTTACTAAAATTGTATAATACATTTGATTATGTTTTGGAGTTAGGCCATATGAATTAACACTCTTGTTTAAAATTCTCCTGATTGCTCATATGTATTAATTTTTTCATGCAAATTTTACACTAGCTTACTTAGTTCCAGAAAATACTATTGTTATTTTTACTAAGGGTTCATAAACATAGATCAATTTTCATTTTTAAAAATTTAGTCCTTTTATCAAAATAGAAGATGTATCTTTTCATATATTCAGCTACTCCTCTCTACCCCTAAGCTTCGTAGTTTTCTGTATATCCATCCTGTAAACCTTTTATAAATTTTACTTATATGCAATTTGTTGTTATTGTTATTGGTGTTGCTTTTGCAGATAAGCTCTTTTTTTGACTACTGAAATAAATATATTCAATATTTAAGCTGAGTATATTTTGCTTCAAGGTTTTTGTGAAGCTCACAAGTTCTCTGATTTGTGCCCATTTCATCTGAAGATTTGTTTTACTTTACTGGATTTCCTCACTGAAGAACACAGGAATGTCACCACATATAAAACACAGATGCAGCCAAAATGTGTAGAGTCTATTTTCTGCTTTGCTCTCTGGAAACAATAATGGACAAATATATCTCTCTGGAACAGGTGACAAAGTCTTCATCTGTGGAAAAGCTAAAAGGATCAGGCATAAATGGAACATCGCTGTTCTAGACAGAGATTTTAACTTCAGCTTGAATTTTATTGCATTTTTATGTATCCAAACATGGATTCACTTTCATAAATACTCTTCTTAGTCTGCTTTATAAATCAGAGTTGAATCTCAAGTTCTACCTTATTTGGAACTCTGCTCTCCAAGTTTAGATGTATTAAAATGTAATTCATTTTATCGTGTCTGCAATATTTGGACCTAAAACCTCTGATGCTTTGTAATTACTATTCAGAGTAAGACATGCAATCACAGAATTTTGGAGCTACAGTAATCACTCTCATCTCTTAGAGCCATTTTTCTCAACCATGGTGAAGGATTAGGGGAATTACACTGGAGAGGTCTTTGAAATAAAATATTGTTACTTGTGTTTCTCCATGACCTTAACTCGCCACCTCTAACGATAATCAGTGCTGAGTGAAAGGCTGTGCGTCATTACTGAAGTACTGGCGTGGGGGGAAAAGCAGTGTTCAACCATTTCTTCTCAGATGGAACAAAGCGATTTTCTCCACATCACAGCACTTACCTGCTCTCTTGGCTCCCGACTGCTGAGGTTACATCTCACTTAGGCTTCTCTAATAACTTTAGAGAATATTGGCTAACTGGAACCAGTTATATATATGGCTTTTTTGGTACCTCTTCCACTTTTCACCAACACTCACCATGAATAAAATTAACTGTTCCCTCCTCTATGTACTTAGACTATGTTCACAATGCTGGTATCCCTCCTAAGTGCTCGTGTAGAACAACTGATTTTATGCACAGTTGTTATTCCTCTAACAATGAGGCAGGATAGGTATTAAAAGGAAGTAACCATGTCTTCAGGACGCGGCAACTGTGGCAATCTTACTGTCAACATAATAAGTTTCAGCATTCGCATTGTAGTCCAGCTCATTCAAGCAAAGCTATCTCCAGTAGGGAATTGCCCCTGTAGGGAGCATGCACATTTTGATTTTCCTGTCCTCAGACTGACCCTTTGCTCATTATAATAGTAAAACACACACCGCTGGGTGGAGATTTCAGAGAGTTATGAGACATGGGATATATGAACAAAAATGTACAGCTACTGCACATGTGCACCCAGAGGACAACCTAGAATATGCTTACTAGTAACACGTCTTCCCACCTGCTTATGAAAAGTCATGTATGACTCCCACAAATGGAGTCTTCCTAGTGCCAGTCTATGCAGTCTCCTCCTTACTAGCAAGCCCGCCCTGAATTCTGTCAGGGTAAGTGTCTATTCCTCACTTAACCTGCAAAATATTCTTTCTTTTGCAATAAATTACTCGATGCTGCATCTCCTCTGCTGTGTGTCTCTTGTTTACAGAAAAGAACCAAGGTTTCACAACAGACATCAATAACCAGATTATGAGATTCAGGAGAGAAGGGTACAAAGCATTTTTATTTATCTTCTAAATGCCTAACCGCTTCCTTCCATATACTTATTTTCAACAAATATTTCTCAAGTTAAATTTAACCCATTACAACATAAATTCTTGCCATACTCAAGGACTGTATTAAAGTTTGAGTATAAATGACTCAAACATATTATAGGCAGTGAGTGACATTATAAAGTTCACTTTAAAATGAATTTTTAAGGGAGATCTCTTTGGAAGCTACTTTAATTAATTTATGACATTTATCAAAGTATATCAAACACATGGAATCATTTCCATTAATTACTTTAAATTGGCTCCTCCTTTTATAAAAACGTTCACACTAATCATGTCTTTATTCTTAACATCTTTAATAAAGAACCAATGCATTTTATGCAAAATTTCCAAAACTTAATTCCACCAAAACTTTTTGCATTACACAATTTAAATTTAATTCCCTTTTTCTCTTTTTCATATTCAGTATGATTTATTGATACTTTAATTATAACGTAGGAACATAGATATATAAATGCTAATAAATGGAAACAATGTATACCAAATCATTTCAGAGGTTATCTCTTAGGAGAGCAATGAAAAGGAGCACAGGGAATCAAAGAAGACTTTACTGTTTTTGTTTGTTTGTTTTTGTTTCTGTTTTTGTTTTGGTTTTGAGACAAAGTCTCACTCTGTCGCCCAAGCTGGAGTGCAGTGGCACCATCTCAGCTCACAGCAACCTCTGCCTCCTGGGTTCAAGCGATTCTCCTGCTTCAGCCTCCCGAGTAGCTGGGATTACAGGCGTGCATCACCATGCCCAGTTAATTTCTGTATTTTTAGTAGAGACAGGGTTTCACCATGTTGGCCAGGTAGGTCTCGAACTCCTGACCTCGTGATCCACCTGCCTCAGCCTCGCCATAGTGCTAGCATTACAGACCTGAGCCACCGTGCCCAGCGAAGACTTTACTTTTAACCCTGGTATGTCTTCATGGGCTAAATCATATACCATGAGACCAGAAAAGAAAGATAAGTAGCCGGAGAGGACAGACAGAGAAAACAGCAGCCATAGCACCCAGCATGACTCATAAGGTCTAGCTGCATATCTGGCTCTTTGGTTCTCTTTTTGGTTGAGCAAACTAGAGTGGATTTATATTACTGGCAATCAAAAGAATCTTGCCTACATTTGCAATTGATAATACACTTAGCTGGACTTAGCTTAGTACGTATCTTTTCACTTCCCACATCTTATGTCTCTAACCACATGACTTCCTGCTATCATAGTAAATGGAGAATAGAAAACTTCGACTGAAAAAGCCCCCTAGTTCTCCAAATTTAATACTTTAGTTAACAGTGTAAAGACAGAAAACTCATATTCAACATACCCTGTTCAAAGCTGCTAGGACCAGTTTGTGAATATCATTCTTGAAACACTGTTTTTTAACCATATTTAGCTTACGATGAGATTCTGCATCCTCTCTGGATTCTTCTGGCATGCCTAAATGCACAGATAAATAAATAAAGAAAGACTTTTCTTATAAACATTTGAGTTGAACAGACTGTTACTTTCTAGAAATTGTCATAATTAATCTTACAATATATGTGTCGTACTTTTTTCTACTACATATTTCCTTATCAAAGAAATAACCCGAAATTTTAAGGAATCTATAAAGATAGTTCATCACTGAATATAAAATAAATATAATGTGTAAGAATGCTTACTGAATTTGAAGTAGCAAAAAATTATGATGGTGAAGCAATTTTCTGCGGCAAGCAATCACTTTTTTGTGTGAGTAGGCTGTGCTTTAAGATGCTGGAAGATTTGTATGCAACAATGGACAACTTGAGAAAAGTTCAAAGTTATTTGGACTACAACATAAAAAGGTCAGAAATGAAAAGTAGTCAAAAAAGAGTAGCTGGAATAATCGTGGCAAAAAATAAGATTTGAGTTTCAGTATTAAAGTGGTAGAGAACATGTCGTTTTTTAGAAGTCCTGTAAAGGCTATAGAATAGCATTGTTATTTTTAAAAAATCATATTCCTTATTAAGCTACACTATAGTTGAACTATGCTAAAAACACTACAAGTCAAAAATGTAATATAACATGTAAGTAAAAATATTATGAATGAATAATGTTTTCCAAACCTAAGATTATAGACATAATTGTTAACAAACAATCATTTAAAATCTTCCACTTTAATAATCTACATTAATACAAACTATAAGCTGGCTACAGCAGGTTTTTCATTTATTTAAGAAGAATTTGAATTCCAATTACATGCCAAGGATTTTGTTAAATGCTGGGAATACTATGGTAAAGAAGGCAGCCTTGATAACCACCCTACTCCAACTTTCAGTCCTTATTTTAAAATGTATTCAAAGAGGTTCTGACATTCACTGCAGTCGTGTGGTCTGGGGCAAGTCCCTTAAACTCTCTGTGTATCATTTCCAGTGACCAAGACCACACTAACTTCTGAGGCTGCCTATTATGCCTTAAGAAAATGTGACCACTAAAACTGGCCTGTTTGAGTAGTAAAAACATCATGCTACATGTAATGGGTCTTACTAAACATCTTCCTTATATTAAGACCAAATGAACATTCCTGTAAATTTCTTCTCCAGTCTTTGTTCTATCACTTGAGGTCCTACTATTCAAATGGATATAATCTCCTTTCTACATAACAGTCCTTTAAGTTGTGCAGATGGTACATTTTTTTGAGAGCAGTGTCCATAACCTCATCATCTCCCCAGACCTTAAGGATTCTAGACATAGTGCTTTAAATACAACAGTTGTTCAGGACAAATTTGTTGCACAAACATTTATTTTAAAATGCCTACTCTGGAGTCAGCCTGCATACGCTGAAAATCTGGTGCTGTTATATCAGGCCTGACCTTAAAAACCTCTACAATTCTATGCCTCAGTTTTGTTGTCCATACAATACCAAAATAATAATAATAATAATAATATCTGCCTCATGGAGTATTGTGAGAATTGAAAGAGTTAATATACTTAAAACACTTCAAACAATGACTAATACTTTTTAAGTTCTCCATGTTCGTTTAGTATTATTACTGTTACTGGTTGTAAGTGAGTAGATTTTAACAGAGTTTCATATCCCCTTGAGTCATCTCTTCTTCAAATAAAACAATCTCAGTTCCTTTTATCGCTCTTTTTGATGTGCTTTTATCTCCCTAATCACTCTCCTCTGTATACTTCCCTATTCGCCTATATCCCTTCTTAAAGAACTTCACATTATTTCCTCTAAAACTAGCAGTAACTCAAGAAACAACAAGTCAAATGATATTTTATTGAAGTAACTGGGTCTTTATTATTATTTTCTTAAAGCAACCAGTTCAACGTCTTCAACAAGTTGTTACAAAGTAAAAGAGAAAATGTACAGTAATAAATTGGAAGAAACTTAAGATACATACACTAGATGCAATATGCTATCCTTAATTGGACACTAAATTATACACATTTGCCATAACGTACATCTTTGCCACTAAAAAACCTGAATATAATCCAGTTAATAAATGAATACATGTACACCTAGGTATCTTATAAGAACCTCAACTTAGCATGTTCAAAACAGAATCATATTCAACCTAGAAACTACCGGAGTATTGCTACCATAGTTCCTTGTTGATACCTAGAATGATATGGTACTGCACGGCATGGTACATGATGGCAGGGTACAATACAGTATGGTGTAATGTGGTAGTATAATATGTTAGCATAGAGTAAATGATTAAGCCTTTACCTACCAGAAGAATGTACTTACATACTGATATGTTTATAAAATGTATTTTTTTACATGAAGTACAGCCCTCAAGTGATTATTTTCAAGGGCACCCATAATACATCTGATTGATTGCTGACTAACAATTTTGCTTCAGGGTCAGTTTAAGAACAATAAAAGAAAAGAAACACTGTATTCCAAACTTACTTTTGGACTAAAAGAATATTATTTCATTAACAGATACGGTTTTTGAGTGTCCTCTGGTTATCTTTAAAACTCAAAACCTCTCTCAAAAGAATAAGGCTGTCAACTTTAAGGATAATCAAAAGGCATTTTTATTGTTTTTAATTACAATCTAAAAATAAAATTCAATAAAACCTGCAATAATATTTGCAAGCAAAATTACATCTGTTAAATTATGTCTCAAAATTAAGCTGAAACTATGAATAGGACACCATGACTCAATTTTTAAAACACTGAATAGCTACCAGAGGACTGGAAAAACATGACTGAAGAAAGCTCTGTCCTTAAAAAACTTGTATATCGAATAATACTCTTATACAGAGAAACATAAAATGTCTATATAACTAGAGAAAATGATAGATTTAGGAAGATTTCATTTTAAAAGAACAAAGCAAAAATGACTGCAAAAGATTGGGAACTTCACAGAACAAAGCATCATCCCTCATACTTAGGGATCACGATGTCACATCAAACAGATCTCCCAACCATCTGTCCAATCTGCCCTCTCATCTGTGTTTCCACTGCAGGGTTCCTTCACCGGGTCTCACTTGACTACCACAGACCTCCAACCCAATCTCCTTTTATATAGTCTCTCTCCCTGTCTATCATCCTCTACACCACAATGCTATTGTCTTTAGTTGCAAAATTCGGTGTGACACTACAATCTGTAAACACTTTTCATAAACTTGGATTAACTTCCATTGTTACAAGGCATAGATTTTTCAACACTGCATTCAAGCCCCTTTTCTTTGGGCCTCAGCCTGTCCTTCCACACTCATCCCCATGCACTACTCTCCTCATCCTCTATGCCTCACTCACCCCTGACCATGTGCATGTTCTTGTGCTTGAAATGTCCTCCTTCGTCTTTCTGCCAGGCCAGCTCTATTTACCCTTCCACCTCAAATATTATAATCTCTGTCCTACTCCTCTGAAGAAATTATTTGTGCCTCAATCAATATTCTCAAAGCCTTTTATACATGCATCTATCATGGCCCCTCTCACACTGCCTGTTAATTAACTATTTACACGTCCATCTACCTCTAAGCTCCTATAATAGTACAGTTGTGCTTTTTTTCCAATTCATCTTTCAAAGCTTAACAGCATCACAGTGCTTAGACCATAAGAAGCACCTAATAAATGTGCTGAATGAATAGAGACATGGGTATTTTAAAGGGGCTTTTGAGAACAAATAAGGTGATAACAGATGTAAGTAGGAATTAAAGGTGGGTGGAGGGTGGAAGCCATTGAGGTAAATGAGTACACGCCATATTGGAGAAAGATTAATTCAATCACAGAGTAAGAAAAGGATGGAAATGAAGGAAGAGAATAGGTATGAAAATTAGCTAATAGTACAATTCAAACAAGTGAAAAAAAGCTTGAACTCAGGTCACAGCAACAAAAATAGAAAACAATTATCAGAGATGAACACTCTCCTTAAAAATAAAATCTCCACATCTTACATTGTAGTTATTTAAAATAAATAAATTACTGAATTTCATATTTTTTATAAAAATTAATCTAAATGCCAATTCTGCATCATATTTAACCCCTATTTTTGTTTTTGGTGTAACAGAAAGATTTACATTTAGTCAACAGAAACTAGTCTTTTAATATTTGCCTAGAAAATTGCTATTTCATGAAAAGTCAAAAATCCCTTTAAATTGTTATCTCTTCTCACAATCAACTATGTAACTTACCTGGCACTATAAAATGTAAAATAGCTCGAAGCGCCTCCAGCTGCACTGGTAATGATGTCTCATGACTTTTCATAACTGTTATTATTTTGGGGAGCACTGCTGCCATTGTATCCAGGGATGTGTTGCTGGGGATATAAAATTGGCATGTTTATTGGAAGACCGATCTGATTCAATGGTATAAACACCAAATTGAAGTAAGTACAGGAGGACAGAACCAATATATTTTATCAGGAAAGACTATATGAAAATGCATTTGAAATCAGCAGTATAAGCATACATAATTTTAATTGTCTAAACTTTGAACTCATAAGATAGAATTCATAGTAACCTGGGAATTATTTCATTTCATAAAACTAACAACATCCTTCTGACCTAGGATGGGTCAATGACAACAATCCCAGGAGGTAGGTGTTATTATCCCCATTTTCTACATGAAGAACTTAGGCAGATAGAGGTTAAATATTCAGGTTTTGTCACTAGAAAGTGACAGAGACAAGGCTGGTACCCAAACTTGTCTGACCCCAAGATAAGGCCTCTTTACAGCACATGAACCTTCCTCTTCCAGATTAACATCACTGGACTTCTTATATAGTATCCTTAATTACTTTTAATTTGTTTTACAGTCTTGTTTTCTCTAAGGTATTTAAGCTATTCTTTCTTTTACATATGAGCAAATGTCACTTGACTAGAATGTGGTAGGTACTATGAACTTTAATACAGTCAATCCTTGCTTTACTTGCTAACTGAAACTTGTGCATATCAGAACCATGTTCTCACTTTGCATGGTTCTGTGGACACTGAGATACACTCCTTCTTTTCCAACTTAAAGTCCCAGTTTAAACACATCCCTCTGTTGGAGGCTGCCCTCCTTAGGTAACCCCAGCTGGGTCCACTCTACTCTTACCATTGTGTATTTTACACACTACTGTTACTGCATTCTGAGACTGTATTATAATAACCTGTTTACATATCAGTCTCTCAACTAACATGAGTTCTCTAGGGGCAGACACATTGCCAGAGCCAATGTGGAATCTCCAGGACTGCAACTGTACACATTTTACTTAAGAGCATGCAGCCAGAAACATCAAATCGCTTGCCCAGAATCTACAGAATCCTAGACTGGAGTTTATTCCACTGTTTTTGTGCCTCATTTATAAAGGTTTGCACACTTTCGGCGCCATTAAAATCAACATTTAAGATAAACTTTTCATCTCAGTGTTCAAAAACAACATTTAAATAAGAGAAATACAACTTAAAGAGATATATAAACATAGATTAGCTAGACTGATGTTAAAAACAGTGTAACCCTACTTCTTACAAGTCTGCAGTTATGTTACATTTCATGCTACATGCACTTCATCTATTCACACTTAATAACAGTATAACAATAGATATAATTTGTTGAGTGCTTAAAATGTAGCAGGCATTATCCTAATCCCTTTGTAAAAATTAATTTATTTAATCCTTACATTCTAAGCTTACAACTTTCAAAGTTGTTATTACCATTCTTCTTTACCAATGAGGAACATGAAGTTTTAGAGATGAAACAGTTGGCTCAAATTAGTGGCAAAGCCAGGAACAAAATTAGTTTTTACTGCAACTTCTGTGCCAATTATTTTGTCTACACATGAGAGTTTTCTATATAGCCTCTTTTTGTTTGAAATTTACTCAGACAATGCCAAATTTACATCATATTTTTTGGCTTAACAAAATGCAAAAAGGCACTGAGCCTATTCTACAGTAGGTACCTTCTGCATATTATTCATTTTTCGTCTTTTAAACAGGTTTTTTTTTTTTTAAGCCACAAGTTCTGCCCACACCTACCACCCCTCACCCCCACCTCATCCCACTCTATCCCACCACCATCCATACATAGATCAAAGGATCTGGTCTCTGTTGTGCCACTAACCAGCAGCTGTATAATCTTAACATCTCTGCACTTGGACTAGATGTAGTTAAAATTTTCCCTAACTAAAGATTGAGAGCAGGAAGAGAAGCCAAAGTTCATTCAAATGAAGGAATAATATATTCGTTGTGAAAGAACAACAATTAGGAAGCTATATCCTGATTTTATCTTTTATAACTTTCACACACACAATATTAGAAAAACTGCTGTATGCTATGTGCTATACAATTACCACTTTTCAAAATATAGTCAACATCAAGCATCAGGTTCAAAACCAGACCTTCAACATGTTTCCACAATCTTGCCATTCCTTTCAGTGTTCAGATAAAGTAAGTCTATGGTACTAGTGACACGAGATTACATTGCAAAATGCTTCAATTTTCAAGTGTCTTACATTTTTCTTTTTCTTTTCATTGTTAGAAATATGCTTGAAATATTGATATTCTACCTGGCCCAATATGATATATTCTGTACAAGTTAATGAATCTATATTACCTTCCTTCAAAAAGATGATTTAGCATTTTACAGCCACTTTCAGCCACTTCAGGAGAATGTATATGCTTCTGCATTAACTCCAAAACATTCAGGTATATTCCTTTTGATAACAGGATTTTTCTGAAATTAACTGAGATTTTTTAAAGTGTCACTTATGGATATGAAAGCATATTTTCATAATTTTACCATAAGATTTAGAATATAGTCCATCATATACAAAGGAATGGAAAGCATTTAATATAAGCATTTAATATAAGAATATAAGTAATTATGGTTATTTTCACAAAGTAATGCCAAACTCTAGGAAACATAGAGATATGCTTTACAACTGGTATTTCATTTATTTGTGAAAAGTAACTATATTCCAGCAATAATGATTAAGGAATAATTTTCCTCTTTTTTTGCTGTTGTTGCTTTTTGTAACAGCATCTCTCGCTGTTGCCAAGGCTGGGGTGCAGTAGCAAGATCATAGCTTACTGCAGCCTTAACTTCCTGGCCTCAAGTGATCCTCCTGTCTCAGCTTCCAAGTAGCAGGAACTACAAGTGTGCCACCATGCCTGGCTAATTTTTGTTAATATTTTGTAGAGAGGGGATCTCACTATGTTGCCCAGCCTGGTCTTGAACTCCTGAGCTCAGGCAATCCTCCTGCCTTGGCCTCCCAAAGTGCTGGGATTACAGGCATGAGCCATCACAATAGGCCAATTTTCCTCTTTGCAATAAACTTCCTTCACTAAACATAAATCTGTTGTCTTCAAGTTTCCACATAAACATCAATTGTCTTGAAGCCTCTATAAAAATATCAATTCCAACATTACACACTGTGATTCAACACTTTGAAAGTGGCAGAAAAAGAAACATAAAAAGTTTTAACTTAAGTACTGCTTTTAAAATAAGTATATGACCCAGCCATCCCATTACTGGGGATATACCCAAAGGATTATAAATCATGCTGCTATAAAGACACATACACACGTATGTTTATTGCGGCACTATTCACAATAGCAAAGACTTGGAATCAACCCAAATGTCCATCAGTGACAGACTGGATTAAGAAAATGTGGCACATATACACCATGGAATACTATGCAGCCACACAAAAGGATGAGTTTGTGTCCTTGGTAGGGACATGGATGCAGCTGGAAATCATCATTCTCAGCAAACTATCGCGAGAACAGAAAACCAAACACCGCATGTTCTCACTCATAGGTGGGAACTGAACAATGAGATCACTTGGACTCGGGAAGGGGAACATCATACACCAGGGCCTATCATGGGGAGGGGGGAGGAGGGATGGGGGAGGGATTGCATTGGGAGTTATACCTGATGTAAATGACGAGTTGATGGGTGCTGACGAGTTGATGGGTGCAGCACGCCAAGATGGCACAAGTATACATATGTAACAAACCTGCACATTATGCACATGTACCCCAGAACTTAAAGTATAATAATAAAAAAAAAACAATAAATAAATAAAAAATAAATAAAATAAGTAGTCTATCTCAAGAAGATAGGACAAAACATGGAAACAAACAGAAATCACGTATACATTCTACAATACTGCCAGAACCTGAAAAACTCGTATCTTTTAAACACATTCAGAATAGCACACGTTAATATACAATAAACAGTTGGTTACTTTGCTCGATCACATCAGAAGTTGTAACAACCTTTCCCAAAGTGGCTAGCTTCTAGCCAAGACGACGCTTTAAAAGACAAAAACAACACTAGATCAGTGGTTCTCAAACTGTAGCGTGCATCAGAATCACCTAGAGAGCTTGTTAAAACATGGATTGCTGGGTCTCAACTCCAGGGTTTATGATTCAGAAGGTCTGTATGGGGCCCTTGAATTTACATTGTTTATCAAGTTTCCCCAGCAAATGCTGCTGGTCCAGGAACCACACTTTAAGAATCACTATCCTAGACAGTAACCCAATGTGTGACTTGAAAATTGCGAGCAATAAACCTAGGAGAAGAAATTTCATCATAAAGTCACGTCAGACTTTATAGAACATTTTACATGCTATCGCATCTACCAGCTATCTACATAATACTCCTGATCTCATCCACTCCATTTTAACAGGAAATTAACTGCTTTAAGAGGCAAAAAACAATATGCAACGCCCTGCAGGTCTTACTCAATAGACACCTTCTTTCCTGGCTGCCTATTCACAACTTCATCTCCTCTGATTTCTAACGTATCATATTCTCCTTCCTTGCTTCATTTTTTATTCTTAACTGCCTCAAATATTACATATTTTAGTTAGTCTTATTATCTTCCCTACTACAGTTTAAATTCCATGAGCCTGGGATTTTTACTTAATGAATGTATCCCAAGTGCCTACAGACACTAGACACTTGGGAGCTCAATGAATATTAGTTAATTAATTGAATGGAAAATGTCACACAAGATGTGTGCAACTTTGGGACCTCCATGGTTCCAAGGACCCAGTTCTTCTGCCTGCCAGTGTAGCCATTTTTCTAAAAAAGCCATGCCCAGCTCTGTACACCCAAAGGTTCTCAAGTGTCTTTCAATGAGAAATTGCCCAAGAAAGGTGATGAATGAGCTACTCAAGTTCTTCATGCTTTATTAAGGCAGAACTCCAAAGACAATACAAAAGGATCTGAGGACATTTTACCTGACAGGTGGTCAGGAACAAAGAAGTAGGGAACTAGAAAGAGCAGAGAACTGAACGAAGACATCAGGGTGTACTCTGAATGTAACCAGTCCTCAGACATCATAATAGGAAGCAGTCGAAATTTCACAAAGTTTTGGTTGTTTAATTTGCATATCAAAGGAGATTTCCAGGTGGTTATGAATGACGTCACCATCGCAATGTTGTCTGTACATAGTAAAAGTCTACCTCCACTCTAAGGTGCCTCAACAGAAGCCACAAAGTCCAGTCCTCATTTTTGGGAGTGAAATCCCTGTCCAGACCTCTTTAACTGCACAGTAGAATATGAGAGATTCGAGAACAGTGATTTCCTCTCCTTCCCCTGTTACTCGGACTCATTATCCTTGAGAGCAGCCCCTGTCTGTCTGTCAGTGCCCTTGCCACTCCAAGCGTTTTATTAAAGTGCCATCAGAGAGGTGAGATGGAAAAGGAGGAAGAGGAAGAAGAAATGATTTTCCTCTTTATTTAGCTTCAATAATGATATAAAGAAACATGCATGAGGTGGTGGCTTTATTTTTTTTTTCCCACCCTACCCAGGTTCTCTATTAAAAGCTGGTGCTTACACTGGTCTCTGTCTCTGGCTTTCAGTGCTTTTCTCTATTTTTCGCCCTATAAAAATATCCTACAAAAGCTGCCAAGTCCCAATGCCTTTATGATGAGTTTTCACCTAAGGATTTCTGTCAGTATTCCTGTTTACGGGGGAAGAAATTTGAGCAGCCTGAACCATAAGCTTAAAACTCATGTCTTTCTGAAGGTATACAAGTCATTTTCTCTTCTTAATTATACAAAGCTATAAGACTTATAAGAATTATATGTAAAGAACCATTTTTTTAAAAAGTATAGTGTGAAAATTTATAATAGACAATTTTACCAGATTTTAAAATGGTGAATAGCTTTCTGCCCAGTTGCATTTCTATGAAATTTTCCCAAGAAAATAATAGGAACCATGTATAAAGGAAAACAGAGGAGGAAAGTGATCATTGGTATGTATTATGGGTTTCAGAAACATCCCACTAGACACAAACTGAAACTTCATTAATAAGAAATTGGTTCATAAAATAGAATACAGGCATGCAATGAAAAACTACATAGCTTTTAAAAATGATAATTTGGGCTGGGCACAGTGGCTCATGCCTGTAATCCCAGCACTTGGGAGGCCAAGGCAGATCGATTGCTTGAGCCCAGGAATTCGAGACCAGCCTGGGCAACATGGCAAAACACCATCTCTGCAAAAAATTAGCCAGGCATGGCAGTGCACACCTGTAGTCCCAGCTACTCAAGAGGCTGAGGTGGGAGGATCACCTGAGTCCAAAAGTTTGAGGTTGTAGTGAGCCATGATCATGCCACTGCACTCCAGCCTAGGTGACAGAGTGAGACCATATCTAAAAACAAAAATTAATTTTAAAAATTAAAAATAAAAAATGATAATGTGAGAATACACATGTATCAACATAAAAAAGAAAATAAAATTTGGTTATGAAAGAGTATAATATTTCTACAAAATATGTAAAATTTTGTATATGTCATGTGTGAGTTTACACATAGAAGTCCAGAAAAATATACAATAAATGTTTATTTTATTCTTCATCCTTGTACCTATATGTTCATAATCCACATGCCAATATATCTCTACACACAGAGAGATCTTTCACAATATATAGCTTTATAAATTATGTAAGTTTCTCATAATATATAGCTTTTATAATTAAAACTACCACAAAAATGTGTTTCCCTTTATTTGAAAATATGGCACACTGCTTACCATTTTGTTCTAAAAGAGTTGACAATGCATTAGCAGATGCCTGGAAAACTTCCTTTGATGATGAATGCATCAGCATGGACAGCATCACTTCCCTATGAGCTGGGAAACTTTCAAAAATTCAACGAAAATGTTAGTAGTAATCTTTTAAATAATTATCTCAAATTCTCACTTACCATTATCAAATATCTCTAACAACAATTAAGAGCATGTAAACAATATTTTATGCCACCTCCCCTTACAAGAGTTAATTATAGTTCATTTTTAAGACTCAAATTAATTAAATACTAATAAATTAGTATTTTTATGCTTTTTCAAAAACCAATAAGCAGCAGAGAGAAATAAAGAAGCTTAGCAGATATGTAAAGAGATGCTGAGGAAAAACATAAAGTGAGGAAAAGAAGATAATGGTAAAAAGAAAAGAACAATAAAAAAACTGTCAAGAAGCAAGATAAGTTTTAAAGATGCACAACATAAATTTATTTTCTTTGTTTTAATAATATATTCATTTTAAAGTTCTCTTATGGATATTGAGAAACAGGTATCCTATGAACTAAAATTTATAAACTGCAACATGAATCTCCCTTACCCTAATCTCCAAAAGCCTTGCTCAACATGAGATTATTAAGATGCCAATTTAGCATAGTTTTCAAAAGAACTACTGTTTCTTGTCAAAATGAAAATGTTTAATTAAGTAGCATCTGTGTTATTAATTCCCCTCTTATCAGCAATAGATAATTAAACAAATAGACTGTCAAGATTTCAGATGTAGAATACTACTATTTGTTTCCAAAATAAGTCATTCACAATTTAAAACCCAGAGGATATCCATTGCAAATAGCACAAGCATAATCAGTTGCCATAAAACACAAAGGCTCACGGATATGAAACAAACCTGATATGCACAAAACTCCTTGCTACAGTTTGTATCTTTGGGAGAGAGTGCCAGTCTTATGATGTTTGAATGGCACTCCTAGTGAAAGAGTTATCTGGAGATGACAGCTTCAAATAACCCTCTCAAAAGAAGACAGGTCAACTCTGTCACATCAGATGGGAACTCATCATAGGGAGCTCTCTAACCAAATCTAATTCCTGATATTGACAACCTGCTGGCTAGTCACCACAGAAGAAAAGATCACAGATGGCTCTGCAATTTCTATCACCCAAGATGAATTAATATGGCATTTTAAAACGAACAGCCAGGAAACAGATTCTTTCTCCATGATTTGTGAATTACCAAATGATTCTTGATTCCAAATCTCTCAATAATAACTCTCAAACATGCTACCTTTTCTAACTCCTGGAGGTAATAAGATCAAAATGCTACATACATACTACTATTTGGCAGCAACATCTAAAACTAAAAGGCTGTATCAAAAATATTTCTAACAATAAAAGTTATGGTTAAAGTATTTTGTAGGTATTGATTTAAAATATAACTGAAATTTTCTATCATATAAAATCAAAACTACTGACTGGCCATCTTCATCTCCAATCTTCTCATGTAAACTGTTTTGGTACATAAGGAGATTATTTAGTGCCCAGCATGCAGCCTCCTGGATTAGGGGAGAAAAAAGAAATCTGTCAAAATATAAATGATTAGAAAACACAATTTTGAGTAACTCTAATATTTATGAGAGTCCAACCTGCACGTGCTTGTTCTTTCTATGCCACGTTAACGCTTTGTAACAGGCTTCCAGCCAAAACAATTTAACTTCTTCCCCCTCATCATCATTCTCTTGATTCTCATTCTTTTCCTCTAAATCTTGATTTAAGAAAATGGTCTCAGCTTGAAAAAAATTAAAAAATAAATAAAAGCATTATATATATGATTTACTTAACAGTTTGACCAACTCTAATTCAATATTTTGAAATATTACCAACAGAATGAGGTGTGCTTTAGTAGAAGCCTTGGTCAATTATAAAGATAATTTTTGATATATTACACACCTCATAATACTACCATCCTATACAGATAAATAATAAAATCAGGAAGAGGGTACCAAAAAAAAAAAAACCTAATAGACTAGAGAAGGATTATTTGAAAAGATTAGTTCATCACAGCACTATTCACAATAGCAAAGACATGGAATCAACCCAAATGCCCATCAGTCATAGACTAGATAAAGAAAATGTGGTACATATACACCATGAAATACCATGCAGCCATAGAAAGCAATGATATCATGTCCTTTGCAGGGACACAGATGGAGCTGGAAACCATTATCCTCAAATAAACTAACACATGAAGAGAAAACCAAACACCGCATGTTCTCACTTATAAGTGGGAGCTGAACAATGAGAACACATGAACACAGGGAGAGGAACAATACATACTGGGGCCCATTGGGGGATGGGACTGGGGGAGGGAGAGCATTAGGAAAAATAGCTAAACCATGCTGGGCTTAATACCTAGGTGATGGGTTAATAGGTATAGCAAACCACCAAGGCACACGTTTACCTATGTAAAAAATCTGCACATCCTGCACGTGTACACCAGAATTTAAAATAAAAATTTTTTTTTTTTTTTGAGACTGAGTTTCATTCTTGTTGCCCAGGCTGGAGTGCAGTGGCACGATCTCAGCTCACTGCAACCTCTACCCTCTGGTTTCAAGCGGTTCTCCTGCCTCAGCCTCCCGAGTAGCTGGGATTACAGGCGCCCGCCACCATGCCTGGCTAATTTTTATATTTTTAGTAGAGACGAGGTTTCACCATGTTGGCCAGGCTGGTCTCGAACTCCTGACCTTGTGATCTACCCGCCTTGGCCTCCCAAAGTGCTGAGATTACAAGCGTGAGCCACCATGCCTGGCCACAAGTAAAAATTCTTTAAAAAAAGATTAGCTGCTTAATGACAAAGCTAAATCAAGAATGATGTAAAGCAAAACTCTACATGGAGATGTGTATACTTGTCATAACTGTTAGTTTCCTTGAAAGTATTCTCTACTAGAAAATGAGCTACACAGGACAGAACTCCCATCTGTACATATGATTCTCTTGTTACAATGTTCATATTTGATGTCAAATGCCTCTGGAAGAATCTCCTTTTTAGTGAAGTTACTTACTGAGGAGGGCCAAACAGCTGAGCGCTGAGATCTGTAATGCTGCGTTCTCTGGGTACCGCTGCACAGCTTTCACCACAAATTCATGGACTTCGTTTAATACCAGGATATTAAAAAAATTACCTAAAAGTTAAGTGAAACATTAGCTGAATTCTCATCCATGGAAGTTAAATTACCTTTAACATATAACACTATTTACATCAGTAATTTTGGATGGTGATGAATATTTAATGGCATTAAAACATTTACTGTAATTAAAATAGCTTAATATGATTGAGTAGTTTTGAAATTTTATTTTATGCTGTCATTTATTTATCTTACTTAGACAATGGAAGTGACTGAGCAAAAATAATGATACTAGTTTGGGTTGTATTAACTGCATGTTCTCTGATTCCCTCTCATGTCACGTCTGTTACACATGGCACGGCAATATTCATTGTATAAAATAACTTAATTTTTCTGACTTTTAAAGATGAAACTCTTAAATCTGTCTTTTAGAAGATCCAATATTAAATAGTTTTGCTGAAACCCTCTTCTTTCACTTAAAGGAATAGTGTTCAGAAAATTCATTGGCATGCTTACCATTACTTGATCTTGTCTATGATGATCTCAGAAAAAAAAATAAAAACTAAAATAAATGAGATATTTCACCACCTCCAACCCACCCTGGGAAGAAGTTCCATATCTTTTTATACCCATTCTTCTGAGAATTAATATGACACCCAAGAGTCTAAATCCTTATGAGGAAAAACTTTACGTGATATTCCAGAAATATGTACCTTTTTCCATTTGGCTTATTTGTAACTCACTAACAATTGCCAAGCTTCTTTCTAAAACAAAGAATTAAAACTCCTGTTCATCTATAAGCGTAACTAAGTGATCTCTGAGATACAAAGCCAGAAATGGAAAAGATCCTGTATCATAAAAAACCTAAAGCCCAAATATTCATCAACGGCCTCACAATCAAAAGGCAGTTTAAGCAACTATGGAGCTCCTTTACCAACACCTTCCCATGCTGTTGCCTCTTTCACATTCACCCACCAAGCAAACATTCTCCACAGCCCTTAAAGATCACTAGTGTTTTCAAAAAGATTTTCTTCTACTTTTACCAGCTTGTCTAAACTTGGGTGGTCCCCATCACTCTCTTTTCCCTATTATACCCACACCACTGCCTACAGCTGTTCCGTCACTGACTCACTGTGTGACTCAGAAAACGGCAGGAAGACTAGACCTATGTTCAGACAACTTGTGTGAAAATACATAGCAAACTGTACAGAGTCCTTAAATGCATTAAGCCCATAATTAGATTACATAATTTGGCAAAACGTTAAATATTTACTTACTTGAGGTTTTAATTTTAACTATGAAGAAAAAGTTAAGCATTTTATTCAGCTACTTTTGAAACAATAACAGCAACAATAAATTATCTACCCATTAAATGGAACTAATAATCATTCACTAAGAGATAAACAAGAGAAAAAAGCATCTTTACCTGAAGATCAGTTTGATCTCTTTTTATTTTTAAAAAATCTTACAGAATAATACAAAAGTTGCATACGACATGACAGTTGCCATGGTTTATTTAATTTTAACAGTATAAAATCAAGCACCTTTAATGTGCTCTTCTAGACCAATTTGGCAGTCAAGTAGCATTTCCCTCATCACAAAAACAAAATCACTTCTTCCTCTGGCTCATTTCAAGAAATGAAGGCGAACTCACATTTTAATGTAACATGTGCAAGTTGTAACTTGACTGTGTAAAACATGAAACAGAGAGTTGTACAGTAGTGTGCTACTCTAACACCTGGATTTAAGAAATCAACTTTGAATTAGATTAAAACATTATCAGATATCAGCCAGTTTGTACAACTACAACCTTCTCACGAAAAATAATGAATAAAGGGTAACCTGATAGAGATAAACTAGTAAATGGCTACCAAATTTTAGAAGAAATACTTTGTTTAGGGATGAAGAAATCTGGGTTCTCAGCCTGATTTCACCCCTTACTGCTTACATAATCTTGAATAAAACACAAAGATTGGTGAACCACAGGACCTCATCTGTAAATGTACAAATAATAACAATATCCCATCTCCCAAGATTGTTGCATGGATCAAAAAATACTGTGTGTGTGTGTGTGTGTGTATACACATTTATATATACAAATATATACTGTGTGCATATATATATGCACAGTATTTATATTTGTATATATAAATGTATTTATATTTATAGACATTTGTATATTTGTATATAAATATATGTATATACATTTGTATATTTCTATACATGTATATATATTTATATACATTTATATACAATGTTATTATATTTATATATACAGTACATAAGTAGATTCATACATATCAAATATATAAGTGTATATATACACTTTGGAAACTATGAAAGAAATGTGAAAATATTAAACATGATCATCTTACAGTCTTAGTCATATAACAACATTCAATAAATGCTTATCAAGGAAAGAAATAACAAACTAAAGTTGTGCATTTAAAATAGAATTCAACTTACAAAAAATTCATTTTAACTGAAACTAGGAACTTTCCTAATGCTAAAATCAATTTCCAAATTATACAGGGGATATAATCATGATACTAGAAGTGAAAATACGAGTTGCTACAATGGAGATGTGTCAATTAGTTTTTTCAAATGATTAATGATTTTCCCAAAAATTTGTAATGATGAAAAACTAAATGCCTATTATAATAATCCTAATTTTGCACAAAATATTCCTGGTTATCCTTTTGGGAAAGTGTCATCAGAATCAATTTCCAACAGTTAGCCATCATTCCTTATTAGTCACCAACCACTCCCTTTTACACGCATTGTTGTCCTCACAAAAATATCAAGGAAGTTTCCAAGGTGTGTGTTGAGGGGCACAGGGAGTTCAAAAAGAAGCTGAAACAAGAGCTGTGAGTTGAACGCCAGAGTAGTCTCGAGGGAAAGCATGAATTTCGGCGCTGCATTCAACAATCGAGTTTCAGACTCTCTGCAAGGTAAGGTAATTCAACCAGAGTCTCCCATATTAAGCCTAGATCTTAAGATCCTAAACTGCTCCCACGTCAGTCCTGTGCTCTGACTTCTGGCAAACACCTCTGAAAGAGCATCTTTAATTTAAGTCCTCAGGATGTTCAAATATTAAACTCAATCAAAGAGAAACTCACAAGCATACAAGAAAACAAGGCTCCGTAACTGATGGGCAGTCAGCCTAGAAGCAGTTGGTTTAGACTCCCCAGAACTTTACATATAGTTATCAGATACAAAACACAAAATAGCCCTGTATTAATCATTAAAGAAATAGAAGGATTTTTTTTAAAAAAAGAAAGGGTAAAAAAGAAAAAAACAAGAGGCTGCCAAAACTCACCTGGTATATGCGAAAATAAACAGACAAGATTTTTTTATAAGTGTTTTTAAAAATCTAATAAATGACCAAGTTAAATTTATCAGGAAGTGCAAAGTAGCTTAGTATTAGAAAACCTGTAGATGTATTTCTTCATATTAACAAAATGAAAAGAAAAAAAAAGACTTACATTTTAAGTATATTTGATAAAATTAAATATTCACCCGTGATTTTTTAAAGCCCACATTGTAAAAATAAAAGCAAAGAAGAAATAAAATAAAATTTCTTAAAATTTTTTTAAAAATGTAGAACCTTGTAAGATGCATTATTTTGGATGGGAGAATATTAAAAATATTCTGTTTAAAATCAGGAAAAAGAGCAAGACAAGGATGTCTACTATCACTGATTCTATTTAACACTGTATTAATAATTCTGGGTCATGTAAAAAGACAAGGAAATGAAATAAAGAATATAAGAAGCAGAAAGGAAGAACTCAGACTGTCATTATTTACAAATTATATAATTGCTATGTAGAGAACTTAAGAGCATTTGGAAACAAATTGTCAGAATTAATAGAGTTTAGAAAGGTAGGTTAGCTCAATATACAAAAAAATCATTTGCATTTCTTTATGAAAACACAGTTCAAAAATACGATGTAAAAAGAAATACCATTTACAATAATAATAAAAATAAGATATGTAGCAATAACTAACAAAGATGTGCAAGACACGTATAGAAGAAATTATAATGTAAAGACATCAGTTCTTCTTAAAATGATCACATATTTTGTGCAATTCCAGTCAAAATCTCAACAGTGTTTTCCAAGGAACTGGACAAGTTAATTCTAAAATAAGTATGGAATAGTAAAGGCCCAAGAAAAAAGGCAAGCTGTTCCTAAAAAAGAATGTATAGTGACTTGACCTACTAGCTTTTCAGATATCAGGACTTGCAGAACTATTAATTTAAATAGCGTTAAATTGATTCAGACAAATCAGATTAATGCAACAGAACAGCAGGGACAGAAACATAAATATATAACTGGGAAACAGGTGAAGCTCTAATAAATTGTGCTATGATGGTAACTAGCTCTCCACACTGAAAAAAAGAGGGAGAATCGGGTTCTTTACAAAAACAAACTGCAACAGTTTAATAAATGAGAAAGATTTGGAATAAAATATACAATATATTTATTATCTCGGAAAGGAAAGATTTCTTAAACAAGATACATAGAGTAAATCACAAAGGAACTGATTATTAAATTTAACTATATCACAAAAGCCACTATAAAGATGGTGAAAAGACGTGCTACAAGTCAAGGGAAGGTATTTTCAATACATATAACCTACCATCAAAATATTATTGTCCAGAATCTATGAATCAGTTTTAAAAAGACAGACTATCCTATGAAAAATATTGATAAATGACAGATTGTGTATTTCACAAAGAAGGACCTACCAATGGCAAGTAAATATTTTTAAAAATATTAACCCTTATTTATATTTTCCTAACAACACAGATAGTAGTAGCATAAAACAAGAAAGAACCCAAATGTCCATTGATAGAAAAATGGAAAAATAAATTGTGGTATTTCCAAATAATAGACTACTACTAGCAACCACATGCAAAAATATTTCTGATTCTTATAATCATATTGATATTTGAAAATTGCAGAAGACAACATACAATATAATTACATTGTGATGAAGCAAAAGGAGGCAAGTGTTAACAATTTACTTAAAGAAACATGAAAATGTAGTAAATCATATTTATAAAGCAAAAGATTTGTAAACACAAAATTCTGGATAGTGTTAACCTCTATAGAGAAAGCAAGGGCAAGAAGCAGCCCAGGGTAGCTTCCCCCACTGGGAATATACAATATTTAAGTTGGATGGTGAGTTCTTTGCATTATGCTTTACATTGTATATGTTATGCATATTTTTTGTATATATCAATTCTTACATAATTACATTTTAAATATAGCCTCAACAATAAAAAAACTCATCTATAGAACTATCTCTATAAAAATAAGATTAAGATAATACTTCTTTCACATTCTACACACCTATTTTTGACACTCCTTTTAAAAGTCCATCTAAACATAGCAAAACGGTTTGGTAATTTACAGTATTTTCTTTTTTTTAATTTATTTTTTTCTGGGACTTTACAATATTTTCATTCAAAGTATGTCAATATGCTACTTATCCATCATTATGCAACATATATATTATATATATGTATATCATACAGATTGTGATGATATATTAACTAAGAAACTCACCTAATGTAAGCCTATGGAGCAAACAGCAACTCACTTCTTGAATTTTTTCACTGATAGGGAATGCTTTCATAGCTTCCACCACAATATTATAACACCTGACATTGCCACTCATGAGGACTTCCACATTATTGCCTGAATTTAAAGAGATCATAATTATCAATAAGGTAACCATTTTCCCCTTTCAAATATGCATACAAAGATGTCTTATATAGATTGTAAATAGATGGCAGCATAATGACTGCATTTCCAAATTTAAACATCATGTTCCGTTAAGCAGCTGTAAAAAATTCTAGGCTGTTCATTGATAACATAATGGAATGTAGGACTCATCTTTAGCATTAAGAAAAATTTACTTCTTTCCTGTTTCTTGGCTTAAAGCCTTAAGATCAAAAAAAAGGAAAAATTCAGAGTACTTTTAGTACTGAAAACGAAATGAAAAGTACTGAAAATGAAAGTCTAGAAATGTAATGTATTGGTCTAAGTTTTCAAAAAATAAATTGGAGGGTCTCTTTCTTAACGAGGCTCAACCTCACTGGATAATAACTTTTGCATTTTTTTTCCCCAACCAAAAGAAAGAAAATCAAGAATATGTCACCAGATAGAAGAGTTAAAATCAGTTATGACCTGTTTCCTCCTCCATTCCAAGAGAGCAACCAGTGTACAAGGCAGCAAAATAAAGCTTCCTGAAGGCTCCAAAATAGGTGGAAGAAAAGATGGGAGAAGGAAAAAGGGGAGGCACAATATTAAAATATAAGTCTAAGGGACAAACACAGGTGAAACAGAAAGGAAGGAAAGACTCTACCAGAAAAAGCAATTAATCAATAAAGGGAGTGAAGTGCGAACCTACATGGAGAAAATATGTCTATTTCTGCATCAAATGTTAACTGTTCTTTTATTTTTTTTTTTTAAAAAAGGGCTGTTTGCAAAACATTTTAGTATCTGTTTTGGCACAGCCAAAACTAATCAACTGTTTTCACAAAAAGTGTCTTATAATGCTTAAACATAGAAAAAAAGTTAATAATGTATGGAAATGGTCTGTTAAAGGAGTTACCTGCTTTGATTCAAAACAATAGACTTAAAGACTGAAAAGCAAATGTTTTTCAGTTAGAATCAGTGCTTTAAAAACTCTTGAGTCTTAATTTTTAGCTGCCACTTTCTTTGACTTTTGTATTATGAATCAACACATTTTTACTGGAGTTATGTCAGATGTGGGTGGAAAACAATGGATTCCAAAAACTGCCAGCCCAAAATAAATAAATAAATGAATAAATATAGCCAAGGAAAAGTATAATGAAAAATATATTCAGTTTGTTGGCAATGATGACTCAGAGAAATGTAAAAGCATGGCCTTTCTCTATTATTGTTCAGTCCCACCCACTTTCTAGTGTTTAATTTCCTGTGGATAAGAAAACGTTGTGATTTTATAAACATCACCAAAAAAAAGGCATTCTTTCACAAGGGCATTGGGTTTTTACTCTGCCTACACTGAAGGCTCACACCTGCAGACTGACACAGTGATTTCCATATCTGAAACCATAAATGCAATTACACATAGTATACAACATACATATAAAATACATATTGTGTAATAATCCTGTCAGTGATTTTAGAACACTTATTACATGCCAGGTACTACTCTACATTTTTAACTCGTTGAATCCTCAAAACTTCACATGTGTGAGGATGAAAATATCACTAGATAAATGCATATGTATATCCTGTAGAAACCCACACAAGTAATACATGAAATACAAAGTGTTAATGGGTATTTACAAAACAAAACAGAATATGAGCCATTATTTTAGCTTATTAGTAATCATTGGTAACATACACATCAAATTAATTTCTTCTGATTAATATTTTTTGGTGAAAAAGGTGGCTAAATTTCAAAGCATCATTAAAATGCTAATCAAGAATCACAATAAAATTCAAACTCCTTCATGCAGCTTTTTAGGCCCTTCATGCTCTCCACTCCATGTCTCTGGCCTCACCCACTGCCTCTTATCAAGGTCTCCCTTGCCTCTGTCAATGAAACACAAACGGACAGGATATTTGGGGATGCGCATGCACAGTGGCACACACGCATGCACGCATGCACACTCATAACCCCACACCTTTACTGAGCTACTTTTGTCTTCTTGAAGGCAGTCTGCTCTCTCTTGCTACAGCATCTTTACACTAACCATTCCCACTGCCTGGGCCACTTTGCCTGCACTCTCACTTCAGCTCACACCTCTGTGCACAGGAAGCTCTACTTATTCAATCTTGGCTAAGAGACATTGCCTCACTTCCTATTTGTTCTCCTAACTCTGGGTACTTCTGCCATCACTTCTGCCATTGTAATCACCTCTATACTTATCTGTGTCCCCCATTGTACTACAAGCTCTGAAAAGGTAAGGAACACATTTGTATTTTCCACTATTGTTTCTCCAGCACCAAGCCCACAGCCAACTTCAGTATAGTGTCAATTAATGTAAATTAATTAAATGGATAAATGAATGAATGGGTTTAGCATCCACAAGTTTCTAAATAATAAAAATATTGTTAAAATATACTCAGAAAGAGATATATTGTGATTTTTCAGACACGAAAAAGAAATCACATATAAATGCTACTTACAAGGAATTGCTAGGGAATGTAAACAATGCAGTACATGAAGCACAATTTCCTCTTCATCTTTAAAATTTGTTAACGCACTTAACAATATCATATAATCTTTGTTCTCAACAAATTCAGTTAGTTGCTCCTCTGAGACTAAAAAATGAAAGACAAAATACTGAATAAGCCTAAAGATGATACAGAAGTTTAATTATTCAAAAATTACAACATTCATGATAGTTGTGTAAAAAAATGTAATCTCCTTAAATAAAAAATATATTTCTGTGAAAACAGCCCTTCCTAAGAATGTTACAATGGGAAAGCAAGCTACAGAGATTAAAATAATTTTGTTTCAGTCTATGTTCGGTACTCAATGTTTTGAAATGTAAAAGTGCTAGTCATTCTCAGAAAAACAAAATTATTTACAATTTCATTTGGGAAATTCTAGAGAAAACTGACAGTGACTAATAAAGATGGTCAACTAGAATTGGACATATTACAATATTTGAAAGGGAGGCATTAATGGTAGGCTGCTGAAGGGTAGCTCGGCTAAATGTTTCAGTTCAAGAGTTGTCAACTTGAGCAAATGGCAAGTAATCAGACTTTGAAATACTCTGTCTTAGTGATTTTCCATCAGACAGCAAAAATATAGATCATTAATTTTCACAATTAAAGTCATTTGATCAAGCCAGTAAGTTCCATTTGGAGTCACTGTTATTGGGCAACAACCTCAAAAACATGTATAAAATTCTAGTTTATCTAGCTTGAGAATGGTGCCAGAAATATGTTAGAAAATACGGCACTCTAAGTGATCAACATTAATTTTTTTTTAATTTTATGCCAGTGTCCCTATAATATAATGCGAAATCAGTTAAGTTTTTCTAACAAGTGAAGAACATCATGAAACTGTCTCAGTTATTAGGTGATCTATCCCATTCTGGGAACTGCGAGAAATTAGACTGGTAAACTGATAACTGACACAGGGCCCGCAAAAATCATTCTTATCTAAACCCCTAGCACGGTTGGCTCCCATAATGATACAAAAGGGGCTCTCAAAATAATTGCTAATTGAACTGTACTGTCACAAGCTCTGTGCCCTGAGGCAGGATGCTCACTTCACTGCTGTGACCCATTTCCTCCTCAGGTCAATGGAAAGACTAAACAAGGACTCCAACCAACTCTAAAATTACATGACAATCTCAGTTACCAATCTCAGGGCCAGGCTATGAAATGCATATTAGTCTTTTTCCTGAGGGACACTTTGTAAACCTCCTGGCTCTTTATGCAGAGCCTTTATCAATTTCTAAGACTTCTGATGATGACTCAACATCATAATCCCGATGTAACCTATGCTTGGCTTCAGTTGTATTTTTTCTTTCATAACACCCACACATCCAGTTTTCAAAGTAAACCTTATGCCTTGTTATGCAACTGAAGAAAGTCTACTCCACTGGCATGATTTATAACCCATGAATGCAATTCACTCCACCAAAACAAGCAATACTGCTGAATTAACCCCATTCCTCACCCTTGACAGACAACTCCCCCTTCTTAATAGTAGGATTTTAGAAACCTTCTTCTTCTTATAATTGTGTTCTACTTTTCCCAGTATAAGCCTTTTTTTCTTATATATACTTTAAGGAATTTGACATTTTAAAATACCTCTTTCAAACAGCACATGTAAAGCTTTGCATCCAAGTTTCTGGATTTCATCATTGGCTGGAAATGAGTGCATGGCATCAAAAATTAACATGAAAATATCACTTTCTTCATCCAATATCAGTAAGGTGATTTTACCTATTTTGAAGAGAATAATATGCTCTGAGTAAAGATCTGCTTTAACATTTAATGTGTTAATTTTTACATGAAGACTGTGAATGGTTTGTAGACTCACGATTTTTTTGTTTGTTTATTGACAAACCACTTAACTGCCCTAGATGTTAGACTTATCAAGCTCTAGATCTTTATAAATGAGATAAATTCTCAGTTCACTTTATTACAATTTCATGAGTCCCAATCAGTACTTCTACCCTAGATAACTTGCCCCAAACACCTGAAATACATTCTTATGCCTCTTAGACATCATCTGAATATTCTACAGGTACCCCAAACCTGGTCTACTCCTGTTCCCTGTCTTCATCAATGATACCATAATCCAATAGCTACCCAAGAGAAACTCCTGAGTCATCTTCTTTTTCCACCATCCTTTCTCTTCTCATTCTCTATCCAAACAACACATCAATTCGTTACCAAGTCCTTTAAGTATATCTCCTACACATCTTGAAGATTCCTTCTGAACAAAATGCCTTTTGAACAAGGCACCTTCATTCCTATTGTGTTTTGCATTCTCATCTAGAATGCAAAAACAGATGCTTAATTGCTCTACAGGCCCCAATTTCTACCCAACTAGTTTATTGCCTGCATTATATTTCTAAAACACAATTGTGGTCTTGCAAATCCCTTGCTGGAATCTTCTAAGATCTTCTCATACTCCTTAGTATGAAAAAACAAGACCCATCACACAACTGACTATAGTACATGTATCTCATCAGCCCCTTATCCCTCTGCACATTGTCTTCACTCCAAATATGCTAAACACTGTTCCTCACTAAATATTTTGTTACCTCTTTGTACTTGGACTAACTGCTTGTCATACTCTTGTCTTTTACTATATCAAACATCTCCTATCATAATCCAAAACATAACACAAACAGCATCTATTCTGTCAATAAAAATAATAATACTGGAATAGGAATGGTAGTACTGTATGAGGCTAACTTTAATATATTCCAGTGTGGAGAGATTTTTCAGATTAATAAACCCTCATCTTCCTGTCCATTGCCAAATGAAGAATGAATACCCCTCAAAAAAAAAAAAAATACCTCCCAAGTATGAGGTTAAATTAAATCATGGTTAAGACTGTTAGTGCATTCCATACAATATGGTCATAAAAAGCGGTGGTGAAATGCTGAGTACTTTCTTGTTTTTCCCTCATACTCTCATCTTCCTCTTTCTCCAGCAAGGTCTTCATCTCTTAGCAGGACTGATGGGGACTGATGAGGACATTTCAAACCTTCCCAATCACATGTCCAGCCTCTCTTATGCTATTCTCCCAGGCCTGTGCACCCATACTTCTCTCAACCTAAAAAGCCCTCCCCTACAGGGAAGGAAACTCCTCCCAGCCCTACAAGATTAGCTCCCTGTGAGCAGCCTTTCTTCTAAGAAACTTATATAATAGCCAGTGTCCAGCACAGCAATGCCCACAACTGTTGCATCATTTCAAGATTTTTTGTTTTCAGGTCCGTTATTTTCCAGGCCAAAGTTTTCTCAGGGAAGGAACCTGACATGGAGAATCAGACCCTGTTTCTACCACTTAGTGGCCGAAGCAACTTCTCTGCATTTCAGTGTTTCTCACTTAGAAAACTGAGATAAAATCCCTATCACGAGGGGTGTTTTCAGGTTTAGGTGTTTAAAAGAATGTGAAGCATTTTACTTGTGAAGCCTGGCATCTAGCAAATACTCAAGAAGTAATGTTATGTATTTTCAAAATGTAACTATTATGGCATACTCCAGAACATACATTATAGAAAATATATTCAAGATATATATGGAGAAAGAAGTAATAATGCAAGGGCATGAATGACCACTAACCTAGGGAGAATATGAGATGTGGGTCCAGATTTTGGGAGCAAACATCAGGCTACAAACAGAGATTTGGGGACAATATATAAGGTAATGTTTAAAACCAAGGTATTGAATGAGATTTTTTGAGAGGCAACGTATAGAGAAAAGAGATAAGGAGAAAAGATGGAAACAGAAAGAATTTTGGAAATAACTGATATTTGGATTACATTGTGGCTGTCACATCACAAGGTCTAAAAAAAGATGCAATTTTACGACATTTAAATCAAGCTACCCTAATCCTGATCTTTAAAAAAAAAAAAAAAAATTTAAGTTAATGGCATCAATTTTTTTTAAACTGAATCAACACGAAAAACATATACATGTATTACCTGAAGTTAGGAGGAGATCTAAGGTCTTCAGTCCAATCATTGACAAGTTTACACTGGCATTATGAACTGTTAGCATTTTAAGAATCAATCTGGAGTTAAAAACAGAAATCAAGATAAGAATGAAATATCATACTCAGAAATTTGCTTATTTAGATTTTTTTGCTCACCTATTTTTTATTACTCTCATTGTATTTAATTCCCTATAGTGAAGCTCATGTGTTTTTGTTGTCTGTTGTCTGCTTTTAGAGACAAGGTCTTGCTGTGTCACCCAGGCTGGAAAGCAATGGTGCAATCAATCACAGCTCACTGAAACCTCAAACTCCCGGGCTCAAGTAAGCAATACTCCTGCCTCAGCCTCCTGAGTTGCTAGGGATACAGGAACACACCACCACACCAGGCTAATTTTTTCATTCTTTTTTGGACAGACAGAGTTCACTATGTTGCCTAGGCTGGTCTAAACCTCTGGGCTCAAGTGATCCTCCTGTCTCGGCCTCCCAAAGTCTGGGATTATAGGTATGAGCCACCGTGCCTGGCCATGTGTGTTTGTTTCTTTCTACAAACCTGAATCAGGCTTATAAAAACTAACAGGGAATGCTAATTAGCTTGATTGTGGTAATATTTCACAATATACACATATATCAAATCAACTATATACCTTAAATATAAACAATTTCTAATTGTCAACTCTAATAAAGTTAAAAAAACAAACAAAAAATCAACAGGGAACTATTATGTGTCTCATTTAAAAAGGTAAAAGCGCTACTTATTTTCCAATAAATATTCAAATTCAAAAATTCAGATTCACTATTTTCACCCAACTCCATGTTCAAAATATCATGAAGTCTTATATACATCGAGAGCAAACCCATTTTTACATGTGATATAAATTTATAATTTATCTTAGACATGTTGATATATTAAAATATAGAGAGATATAAAGATGTTAGTTTGTGTATATAAATTAAGAATTCATTTCAATATTTAAATTATTGATTGCTACTGTTTTTAAAAGAGAAATTAATAATATATTAAAAAGTGGGCCGGTAGCACTGGCTCACACCTGTAATCTCAGCACTTTGGGAGGCCAAGGTGGGGGGATCATGAGGTCAATAGATCGAGACCATCCTGGCCAACATGATGAAGCCCTGTCTCTACTAAAAATACAAAAATTAGCTGGGTATGGTGGTGCACTCCTGTAGTCCCAGCTACTCGGGAGACTGAGGCAGGAGAATCACTTGAACCTGGGAGGCAGAGGTTACAGTAAGCCGAGATCAGGCCACTGCACTCCAGCCTGGCAATAGAGCAAGACTCTGTCTCAAAAAAAAAAAAAAAAAAAGTGAACTTAACATATCAATAATGTTTAGTTCAAATTCATGAGATTTTAATCCCTATATTATTAATCCCAAAATATAATCTCTAGTCTATTCCTGCACAGCATTGTTTGGCGAATTGTTGGGAAAAGACTGAGCTGACCACATCTAGAGCTTTGTACGTATTCAAGATACGTTGCATAATCTCCATTTGGCAGTTGGAGGAACTGAATGAAGCCAGTCTTCAATTCTCTGCCAGTCTTCCTCCTAATCACCCTGCCCCTACCTCTCCCTGTACCATTCCCACTCTTCCTGACTTTACCACCACGGAAGAAATTTTTCTTCAGAACTGGTAAGTCTTTGGAGAGAAAAGGCCTTGAAAAAACAGAAATCTGTTTTGCAATCAATTTTTGCCGGGAGTGACCTAATACACTCCACTGGAGAGAGCAGTGTGTCTATCTTCTTTACAACTGCATTGTTTCTGGCCTAGAGGAGGGGCTTAAAAAACATTTGATGAATGGAAGATGAATGACTGGATGAACAAAGTGAGTGAATGAGTAAGTGAGTGAGTGAACAAATTTCCTATATAAATATTTATGTAATTTAATTTGAACAGCTGGTTTGAACAGGAATATGACTAGATGAGTTTCCCAAACACTCCCTGAGGTTATAGACTGGCTCATCTTTGGACATCTTGGAAATTCTCAACCAAACCAAGGGACACTTAAAAGTTACAATTGCTAATTACTGGTATATTCTGAGTAATTCCTCATCAAAAGCTGTATACTTTAGAACTGAAACATAGAATTACAAAGATTAGATTGAAGATGAGAACTCCAATTAATTGTAAATATGCTCTTTCCAAACACACCCTTTATGTACTGAAAACAAGAAGAGCAACACATTTGTCAAAGAGGGGAAAATGTATAAGCACAGATATGTTCACTTATGGCCAAACATATAGCTCTAATTTGTCTAAATTTGTAGCACTACTTGATACTGATCACCAATATAAACACCTAAAAATTTTTCATAAATTAAATTTTCATAAACTGTATACCATTGTAAGCCAGATATATTCACAATTTCCTTTTCTGTGGTAAAGAAAAGTCACATTACGTATAAAAAAGATTTAAAGTTAATGACAGAAGGTTTGTTTGTTTGTTTGTTTGTTTGTTTTTTAATAGAGTCTCACTCTGTCACCCAGGCTGGACAGCAGTGCTGCAATCTCGGCTCACTGCAACCTCCGCTTCCCAGGTTCAAGTGATTCTCCTGCCTCAGCCTCCCGAGTAGCTGAGAAGATATTTTTTAACTGTCAAGAAATAATGTATTTTCCTGAAAACACATTCTTCTTCAGAAAAGGTTTTCTTAATTAATTGTGGCTAAGGAAGTAGTCTCATTTAAGAAGTCATTATGCTGCAAACTGCAAAAACATAGCTGGTAAAATTGTCATCAAGATTTGGCTGCAGATGTGCTGAAAGGTAATTTCCTCTTTCTTACTCTTTTTGAAAGCCGTAGTTTAAACTTACTGTGTATATATATGAATATATATAAATGTACCATTTAAAGACAGAACATCAACTTTCAAATTACTACGTACAGAACTAACTTTTCTCAGTTCCCATTTTTTTAGGAACTAGTGGTTTGTATCAGTTCTATTATTAAAGGGCAAAATATCTTCATGGTTTGAATGCAAAAGTACTCATCAAAAATCTACAAGTTAACCAGTTTTATAATTATATGATTATATTATTAAAATAACTCCTGACATGTTACCTTAAATGTTTGCTTTCTAAATCAAACTTCTGAGTTTAAAGCTCTCTATAAATGTAAATAATTGACTCAAGGAAAAATATCTGTATTTCAAAGAATTTCACAAGAGTAGCCTTGGATTGCAAATTCAGTGTATCAAGGGAAGGTTTTTATGTGTATAGATAAATACTCAAGGCAGTTTGTTTTTACATATCTATCATACTTACTGGTGAACACCAAGGACTTCCCAATCATTTCCAACATCCTGGGGTCCCATTAAGCTTTGCATTGTACCCGGGCAGATTTCTATTAATTTGCACAGAAGTGACCAACCCACCTGAAAACAAGAAAGACATATATTCACGTGTTTTAAAGAATGTTAATAGAACATACTGAGTCAAACATGAATCTCTTCAGTCTTAGTGGAATATATGCTTATCTCACTTGTAAATAATTGTTATAAAACAAAATGATACCCTAAAATGCTTACCAAGAAACAAAAGCAAGCCATATCCTTAGGATACACCTTTCTCCAAAAATCAGACCAGAAAGACATACAAAAAATATAACATTTCGGCTGGGCATAGTGGCTCACGCCCGTAATCCCAGCACTTTGAGAGGCGGAGGCGGGTGGATCACGAGGTCAGTAGTTAGAGACCAGCATGGCAGAGGGTGAAATCCCGTCTCTACTAAAAACACAAAAATTAGCCAGGCATGGTGGTAAGGTTACAGGCATCTGTAACCTCAGCTACTCGGGAGGCTGAGGCAGGAGAATCACTTGAACCCAGGAGGCAGAGGTTGCAGTGAGCCGAGATTGCGCCACTGCACTCTACCCTGGAGGACAGAGCAAGACTCCATTTCCAAAAAAAAAAAATATATATATATATATACACACACACACACACACATAAATATATATAATTTCTAAATTTTGAAGAACATAGACACGCCTATTGTCTAAGGCAAAATAAAATAAACTACAAAAAATAGTTTTAGAGGTTGTACCAAGATTATTAAGTGCAAGAACGGCTATACTGGATCCTTAGTACGTTTCTTTTCTTGTTTTTTTTTTTTTTTTTTGGTTTTGATTTGTTTTTGAGATAGGGTCTCACTCTGTCACCCAGGCTGGAGTGCAACGGCACAATCACCGATCACTGCAGCCTAGAACTCACGGCATCAGGTGATCCACCCACTTCAGCCTCCCAAGTAGCTGGGACTACAGGTATGTGCCACCACACCCAGCTAATTTTTAAAACATTTTTGTGAAGACAGGTCTCTCTCTATATTGCTCAGGCTGGTCTCAAGCTCCTTGGCTCAAGCCTTCTGACGTGGCCTCTCAAAGTGCTGGGATTACAGGCGTGAGCCTCCGCACCTGGCCCTTAGTAGGTTTTAAGTAATAGCTACCTGACAGAATTTCCTCCACATATTTAAATTTTTAATTATAGGAAAAAATGAAGTGGCTTAAAATGAAGGATTAGGGCAAGTTGAAAATTTTAGTAGCAAAATGTAAGTTATCAGAATGGCTGCTCCCCAATTAATGAAGCTAGAATAACAGAGGCAAGAAACATGGCATTTTTAGCAATTGACTCTACATCTGATAGGAGAAAAAAAGAAAGGGCTCTATAACATAGACAGGAGGTAGAACTCCTCAATGGCTCCCTCTAGATTTCTCTAGAATGAATTGATAAGGTCTAGAGATACAGACACCCCTAGTAGGCTCTTTCACATTTCGAAATAAAATATGAAATTATGGATGCATTTTAAGTATATCTTCACTCAGTCTGTTTACAAGATGCCAACTTGCCTAAGTTGCTCTTTACCTCTGAAAAAAAAATTGAAAGTCCTGATTTCAAACCACAGATTAAAATTAACCTACTCCTCCTATTGTAGACTCCTCTCTAAATGTAAAGGATCTCCAATTCTATTATACTATAGAACTATACTTGACATGGTCAAAAAAAAAAAAAGAAAGTGCATTTATACACACACACACACACACACACTCACACACCACCCTCTAGAGACTTATGGAAAAGTACCTAAGTGTGATGTGTAATAAATACCAATACAATAGAAATACTGAAAGTAAGATTCAGTGTGAGTTGAAATTACTCAGAGAATATAATATGAAGAGGGAGAGCTTGAGTCAGATTGTATAAGAACTGTTGAGTGGTGAGGAGAGTAGGCTGCTACATAATAAGGAAGCCGCTACAGGAAAGAGGCTATTTTGGGATAAGGCTGGATGCATAAGTAAAGTTGAACATTGCAAGGAGTTGAATGACAAGGTGAGAAATCTATATGCATCCAATAAGGAATAATGGCACAAGTTTCTTACCTGTTTGCAGGAGTAAACAAGGGTTATTTTAGGAAGATAAAAATGATTACTCAAGATCTCTTTACAATATTACTTTTGGATCTTTTCCAGATTAAACAGAAATTGCTTTATTTCGTCATTACTTCCTTTTACATAATTTCAAATTGCTTTCAAAGGCAGCAATTTCTGACAGCTATTTCTACCTATACTACTTAAGTAGGACATCCTCCTCCACGTAAGCTGAACAGACATTGACAATCCAGCTGTCATAGAAACCAACTATTTTTGTGCTTTCATAAAATACATCAAGACTTTTTTCCGAAGTATTTAAGAAAATAACATTCTGAACAGCTTCTGGTGGTGAAAAAAATCACATAGGATGCCAAACTCATCCCTATACCTACAAAGCTGACTCAAGGAAAAAACCTGTTTTGTTCTGGTTGGTGAAGCAACAGCATAAGTAAGTGCTTTGCAAAAAGATTCAGGCAACTGAGCTCTCCAGTACTACATGGAACTTCTGTGATGAAACAGAATCTCTGGCAGCAAAGCAGAGGTAACAATTGATCCATTAATCTATTCAATTAAAAGCTTATCTTTCAAAGAGAGAAATTTCCCATCCTGCACGGTTACAATACAATTAAATTGGTAGTTTTACTTTATTATAATTATTCTAAAAACTCAAGCATGTAATTAAGGCACAACAGGAAAGAGTCTAGGGGTTAAAGAAAAATTTTTAGCCACTTTCATTTATTTTGCTCCCCTTCTTCAAGGTTGAAACCGTGAGAATAAAGAGATGTAAAATTTAGGAGCACAGTGAAACGATGGGCAGGAAAAGAAAAATATAAAGCAGCTTAACTACCAATTTTCTAAAGACTGTCATTTATGTAGAAGCATTAATAAAATATGAAATAAACTTCGAAAATAAAACTGACAGCCCGGAATATCATGTTAAATGGCATCTAGAAACAAACCTTAATCTTTATTTTAAATAGTAATTAACAATTACAATTAAATTAAATGAAGGAGTAATTTACCTTAATACCTTAAATTCATCATTAAGAGTTTTTAATTTGGCACTTCCAGCTAACTCAACATATAAAACATTAAAGGATACTTACAGTAATTATACTAATTATATAAAGAAATCTGAAGGAAAAACACTACTTTCAAGTGAGTATTAAAATGTCAGTAGGAGACCCCTTTCTACATCCCCTTGGTAAGACCAATGCTAATTTAAATTGATGTCATTGTACCTAGCATGGCCAAAGCAAAAACCAAACCATTTTGCTTTTTATGAGCTTGCACAAAAAGCTTGTGAATTCAGCAGCTAGTAGATTGTATGATGGAAAGAGATTTTGAAGGTGTGAGAAGACTTGGGTCTCAGGTTTGTCACAAGCTCTTTGATCCTCAGTTAGTAGCTTACTCTCACTGAGCTATGAGAGTAAACCATCCGGTAAGATTTCTGAGAGGGCAGTGAGATTTCAGTAAGAATCAAATCATGTCATATGCAATGCCCTTTATAGACTTATACACATATGGTACTGAAATTAATAATTCTATTGCATTAAATTACCAAATCAAAAGACTATTCCTCATATAGATCAATAGAACAGAATAGAGAACCTAGATAAAAATCCATGCATTTATAGGCAACCTATTTCCAAAGGTGCCAAAGACCTACAATGGAGAAAGGACAGTTTCTTTAATAAATAGTGCTGGGAAAACTGGATATTGGCTATGCCAGAGAAGGAAACTAGATGCACAGCTTTCACCATATACACAAATCAACTCAAAATGGATTAAAGACTTACATCTCAGACCTGAAACTGTGCAACTACTAGAAGAAAACATTGGGGAAATACTACAGGACATTGGTCTGTGCAATGACTTTTGGGGTAGGACCTCAAAAGCACAGGCAACAACAAAAAAAAATAGACAAATGGGACTGTATCAAGCTAAAAGCTTCTGCACAACAAAGAAAATAATCAACAAAGTGAAAAGACAACATAAAGAACGGGAGAAAATATTTGCAAAATAACCACTCAACAAAAGATTAACAACCAGAATACATAAGGAACTCAAAAATCTCAATTAGTGGAAAAAAAAAAATCTTATTTTTAAATGGACAAAAGATCCAAATAGACATTTCTCAAAAGACAGACAAATGGCTAACAGATACATGAAAAAAAAAATCCTAAGTATCACTAATCTTTAGGGAAAGGCAAATCAAAACCACAATGAGATATTATCTCACCACAGACAGAATGGCTATATTATCAAACAGAGAAAAAATAACAAATGCCGGTGAGGATGTAGAAAAAGGGGAATGGTGGTACACTGTTGATGGGAACATAAAGTAGTACAGCCATTATGAAAAACAATATGGAGGTCCCTTAAAAAACTAAAAATAGAACTTTCATATGATCCAGCAATCTCATTGCTGGGTATATATCCAAAAGAAAGAACATCAGTATATCAAACACATGTCTCAACTCCCATGTTTATTGCAGCACTGTTCACAATAGTTAAGATACAGAATCACCTTATATGTCTATCAACAGATTAATAAAGAAAATATGGAGGCCAAGGCAGGAAGATTGCTTGAGGTCAGGAGTTTGAAACTAACCTGGGCAACATAGCAAGACTCCATCTCTACAAAAAGTAAAAAAAGAAAAAAAAAAATTAGCTGAGCATGGTGGCACATGCTTATACTCCTAGCTACCTGGGAAGCTGAGGAAAGAAGACTACTTGAGCCCAAGATTTCAGGCCTGCAGTGAGATTTGATCACACCACTGTTCTCCAGCCTGGGCAACAGAGTGAGACCCTGTCTCTAAATTAATTACTTAACTAAAAATAAAAGAAAATGTGGCATACATACACAATGGAATATTATTCAGTCATAAAAAATGAAATCCTGTCATTTGCAACAGCCTGGGTGGAAATAGAGGTCATTATGTTAAATTTAATAAGCCAGGCACAGAAATAAAATATTGCATATTCTCACTTATACGTAGGAGCCAAAAGGTGGATCTCATGGAGGGAGAGAGTAGAATGGTGGTTACCAGAGACTGGGAATGAAAGGATGGGGAGGGATAAAGAGAAGGTAGTTAATGGGTACAAAAATATAATTAGATAGAAGCAATTAAGTTCGTATTTAATAGTACAGTAGGGAAATTATGAATTTATTGCATATTTCAAAATAACTAGAAGAAAGGAATTGTAATGTTGCCAACACAAAGAAAAATGTTCAAGGTGATGGATAGTCCAGTTACCCTGATTTGAACATTACACATTGTATACATGTATCAAATATCACATGTACCCCAAAAACATATACAACTATGATACATCCAAAAAAGTAATTAATTACTTATAAAAAGACTCTTCCTTATTTTCCAGCATACTTTGCCTCCAGTATCCTCTGGGCAGAAATACTGAGTGACACACTCATAACTACTCCAGACAAGTATGCTCAGGCTTGTGCAATTTCTAAAATTAAGAATTAGGTGGTATGTTCCAGAGTCCCTTGGGTTCTCAAGTCTAGCACTCCCTTATCTAGACCTTGCAGACCAAAGCCTACCTAGGGTCTGACTGTCCTGAGCGGTATCAAGCAGAAGTGACTCTATGAAGTACAGAGTCTAGGGAATGAAAGTGGCCAGAACCAGGCACTTCCGAACACCAAAGCAGAGGCAAGAAGGGATGACGTGGGTGCAGAGCAGGAAGCACAATAGGCCATTGCCCAAAGAGTGACTCATATTCCACAGGCAAAATTCCGACTTTGAGTCTTAAAAGAACAGCATCTTTATTATGCCTCCATCTTTTCTTGGTTTGGTTTGATAGTGGTGTGAAAATCTGTAACAGTCAGATGGAAAATATTTCACAGTTGAAAACAAATTAAAATATTTCTTCCAGATATAAATGTCCTCATATGAAAGAAGCTAGATGGTTCACCCAGACAGATAGAGCTAGATACAGAGATAAGCATAAAGATAAAGACAGACCCACACCAATTTATAGATTGAGATGCCTTACCTCTGTCAAGCCTCTCAAGTATTAAGAAACATTGGCTTTCTGACTGCACCTCCATGGAGTTCAAAGTCCAGTTCTCTTTCTTTGCATGAGTTAACATGCAGATGACAAAACTGATTTCAGTTCCCCAAATCTCTAAGTACTCCAAAGGAAGTTATCACTTTGGCCTATAATTTTGTTTTGACTGTAAATCATTCTTAATTACCATTTTAAAGCCCCCCTTAAAAAAATATATATCCAAGGTATTTAGCAAATTTCTGGGTTTCCTGTGGTACAGATTGTAAAAGTTTCAGTTTTACATGCATTTTATATGACAACAGTTGTAAATTATGAGGGTCTCAAAAGACATGACTTTCTTTAGATACTACAAGGTATACTAAAACTAAAGGCTAGAAATCTGTCTTTGAATTTTAAGAAATGCTGAACTCTACAAGAGTTTGCCAGTGACAAAGTGGCATTTTATCACTATTAGTTATTCCCCTTTTCCAAACTACTCATAATCCTCTCATCTAGGACATGTTCTACATTGGGAAGATTCCTGGAATAGTCAGGTCTAAACAGTAATTAATTCATCTTGCCAATAACGGGACTAAACCCGAACCCATTTTTATCCCCCTTCTACCACCACCCATACTGTCGGTTTTATAAAGTTACTACTTAAAGACACTCAGGGAACACATACTGGGGCCCTTCATCCCTTTTTACATGATCAAAATATTTAACAATGTCCCCATCTGAAAATCACAGTCGGAGGTTCCTCAAGCCAAATTTCCAGAATAACCAAGAACTCCCGGCTATATAACACTGCCAGTAAAACGTCTCCTTCCAAACAGAAGGGCGAATGAGTTGAAGTGAAAACAATGCCTTTACCTGCTGCACACTCGCGACTCTCATATACGAGTCCAAGACGATCAACAGAGGCACATGGATATTTTTGCCTTGAAATAACTTGGAGGCTGGAAAACAAGTGGGTGGGGAAAAGAAGCAAAGTCACAATCCACAGCACCCCCTTTCCTTTTAAGTCTGAAAAGGGGAGAAAAGTCAAAAAGGTGAAGACCTTCCTGGAATTCTCAGCTCCTTTCCGCCCTAAGGAAAGGAGATGGGAGTTTACGGCTCTTTAAGAGTCCGGGTTTGAGCAGCGTCAGCGGAGGAGGACAAAGTTTGCAAATGTGAGGAGGGGGCGAAAGTTTGCAAAAACAAAAGCACAGTTTCTTCGCAAGTGATTACCGTGCTCGGAGTACGTGAACACCAGCAGATCCTCCAGGATTTGGACCAGCGTTTCTATCTGTTTACCTTCCTGGACATTGTTCAGCCTGACTATCAACTTCTTCAGAGTTTCCTCGTCCTCCTCGCACCCCTGACAGCTGCCACTAGCCATGGTGGCCCCTGCTTCCAACCCGCCGCCCTCCCAGCACGAACGTCCGCTGCTCAGGGAACCGGCAGGGGCGCCGGCCACAGCTCCCCGGGATCTAGCTCAGCTCACCGCCCTCAGCCAGGGCTCCCCGGGGGCCCCGTCGGCGCCCACGCCCGCCTGTTTATGAGGAAGGCGGTGGCTCCCCGCCCCGCGTTGCCCTCCCTCTCCAGAGCCCTCCTGCTCGGCTTCCTCCTCCCCCAGCCAGGCCCCAAAAAACCAGCTCAGGGGCCTGCCAGAGGCTCCGCCGGGGCGACGGGCCGCGCAGAACTTCGGCGGCGGCCGTGGGGCTGCTGGAGCCGGGCCTGGCCGGGATGACCGTGCCCGTGGCCCCCACGCACGCCTAGACTGGACCCGGGCGGACGCCGCCTCCTGGGACCAGATTCCACCACAGCGGCGGCGCGGCGGGGAGTCGCGCAGGAAGAAACTGACTCAGCGGACTCCGCCGAGTCCCAAGGCCCGGAGCCCCGCAGCGGAGGCGCGCAGTGCGCAGCCCGGCCGGCCACCCTCCTCGACCCGCCAGCCGGGGATCCTGCGGCCCCAGGGAAGGTCTGGGAACTGGCAGCAGGAAAAATGAAAGCCGCCTATCTCCAGATCTAAGAATAGAAATCAGGGCGCTGGGAAAAAGAGGACACCGCCCAGATGGCCCCTTTAGGAAAACATTCTCTTTATAGAGTTCTCCCCTTAAAGGATGGAGAGAGAGGTTAGCCATCAAAACTTGCCCCGCTACTGTCTTTTTTATTATTGTTGTGACTGTTAGTGGGAGAGGAAATAAACATTGTTTCCCTGTGAGTTATCTGAAGCTCTGGTCACCAAAAGGCCACTAAATTAACTTTTGGAATTGAGTTGCACTAGGCAGGATCCTGATACGTGGGACACCGGAAAAGTAATCAGCTCTCAGAGCTATTAGAACTGAGACAAAGGACAGGGTACATGAAATGAAAGGTGAAAAGGTGAGAGAAGCAAACCGAAATACTCTTCTCTTGGCATTCAGAATTACTTATGAGTATGGGTGTCTATAACCCCAAAGTTTTTTGGTTTCGTTTTTTGATTGTTTGTTCTGTTAAGTACCTAAGTAATGTGTTTTTAGGAAGAGAAACCTAGCAAGAACATTGTAAACAAGGCTAGGCAAAGATGATCTATCCTTCAGTTGATGTGTCTGTCCTCAAGGTTATTTAAAAAGAAGAGGATTGGACTGGAAGTTACTACTTCACAATTTTAGATTTGTTTTCACATCTGTTACTTCAATCCTGATGACAAGTCTGAAATGGATAAAACTACTACTATGTATCCTTCTTTCACTAATGAGGAAATTGAGATTTGGAGTAGAGAAGTGAAGAGCTTTGCTGGAGTCACACAGGTGGGAAGTTGAGAGCCAGGACTTCAACTCAGGCAAATCTCCTAACACCCGGTAGATGGTTCTTCATGCTCTACCACTTTAATAAAAATGCTCTAGACTTTGTTTTTTCATCAGATTAGTAAGATAGCAAATTCCTACTTAACCTGGATATTAGGTCTATGTCTTGTTGTTGTAGAGTCTTCAGTTTTTACAGAGACATGCTGAAATATTTACAGTTGAAATGGTAGCAGGGTTAGGATGTGTTTCAAAGTCATCCAGTGGTGGAGGAAAAGATGAAATGTGTGGAGGCAGAGATAACAATAACAATTTTTGAACTGGTAATTGTTGAAGATAATAAGAGATGGGTTCATGTGGTCTGTTCTACTATTCTGTCTGTATAACATTTTCCATAATTTAAAAAAAAAAATCCTAATCTTAACAATATTTATCAGACCTACAGTGTATTCTTTTCTAAGTTGTTTCTAAACTTGTTTCCATTTCTGATGACTTAATCAATGTCTCAAATATTTCTAGGCATTCTCGATCTCATGCATTCCTTCTGTTCCTCTGCATTAGTTTCTCCCTTCCTATTCTACTGAATTACAACCTTGCAAGAAATTAAAACCTACCTCCCTTCCAAAGCAAAATAAATCTAAATTAAAAGATGTCTCCGGCCGGGCGCGGTGACTCAAGCCTGTAATCCCAGCACTTTGGGAGGCCGAGACGGGCGGATCACCAGGTCAGGAGATCCAGACCATCCTGGCTAACACGGTGAAACCCCGTCTCTACTAAAAAATACAAAAAACTAGCCGGGCGCCGTGGCGGGCGCCTGTAGTCCTAACTACTCGGGAGGCTGAGGCAGGAGAATGGCGTGAACCCGGGAGGCGGAGCTTGCAGTGAGCTGAGATCCGGCCACTGCACTCCAGCCTGGGCGGCAGAGCGAGACTCCGTCTCAAAAAAAAAAAAAAAAAAAGATGTCTCCAATTTCCACAATTCATTCATCCATCTATTGCCTATTTATTATCTACTCTATATTGGCCAGACTGTGAGTAGGCAGTATGAAAATATGAATTATCTGTTGGGAGCATTCTCCCATGAACTACTGCAGTGTTAAGGTAAAGTATTCTCTTAGGTTTCAAAAATGTTTAATTGACTGACTAAAATTCCAAGATTTATCAACTCTTCAGGTAGTTAACAAGACTGAAAATGAAGATTACAGGCACAAATTTATGATGGAAGCAGTGCTCAGTGGAGAATAAAATGGTGCTAGAACATTTGGCTAACTTCCTGAAAAGAAAAAAATAATACTGGCATTTCTAATTACAGCAAACATCAAAACAAACTCCAGATAGATTAAAAAGTTAAATAAAAATAACTTCAAAAATAAAATATAAATTAATAGTTATATAATCTTGAATAAGAAAACATAAAAACAAGAAAGAAATCACATAAGGTTGGTGTATGTGACTCCATCAAATTTAAATTCTCTGCAGTCAAAGAAAAAATACCCATTAATGAAACTAGAAGTCAAATGGCAAACTGGAAGAAAAAAGTTGTAATACATATGATGAAACACAATTTGCCTTTAACTTTCAAAAGTTCTTACAAATCACTGGGAGGAGGGCATTATGCCACAGATAGACCAGGAAAAAAATAGTAATAAACTAAGGTTTTGAAAAGGAAATTCACTTTGAATGACCACTGAGTATTTTTTAATGTCATCATTAAAAAAAAAATTGTGTTCATAAACCTGAGTGACACACAATTATAAAGTGTAATTGTGTGTGTGTATCATGACAATGAGAGAAACCTTGAAAATAAATCTAACAAATACTTACAAAACCTTTATGAATAAATTATTGAACTATGTTAAAAGGCATTAAAAAGGCACAAATACATGGATAGTACATATTAATTAATGGGAAAATTCAAAAATATATCAATTCTTGACAAAGTAATAAAAAACAATGCAAGATTAGTGAAATTCTCAACAAGATTTATATAGATTTCAGCAAGATCAAAAGACCTAGTATAGACTAGACACTTTTGAAGAAGGACAAGATGGGAGAATTGCCATCTTGTCCTTTTGGATGTCCAATTGACATCCATTCAGAGTATATAGTAGGCTTTCTCTATCAATTTCCCAAGAAGGAAAAAGTGCCCCTAGGATGAAAGTGGGGAGCCCTGAAAGCACATAGTTTACCCAGCAGGCAGTCTTTCTATGAATTAGAAAAAGCTGCCCCTCCTTCCAGGTAGACACAGCCTTATGTCTGGGAGTATCAAGCAGGATTTGGATTTCAGTCTCTACCCATTTCTTCACCCTGGTGTTCTTATGGAGGACACAACTTGTACAATATAGGAAGCATTATATTTTTTGAAGCTATAGAAATTAATTGACATGTTATTGACACAGCTGTACAAAATGACCAATGAAATAGTATAGAAAACCCAGAAATACATCTTTCCTGATATATGAGACATGTTGCATTATGTATCAGTGGGAAAAAAAAGGGCAATTTGATAAATGAATCTGAGACCACTACTTGTGGAAAAAGCATCAAATGATTATGTCTACCTCACACCATATTCAAAAATAAATTCCACATGGATTGAACATTTTTGCCTAAAAAATGAAAATAGGCCAGGTGCAGTGGCTCACGACTGTAATCCCAGCACTTTGGGAGGCCGAAGTGGGACGACCTCTTGAGCTTAGGAGTTCGCATCTCTACTAAAAATACAAAAATTAGCCAGGCATGATGGCATGTGCCTGTAATCCCAGCCACTGGGGATACTGAGGCAGGAGAATTGCTTGAACCCGGGAGGCAGAGGTTGCAGTGAGCCAATCACACCATTGCACTCCAGCCTGGGAGAAGAAGGGAGATTCCATCTCAAAAAAAAAAAAAAAGGAAAGAAAAGAAAACATTTGAAAAAATAGAAAAGTATCTGACATTAAAAGGGGAAAAAAAAATTACTGTTCAGGCCAGGCATGGTGGCTCACACCTGTAATCCAAGCACTTTGGGAAGCCGAAGTGGGAGGCTTACTTGAGACCAAGAGTTAAGACCATCCTGGGCAATATAGAGAAACCTTGTCTCTACAAAATATTTAGAAATTAACCAGGTATGGTAGTGTGTGCCAGTAGTCCTAACTTCCCAGGAAGCTGAGGCAAGGGGATCACTTGATCCCAGGAGTTACAGGTTACAGTGAGCTACAATTGTCACACTGCACTCCAGCCTGAGGGACAGAGCAAGGTCCTCTCTTTAAACTAAAAAAAAAATAAAATAAAATCACAGTTCATAAAGGAAAAAATTATTAAACTTACAGACATTAAAATTAACACCATACAAAAGACTCCATCAACAAAGTTAAAAGATGACCATAGGCTGGAAGGTTTTTGGAAAGCTTATAACAAGTAAAAATTAATAAGAAGAATATACGAAAAGAACTATCACAAATTATAAAGGAAAAGATAAGTAGCCTGGTTTTTATATAAGTTTTAAAAATATGGCCAGGCACTGTGACTTGTACCTCAATCCCAGCACTTTAGGATTCCAAGGTGGGTGGGTCACTTGAGGCCAGGACTTCGAGACCAGCTTGGTCAACATGGTGAAACCCTGTATCTACTAAAAATACAAAAATTAGCCAGTTGTGGTAGTGCATGCCTGTAATCACAGCTACTTGGGAGGTTGAGGCAGGAAAATTGCTTGAACCCAGGAGGTACAGGTTGCAGTGAGCCAAGATTGCACCATTGCACTCCAACCTGGGCAACAGGATGAGAATTTGCCTAAATATATATATATATATATATATATATATATATATATATATATGGCAATATGTAGAAGAGGAAAAGCCAATAAACTTAATAAACCTATCCAAAGATGCTCAATTACACAAGTAATCAAGGAAATAAAAATTAAAGCCATAATGAGATACTATTTCACGACCATCCGATTACCAATAACTACTGGCTGGGATGAGGAGCAACTAG